CCCTTTCACGTAGACCACCTGAGAAAAACCGTCATCTACTTATAAACTGTCGATAAGGACGTGACAAGTGCGTCGAAAAATCTCCCCTCAGATTTTGCATTTAATTTCAAATAATTGCATTTAAACGTCATATACCATGTACCATATTTTTCCTTTTTTTTTTCTTTCCGACCATTATTAATCGAATACCTTCTTGAGAATATGATAAGGGATAAGAATAAGATCGCGACTGCAAAGTGCGGATTAAGGATGCTGGGTAAAAATGATCCAGTTTCCGTTTTAGGTTAACTTGCAACCTATAGTTAGATCGGTAAACGTTTCTCGGAGGGGACTAAGGCCCCGAATAATATTTTTAGCCCGGAAAAAGGCGTGCAAAAAGCGAAGAGAGTTATTCCCCTTCGGAGAAGAAGTTCTCTCTCGAAGAGAGCTCGACTGCTCGCTTACACACTTAACATCCCCTGGGAAGAACCTCCGACGTGAGGCCCCTGACGCAGGGCCGCCGACAAGAGTCGTACATATCGAGAGTTGATAATAAACCCCGGTGATAATAAATGTTGCGCCGGTATGCAATGGGCAGGAAAGGTCCGACCGAGGCGTTAAGTGCGTTCGCGGGTGCGTGTTGGCAGAGCCGCTGGGAAGGGGTCAGGGGTCCCTGCGTATCTTACGCAGTAAGTTACGCACCGGGCCCCGCCGACTATTACGTATTACGAATTACGTTAAGGACTGACCACCGGGGACGGTGACGTACTCGACGGTTGAGCCCTGAAGATAATAAAGCAACCGACGAGTCCTGGGAAAATATTGGGCCCGATGAAAAATGGGCCTTATTCTCATTTTCTATTTATTTACCGGTAGACATAGACCAATTCGCTCGTTAACCTAAGTAAAGAGTGGCGATACCTCTGGGAGCACCTGGGTGGTATTTTAGAAATGGGCCTTATGTGGGGAAAATTGTCAATTTGGGAATCTAGAAAGTGAAGAGCGTGGGGGGAGCAAGAAGATTGAGGAAAATCGGTCTTGAAGCGCTTCGTAGATTTTGGGCCGGATTTTGACCACGTAGGTTCGCCTGGGAATTTTTTGCCTTCCGGGGAAAAGGGGCCCTAGAGAGGGGGTGCTTTCTGGGGAGAAACTCGTGGGTGGCTCTCCTTCGAGATCCGTGGCGTTATGTCCGTACGCAACATAAGTCAGCTCGTTATGTTACGGACGGGCCCCGAGCTGGGCTTATATGGGCTAGGGCCCCGCGCGGGGTCAGAGGGCCTCTGTTCCAATTTTGTGCCCAATAAGACTAATTCCCTCAAAGGCGCCGCAGTGGGCCCGGGCGAAAACTTATTGCCAAATTTTACGTAAATTATGTGACCTCACGGATTTACAGAACGGTCCGTTCTCACCGTGCGGGGCCCGGGCCCAAAACGACTGTCGATGGATCGCTTTCCGATTCCTTCCCCGAGAATTCCTTCGGAAGTTCGATCCAACGTCGGCCGTAGAATTTATATCTCTGCACTTTCCCTTGAATATTTGGGCCTTATTAATCGGAATTCATTTGCATCGTTGAGGATGGGCCCATTGTCGTGGGAGATATGCATATTGCGAGGGCAAATGACGCTCGTAAATTCGGCCAAGTCCAGCTGGACCGAAACCATTTCGGCTGACAAAACGAATCCCGGCTAATTCCCGCGTTTAGGCCCGACCGAGATGAGGCCCTTTTCCACGGGTGTTAAATGCCAGTCTGGGCCGTTTTCAAAAGTTATGCAAAGGACTGCCATCCACGGGAGAAGTGAGGCAATCGGGGAGACATTTCGGCGATTTGGAAGTATAACGAAGTGGCCACCGGAGAGAAAATCCACCCGATTGTTTTGGGCCCTACCCCCATCCCAGCAAATGCCGAAAAAGTTGGCCGGGATACGGAGAGATTTTTGAGAACAGACCTTGGCAAGCCGTTTCTTAGAAGCCTTCGACTATAAACTAGGAAATGCCTTTGAAAATATGTAAAAAGTGTTTCCAAAAAAATATCCTGGGACTTAGGGCCCCACCTGATTTGGGTGACCCTGAAGGAACACTCGGGAGCTGGGAGATTTTCTATTAAAACCAGCAATTAGTCTAAGTCCCGATAAATCATGGTGAGGGATATCTGGACATCAGTCGTTGTCCTCCGGGCCCATTCGGAACCCATTGCGGCCCAGAAAAGAACGGAGGATTCCTCGCGAGGATAACTCCCCGGTGGTTCCCCGTTTTGAGTAATGGCCCACGGTGTCGTTGTTATGGTAAACCAGGTGAGAACCTGGATGCGAGTCCCATTAGAAATTTTAATGGGCCCATTTTCGGGGCCCGCGCCGGTGTCGCCGAAGGCCCAGACCGCGCATCGGATACTCCGACCTCGTTTTCGAATCCTCCGAACCCATCCATTGAACTCCCGTTAATTAAAGGGCCCAAAACGCGAATAGGTCCCAAAAACTAAGCTCTGAAAATATTTAACTCACACCTCCGTCCCTGGTACCTGACAAAAAAAGTCCCTTCCTGGAGCGAAGCATCGAGACGAATCAAAATTCGGAACCGGCCCCTTCCTCGGGGCCTTCCGTTTCGAAAGTGTTTCGGGCCCTGCGGGAGTTTCCCTAATCGATTTCATCCGCGTTATACCGTGGTGCCTGAGTTAAGGCCCCGAGAGCTGCTTTCCCCTGGACCCGGAAAGGGACCAACAGCCATGGGCACTTTTTGGCAGTCGACCAACCAGAGCCGCCCAGAGGGGGCCCATGGGTAGCTAAAATCAGGGACTTTCGTGGAACATCTCGGGCCTGAGGCCCAAAAACTCGGCGGAATCGCGCCGACCCACCGGTCTCGCCCAGTTCCACATCCGGAAACTCCTGGAACTAAGTCGAGTTCGCAACACCTCTTTGTTCTGGATGTCACGGCTCGCTCCCTCTGCCAATTGTCAAAATGACTCTTTCCCGAGCTCGCCATTTCGGGCCTGACAGGTGACGGGCCCTTTTTCCATGCCTCTTCGTTACGGCGAGCGTTTCTTCCACGGTATCCCTGAAGTATCAATCCTTTTCCATTCAACAACGAAGACAATCCGCGTCAATTATCATAGGCCAACCATTATCCTAATAAAATATTTTTTAACATAAGATGTAAGGCCCAAATTCTGCCACTGGAGGAATTTCCAAGGACGAGAAGTGCAGCAGCTCAGGACAGTCCCAAATATTTGGAGGGCGCCATTCAGGGTGTGTAGGCTCTAAGCACGGATAAGACTGACCACGGGGAAAGAGAGGCCCCATGGGCCTGAGGCCCCGTGAAGTCCTTCAGGACTCCTGGTCCCAGGACCCGCAAGACCCCCCATGGACCATGGGGCTTCCAAGCTAGCACCACAAGGAAGAACTTCTCTCGCTACCGTGCCGCGAAGATTTACAGGCGAGGCCGGGACTTTATATGGGGCCGTCATAAAATTTATAGGCCCCATCATACATTCATTATGATTTTACTCCGAGCCAGTGTACGTTGTAAATATTCCTCGTTCGTGGAGCGGCTCTCGCTGTTTGGGTTTCCGTTTAGGATTCCACCCTCTAAGGATTTTGGGCCCAACTTTCCGTCTCGCGTTATCGGCCCTAAGGGTCCCATTTAAGAATCTCCTCAAGGACAAGGAAGCTCCTCAGGAGCTGACCTTCAGGCCCAAGCGAGGCTAATTTCTAATAATCTCACTTTCCCTGACTCGTTAGCATTAAGGGGCCCCCCGTTCATGGGGGTCTTGCAATGGCTATCCTAGGCCTCTAAGGGCACATCAGCGGCGCAAATAAATATTAAACAATATCCCCTGATGAGATTTCCCAACAGACTCAATCGCCAGCAAACGGAACCAGCCACGACGAGATCCAACCCTAGGGACCCCACGAAGGGGTTTAGTCCCCCATACATTCGGCAAACACCACCCTAGACCCCTCGCCATCGGCATCGACTCTGCAGAGCCCCTAAACAGTACTCAAAGAGTCCAACAAAATGCAAAATTGCAACTGCATCCTTCCATCAGCAAGTGATCAGCAATCGATCGTCACTTATGGGCGCTGCGAGTTGCTAGGTCGCCCAAGGTCCTCCAGGGAAAAATCGAGGAAGATCGGTATGGGCGCAAAAAACATGGTCGAAGGGGTGCAGGGTGTCACCCCTCTTCGTGTATTACAGGCGCAGAAAATCCCCCTCGGAGCGTTCACCATGAGCGACGATTCCCACCACCAACTCGGCGTGGCGAGAGGCACGATCCGTAGGCGGACCCATGGGTAGGGACGCCCATTGTGAGGTCCCTGGTTACCAACCACGTGGCAGGGCACAGCCAATGATGGGTGCCCTCGGTACCAGCAGTTCCCAGCAATCGGCCCCCCTGGTCGCCGATGGAACCCCTGGTCCGCGAGGGAGCCTGGGACCACGACCACGTTACTGTGGCCTAACTCCTCGGAACGAAAGGCCGCCGGTGCTTTGCTTTTCGCTCGTCTTCTTCTTCTTGTCCCTCCCCGGTGCGCCTTGGAGGTCCCTGCAACCCGCCGGAGCCCCCTGGAGGCCCCTGGAGGCCCCTGCAACCCGCCGGAGCCCCCTGGAGGCCGCTGGACCCGGTGATGCCCACCGACACCCCTTTGATCGCTGCTGGTCGCTGATGCCCCCAGCAAGGATCACCAAGGATCTTGGTGAACATCAGGGACCATCAAAGATCATCGACAATCGTCGAGGACCATCAAGGATCATCAAGGATCATCGACAATCGTCAAGGACTACCAAGGATCATCGTCAAAGCTCATCAACCCTGCATCCAGCCTGCCTCTTTGTCAGGTGGTTCTCGTACTTTTCGAGTTCTCCTGGCTTCTCTCGTCGTCCTTACCCCATAAAAGGGACCATCACCCCCGTTACGGTGATCCTTGGGGTCGTTTCGATCCACTTCGAGTGGGTGGGGGATTTTCGCGAGTTTGGGGTGGTTCAAGTGCAGTGATTCCGTGGCCTGCAAACTGGGTGCCCTCAAGGGGACCATGGATGTCACCGGAGGCATGAGACCCATCTTCGGTGGATATCCTTTCCAAGGTTGGTGATCGCAGGACCCCTTCATGGTGAAATTAGGAAACTAGCCAACCCCCTCTCAGGGGGTGGTCAAGAATCCCAGTTTATCTCGCGCCCAGGGGGTTACTTTAAATCCCTGAGGGTTAAAATTCAATTTTCGATGCTAGGACTTACTTGTTTCGGCTTTATGGGGGTTGCGGGAAATTGTTTCGTCATTTCGGGGATCTAGGGTCTATGGAAATGGTCTCGCTAATTAGGCATTTCGGGATTTGCACGCCACGGTGTAAGTACACCCATACCGGGGCGTACATAATTCGTAAACATAGTAATTAGGGGAGCACTCGGTCCTCCTAATGATACAGGTAGCAATGTCACGTACAGAGAGCGGATAATGCGACTAACGATCGGACCTCGTGCTCGTTAGTCCCGGGAATGACTGCACGCTCCTCCGGCTCCCATAACTTCCCAAATTTTACGCCATTTAGGTGTCTGGCCTCCTCCTTTACTTTTTTCTCCTCGTTTTCAATTTTCTCCCACCCACCTCTCCCCACGATTCGCGTGGAGAACACGCGGATCCGACCCTGAGGCTTTTTGCGCGAGGACTCCCCGTTAGTTTCGAATTTTAAAGCCCGCCGAGGACTTAAATGGCCGCCCGGCAAACTCGGGAATTTCACGCCAGTTATCCGCCGACGGCACTTAACCTCGAACACTCATGAGCCCGAAAAATAGTCCAGAAAATCGCCTTCCACCCTGGCGGCCATTTTGGTCCCACGCGTCATCTTTCTTTTCCGAGGAAAAATGGAGCTCGCCTTGAAACGCGAGTTTTAAATACCGCAAAAGCGCTAAATTCAGGACAAATTTGCGGAAAATTCACTCATGAGCTCGGGAAATAGTCCCGAAAATCGCTTTCCACCCTGGCGGCCATTTTGGTCCCGCGTGCTATATTTCTTTTCCGAGGAAAAATGGAGCTCGCATTGAAACGCGAGTTTCGATAACCGCGAAAGCGCTAAGTTCAGGAGAAATTTGCGGAAAATTCACTCATGAGCCCGGGAAATAGTTCTGAAAATCGCCTTCCATCCCGGCGGCCATTTTGGTCCCACGCGTAATTCTTCTTTTCCGAGGAACAAGGGAGCTCACCTTGAAACGCGGGTTTTGATAACCGCGTAAGCGCTAAATCCAGGACAAATTTGCAGAAAATTCACGCAGAGTCAGATTTCCCGGGAAAGAGAAGAAATGGGACTTTGGCTCGAGGCTGGAGTATATCTTGGCGCTATTCTTGCAGGCCAGGGTCGGATGAATCAGCTTGGCGGCGTCTTCATTAACGGGCGGCCATTGCCTAATCACATCAGACTGAAAATCGTGGAAATGGCCGCTGCGGGGGTCAGACCTTGCGTGATTTCCCGACAACTTCGAGTCTCTCATGGATGTGTCTCGAAGATTCTGAATCGATATCAAGAAACGGGATCAATAAGGCCTGGTGTGATTGGGGGGAGCAAACCGAGGGTCGCCACGCCGGAAGTCGAGGCCAGGATCGAGGAGCTGAAGAGGGACAACCCCGGCATCTTCTCCTGGGAAATCCGCGACAAGCTCATGAAGGTAATTAAAAAAAAAAAGAAAAACAATTACGTTCCGCTAGATCGGACTGATTTAACTTAGATTAGGTAAGGCATCTTCTCCTGGGAATTCCGCGACGAGGTCGTGGAGGTAATTCTTAAAAAATTCGTCTTCGTTAAGTAGGTTAGCTTAGCCAAGATTAGTAAATTCAGATTAGTTAAGTACGTCTTTATCATCGTCCCAATGCGTGTTCTTGAAGAAATCCCTAAAACTATGCGTCGTTTTTGCCCGAGGTGACTCTGCCAAGAAGAAGATGCGCCTCTGAGGGATTAGGAAATATAAACACGGTTTTCTTTTTTCCACCAGGAGTGTGTGCATTGTCTTATCGCGCACCTTGGCACGCAATCGGTTTACGTAACTCAAGGCCCGGCTGGCAAATCTCGAGCCGCTAGTTTCGGCCTCTGGATTTAAATTCGCGAATTAAACTTAGCTCTTCCACGCCGCCGCGAATCTCTTTCCGGCCAGCCATTGACCCCTTCGTCGATACGGATGTTTCGAAATGGTGTATCTCGAGGAGGATCGCACTGAATGGGCCTTTTTAATATTGCACACGAGGCGGCGCGAAGCGAGGAGGGGTGCACGGAGACCCCAAGGCGACTCGCGTGTCCTCTAATACGATCCTGCCCGCCGCCTACACCCGCACCACATAGGCGTAAGGCCCTTCGAAGGGGCCTTACTCCCTGACCGTGACGTTATCGCTTCATTCCCCGAGAAAGATCCCGATTGGAAAGAGATAAGAGCCATGAAAAAGAGTCCTGAACAAAGGAGGCTAAGAGAAGGCTTCATTGTTTCCCCTAATCCTGGTTTAACAGGAGGCCCATGGGCCGCCTGAAAATGGGCCTCAATCAATTTACTAAGGAATTATTACGTACACACAACAGGGAATGTGCATTGCGGGTTGTTGATTAGACTAGAAATTGTTAGAATTTTCTGGAAGTCTCCAGGAGCGCCTGGCCCAAATCGTACGGGAAGGAGACTTTGGGCCTTACGGGCTCAGACTTCCGCGTTGGGTTCTCCAGTGGGTTTCGGGCGGGTGCGGAGAGCGTGGAGGCAAAAAAATTAATTTGCCACCTCGAGAGGCGAATCCGTCGGCCGGTGCCCATCGGGGCCCGATGAGTCCCGATAAAGGCGGACGACTCGGCTCGATAAAGTGATAAGTCGTGGCTCGAGGTGAGAATCGGCCGGGCCCCCTTTCGCTCTCCCCCTTAAAAAAAGGCCCTCTCGAAAATGCATACGCCGTTGCATGGGATGCAATCGGGGCCCGGTCTGGGCCCAGGCGGGCCCCGTCCAGGCAGCGACCGTGGCCGGCATTAATACGGCATTTAATGTTGGAAGGGGGCGTTCCTGGGGCCCGAGGGGCCCCGGGCCCTTTTCTCCATCTCTCTTTTCCTGTCATCGCCCGGGCCCCGTTGCCGGGCCCCACCGGATCGTTATTGTTTCTGAGATCCGCGATCGGCGATCCGCCGCTACGGAGAGATACCGATCGGGGTTGGGCCCACGTTTGACGCTACGTCGGTAACGGCGAACTCTCCTCCGCGACCCCCTCTTCTTGTCGGGCCCCGCAAAGGGGCCCGGCCGCTTTCCTCGTAACCGGGCTTTCCTTCCTTGTTCTCCGCCTCGCGTTTCACGGCCAGCGGAGATTCCGCCGATTTATCGGTCGATAACGCGGATAAGATGACCCGTGAGGAATCGCGATTCTTACGGCTCGGTCGCCCCCCTCTTTGCGGACCCTGCTTCTGCGGAGGAAGCGGAAGGCCTTTTCAATCGGGCCCAATTTTTTGGTCGGGGCATTGAGGCCCAGATTCGGGGCCACCTCGAGATCCATTCCCGGGGTGGAAATCCAACTTTTAGGCCCACGTCCACGTTCCTTGGGCCCCGTTAGTGCTCCCTTTAGCTTCATAGGGCCCCGCTAACACTTCCTTCGGTTCCATCCGGCCCCGTTACTGGGCCTGATCGGTTTCGACCCGTGTTTTTCTACCGGGGAGCGAGATCGATCGTAGAGGGCGCGGCGCAAAGCTTCGCCCACACCTTAAGTAATCGCTCGTCAAATTACATCCTGGCAGCGCGCAGTTGCAAATGCCAATTGGGCCCGTGCACCTGCAGCCTGCCGAGATGTGCACCTTCGTGCCTGCGCGTACCGGTGACGGCAATCGCTTCTTCGAAAACGATAAATCAATCCGCGCAACACGCGGCAATAAACATTCGCGACGACGGCGGCCATCTTTCTTGCGCGACGGACGAAAATCACCCTAAACGGATTTCCCGGGAAAGGGAATCCAATTCCATCATTCGATAGATCGGTTTCGGGCCCGTTAAAAATGGCGGACAATTTCCCAGGAAGGATTTTCATCTTCATTAGTTAAATCGGGTTTGGGCCCGTTAAAAATGGCGGACGATTTTCCAGGAAGGATTCTCGGACCCGCCGAGCGTCAGCTCGATCAGCCGACTCCTGCGGGGAGGACGTCCCAGCGACGACGGGAAGAAGGACTACACGATCAACGGCATCCTGGGTGGCGGTAAGTGGCAGTCCAGTCGTTAAATCGTTAAATTAAGCCCACCGACGAAACTGCAGCGGCGAATCCCCTGGCAATTTGGTGGTCCCCACCTGGCCCAAAAGTGCCGGTAACTTAGTCGAGTCGCGCGTTAAGGGGGCGTTGGACCCCTTGGGACTTATCAGTCCCCCAAGGATGCGACCATTTCCGATTTTCGGAGGTTTCCTGGACGAAGGATCGTCCTGATCGCCTTAACGAGCTCACGGACCCGCCAGTCGCAATTACAGATCGGAGAGGCCCAACTCGAAGGGGCCTCACGAAGGGTGATGGGCCTTCTAGGACAGGATCTGGGCTTTTAGGGCCTGACTTCGGACCCCCGAGACGACGGGTCGCGTTTGACGCGTCTCGGGCCCCATCTTGAGGATTTCTTGGGAGATCGGGGCCTTTGGCTGAGTTTAGTCGGGCCCAGTCAGAGGCAGGACGAGCCGACAAGGCAACGGACTTAATCCCCAGTGGGCGTGAGCTGGATTAGCTAGGTTGACCGCAACTCCGACAAACGGATTACAGGAGTGTCAATATCTTATGGGCACACATTATCGTCCTTCTTCTCGTTTTCTCGCCCCTCTCGGCCGTTAAATAAAGGAGAAATTACCCGACCGAGATTCCAGCCGCGCCGTCCAGGTGGAAGGCCCCTCCGCGGTCGCAGGTTGGGTCCAATGGGCCCACGAGGCCCGAACCCATGTCCAGGGGACAAGCGGCAATTCAGAGGTCCTTGATCACCGCAAATCGGGTAAATAGAGGGTGCGCGCCGACGTCCACCAGGAAGAGGAAGGCCCCTTGGACGTTCCGGGCCCGTTGGGCCCCTCCAACCCCGCCGATTTCCTTCGGTCTCCCTGGTCCTGCACGAGGAAGGCGTCCGGAGAGTCGGGAGATCGAGGGATCCGAGGGGCCCGAGAGATCCGAGAGATCCAAGAGTGGGCCTCAGGCCCTGAGGGGCCCACGGGGAGCCCGCGAGGGCCCCGCGGAGATCAAACGGACCGCCTGCCACACGTCCGCAGTGGTTCCCATCTCGTCGTACCTGGGCCCGCCTCGAGGGGCCCTGGCCTCCTCGAAATAAGGCCCCGAGCTCGCCGGAAGTGCCGTCGACTCCCTCGACGCCTTTCGCGGATTCTCATCGGCCCGCTGTCGGGGCCTCGTAATTGAATATTGGTCCGCGCGCAATTACGGCCATCCGTTATCCCGACTATATCTCCCAGCCGAGGTGGTAACTCACAGGTAGCAATGAATTAACCCAGTCGACGAGTGTTTCTTCGCGGTCCGCTGCCTCGGCAAAGGAGAAACGACTCCCCGAGCACAAATTTGTAAACCACCTGAAATCCTCCTCTCCGACTCTGATCAAGAAACTTCACCGCCGAAATAAGTCTCGAGGCCCAGGGTCGACTTATTAAAAGCATTGAAAAAAAATTAATCAGTAGATAGAGAAAAGGCTTAATTGCACTCTGATAACCACCTGGAGTGATTGTTTCCGTTCCGAGTTCCCGAGGCACCTCGTCCACCTACGAGAAAAAAATTGAAATGAAATTTGCAAACCACCTAAAATAGTCTTCTGAAATTCCGATCGACCAGCATCGATTATTGACTATAGACCGATTTATTAAAGAAAAATTGAGAAAAAAAAAAAGAATTAATAGAGATGAAGCCTAATTGCACGTGGGAAATATCGTCCATACCTCTTCTGGATCCACACCTGATAACGGAAAAAATCCCTAGGAGGGAAAATAAAAATTAAACTCCGGACCAACGAGGGGTGGAAAAGACGAAGAGGTGGCGGAAGAGGAGCACCTTCTCGAGGTTGTCGGAGGTGCAGGACGAGGTGTCGGCGTCCAAGGGGCAGGAAAGTAAAGCGGGGCAAGGCGGCGAGGAGGGAGCAGGAATGACACGTAGCCTGTGGGTTTCTTATTCCGTTCCTTTGGCCGTCGGCCGCCGACGAGGGATTAGCCTAATGGGTCCTCCCTGCCTCCGCTCTGCCCCCCACGTGTAATATGTATATCCAGTATACCGCCCCCCTCGCCCCCCATCACGAGCCGAGCCCCTCCGTCCCTCTCACGGCCACGTCCACCCACACCTCCCCACTAAGTGATTCGCTATCGGGATTATTGATTCCATCTCTGCCCGGCTCTAGCTCGAGGGAACCCTCCGAAGGTCCCAGGAAAACTTGGTCTCTGGACTCTGGGTATGTCCTGGAAATCCTTGAGATCCAGGAACCTCTGATCACCTTCCGAGCTACCCTGGACCGGACCTCTTGTCTATCGAAATAACCCACAGGATGACAAAATATGAGATTTGGCGATTTTTCTGAGGATTTGAAATCCTTGAGATCCAGGAACCAGGACTCTGGGCATATCCTGGAAATCCTTGAGATCCAGGAACCTCTGATCACCTTCCGAGCTACCCTGGACCGGACCTCTTGTCTATCGAAATAACCCACAGGATGACAGAATATAAAATTTGGCGATTTTTCTCAGGATTTTTAATCGCGAATCAAGATGCTGATCGGCATCAGATTCATACAGGGGCGAGAAAAAAGACTGCTGATTTTTTTAGGGGCACCGGCGGGTGAATTTAGGATCATGGTGCTGATGGGGATCGGGATAATCCAAGCACAAATATGAAGTGGTGATTTTTTTAATCATATTTTTTGAGACAATCAGGCTAGATCATTGGATCGTAGTTGGAAGGGACCTTCCCGAGTCTTCCGAGTTGACTCATGGCAAGGACTCTATGGTCAGGACGCCAAGCTGGGACAGGAAGAGGTCCGCCGTTGTCGAGCAGATATCTCAGGTTGTATCTAGCTCGCCCGACATGGACGGAAGCCGATCCTGGGGTTGTCCTCGACGTAATCCCGCGAGCAGGGCCCCAGGACACCGAGATATCGGCGGACATCGCGACGCCCAGCGTCGATCGGCCGGCGGCAATTTTCCGGGCGTCGGCCCGAGATTTCCCGGACAACGGCGACCGCGTTTCCCACAGATCCGATCTCAGGGGTTGAACATGCTAATTCCCCGTGCCTTCCAACTCCACCTGGAGTTTATCGCCCGATCGGAGACCACGTCCTCGAGCTCGTTTCCAGGGAGGAAACTCGGATCTTTGATCAGCACCGGTTAATGGTACGAAGCAAAGACGCCCAAAACGTGTCGCTCGTGCTCATATCTCCCGATGTCCAAGTTAGAAATTTTCCCGAAAAAGAGAATTTTTCCGCCACCCCCCAAAAGTGACATTCAACCTTCATCGGATTTAAGGATCCATGGATCCTTCCGATGGTCCCCAGTCTGGACCACCTGAGATATTACGCTGGACGATTTCAACGTCCTACAGTTGACGATAAACAAGGGCGCTTTGATAAGGTGTCCTCGATAAGGGTGCCCCATGGAAGTCCTTTCCCGTAGGAAGTGGATGACTTGGCGCCGAAGTCAGGAGTTATCCAGGACACCTGAAAGAGAAGAGTTTTCGGTGATTTTCAGATCGAAGGATCCGTAGGGATCGTATGGATCCTTCGGTGGACCCCATCCTGGACCACCTAGGATGTAATGTTGGATAGATTGAACCTCCCATGGTGGGCGGTGACAGCCGACAATGACCAGAAGTACCTACATGCCCCCAATTGGACGCTCGCCCATTGTGGCGGCGGTAAGGACGCTCCCCAGGAAGGATCCTTCCCCTAGGAGTGGTTTGCCGTTTTCCCCAGGACCTGGACCAGTCTACATAGGCACGTCCATCAGCCCAGAGGTCCTTACAGACTCCGGTGGCCTTCGGCGGCGTCCATTGGTCTCCAGGCGATGACAGAAAGACGCACTGGCATCTCGGTGTCAACCGGCGCCGCCGGCAGCCATTGTTGCCCATTCCGTGGGATTTGTTACCATTTAGGGGACCTCACACGTTAGGACCCCCAAGAGGAGCTGCCAACCGGTCCCCAGGCAAACGGGCCGCCTCTAGATTTATAACTCGGGCCCTGCGGCACCTTTTCCGCCATTCAGGCCCAATTCGACACGCGGAAAAATCGGGAAAGAAGAGCTACGGGGATGACGGGGCCTCTTCCGAAAGCGAAGCCAGGAACCGATGCTCCTTGCCAAGGATCCGTTCCACTTCCAGGGTTACGAGACTTCCCGGCTACCGAGATCGGCGATCTTTTAAGGATAGGAAGCTGATAGGATTTTTTTTTTCCCAGAGAGAGATTTTTTAGGCGATAAGTCCTGGCGCGACGTTTATTGTCCATGGGTCTCCCTGGAACCTCCCATGGGTTTTGGGACTTAAGAAGCGATTTTTTAAAATTCAAACCTAGGGGATGATCCTAATGATCGAAGCTCCATATTTCGTGGGAAATTGGTCGGATCGGAATCGCTGGTTAAGGAAGAGGAAAGAAAATAGGATGTGTGGAGGAAGCTGGATGCGACGCTGAGGGTCCATGGGTCATTATGGAGAGTATCGTGAATTTAGGGACTTTCAAACGGTTTTCTTCGGCTTTTTAATCGGTGACGCGTCAATAGGGACACTTTATACAGAGCGAAGGCGACTATAAGTAAGGATCGAGGTGGATTCGATCGAGGGAAAAGGAAGGCGATCTCGACGGGGATGCTGACCGGCACATTTCTGGATGACGGTGCTACGAAAGAGATATTTGCTCTCGACATCCACGAGGCCCCCGGGGGCCTCTTCTAATTGATTACACGCATCTTTTCACGCGATCTATTCAGCCAATCCGTGCCTCTTCGGGGCTGAGAGCCCCATCGATCCTGCCTATCAACGGCAATCCCGATCGGCGATCGCGGTTTCTCGCCTTTGATGAGCCCTTAAGGACGTCTTCGGCCTACCGAAATTAAGAGAGACGAGGAGACTTCCACCTTTCGGAGAAAACTTGCCGGAATAAGTGCCTTTCAAGGTTTCTCCCCTGGAGAAATTCACCCTTTGACGCCGCCTAGAGAAGCGTTCATCAAATGACTGTCCTTTCTACCGATTCAAATGATTCATGCCCTGAGCCAAAAAAAACTTCATTCAACCTAAAAAGCGTTTTTTTGAACGGTACCTAAGTATATATGTTCAATTAAAAGGTTAATTATTTGGCTGAAATAAATTGTCACGCCGCGTCCAATTTATTCGACTTTGGTTTTAATGAAATTATTATTTCTTAATTTTCCTTTTTCTTGGTTGGTAGTGGAATATTTCTCTGGTTTAGTGATAGTATTTTTTTTCCTTTTTTTTTTGTTTAATGCGAAGATGGTTTATTATTTAAGACGTCTAGGGAACGTCTATGGATGGCTCCGTTGGGCCTCATGCCCGGCGTCAGGACTCGAGAGGGAGTGCTCTCCGATTACGGGCCCAACATATGGGGCCCCTTAAAGGATCACGGGCGATTCCTCTGTCGGGCCCCTTGCGAGGATTCGGGCCCCTTAGGTGTAAGGCCCGATCGGAGGAAGAGGTGGATACCTCGAGTCAAGTTCTGAGAGGACCGCCGGTCAGAGCCGGTGTCAGAGGGCAAGCGCAGGAATGCCGACTGGGCCCAACCTGGGCCCGACCTGGGCCCGACGCACCTGGCCCACCAACGCATCACCGACACTCTGGGCCCTACCCTCGAGATGACTCCGATAATTGTTTTTCCGCGTCGTCGCCCGCAAGAGATCCCAAAGTGCAGTTTCGCGGGGAAATGGCAGGAGCCACGTGTGGGGCCCAAAAACAAGGTTACGGGGCCATTTCTGGGACTTAGAGGGGAAAAGTCATTCCATTGAAAATCGAGCTGGGAAATATTAGGAAAACTGGGATCTCGTGATGATGGAGAAAATGGACGTGGAGAAGGAAATCCGTTCAGCAACGAGTTCGGAGGCTCTTTCCGCTCCCCGGAGCGGCTCTCTCTTTGGCGGCGTTCTCTCCTCCCGGGTGACAATCGAAATAATGGAAGAATGGCCTCGGAGACAAGTTGCATCTTCAATAAAAGACGGCGGCCCTCTTTTGAAATACCCGTCACATTCCGACTTCCACCGAGCGGTGGCGACAACGTCCCGCGACGTCGAAAATAATGTTCGGCGATATTTCACAACACCCCGCGCGCCGCCATCTTGGAATCCGCGGATCTGCATGAGAATATCGGAAATTAATAATGTACAGGCGACCCTAGCCTCGTAAGATAATTCGGATATGTCAATGATACATTTTCCCCCGCTAACAGTGCAGAGGAAACGCCTTGAGTGAGTCTATGATCCTGTAAAAAAATAAATAAAAAAATAAAGTAAAAACGGAAGGAGAATCCATGACTCCGTTCGGGAAGTTCTGACTCTTGGCGTCTATTAGGCTAAGTTCCTGAATAAAAAAGAAAAGGAAAACGCCTGACAAATGCGAGGCAAGGTACCACGCGGCGAGGTGGAGCCGGTCTTCAAAGGCCTGCCGCTGGGAATTTTGGAAAATCCACCCCGGGAATCGCGTCCCTCCCGCGTGGCGGCCATTGCTCGGCCACGAGGTGGAAACCGCAATAAAGAGACGCATTGTACCAGACAACCCACGCATCCAGGACGCCCAGGCTTTCCTCTTCGTCCTGCGCCGTCGGAGGAAGTGGGATGTCCTTTGACGGTGCCGCTGGACTGCGGATTTCGGAAAAGGATGTCCTCCCCTCGTATCGGCGTAACGACGCGAACGGTCAACACACGGGACGTCTCGGTTATTAATGGCCGCCATTTCTTTTTCGCCCTCGGAAGTGGACCTTCCCACGCGTCGATGTCTCCCGCTCTGGGACCTGCGAAGGACGATTTTCGGCAGGTTGGAAGAAACGCAAGATGGGAAAAAAAGAGGGATTTTCAAAGGACTATCTTATAATCGAATGGGTGCCATATTTATGAGTGCAAAACGTAATGGAAGTGATATATTAATCGTTAAGTTCGACGCCTCTCATCCTGAACCTCCAAGGAAAAATGCTCTTCCTCAGGTTGCAATGCGCAAGGTGTGCAAGTAGGGAAAAAAGGGAATTTTCAAAGGATCTCTTGAATGGAAATAATGCATTAATCGTCAAGGTCGACTTCTCCCATCCTGAGACGCCCTGAAAAAGGCGCTCTTCGGCAAGTTGGAAGAATTGAAGCGTAGGCAGTGGAAAAAAAAAAAGAGGGATTTCTCGGACTTCGAATGCCCGCCATGTTTGTGGCCGCCCGACGCATATTCGATATTCGCTAGTTGAGCGTGCAATGAATCGATTGTAGCCCCGAATGTCGGACGAGGAGTAAAATAAGTAGGGAGAAACGAATCTGCGATGCGTGAGAGGCATTCGGTCAGTTTTGGAATTGCCTGGAGAACCGTGACGCGGCGAAGACGAGTGCGCGGATCATCCGCAATGGCGGCCACAATGGACCCTGCGGGATCAAGACCTAGATAGGATAACGGGAGGACCCTGGACAATGCCCAGGACTTAGCGCAAACGTTTGGAAGAAGTTTGGGAAACATGCCACGCTGGCCACTTATTCGAGTTTCTAAGGCCGTGGCACACGAACGGGCCCAACAATGGCGGCAAGGATTGGCCCTCGAGAAAGGACTCGCGTCTCCTGGGCCTAATGGGATCAACCGAGGACATTAAACGGCTTGTAATATCCCTGGAAGAGAGACCTTAATGCCGCGTGCGAGCTGCCGGCCCTTAACTTAAGACTGGGCCTCTGCATCTCTCCTCTTTGAAGGATCCGCCATTCCTCTTTGCCTTTGCTCCGCACTTATCGACCGGAAGAATGATCTTCCTCAACGGTTGGTTCACGACCAATCGTTTGGAAATTGACAGAAATTGGATAGAAACGACCCATAGAGAGCCTGACGAGTCGCCACGTGGGCCGCGATTGACCACGTGACCCTGAAAACACGGACATTAGCATTTAATCAATTATTAAGGGGATGTGAAAGTGGTATCCGAGGGGTCGATCGTTCATGAGATTTGTCCCCGAACTGAGTGTACCAAATCATTTGATATTTTACAACGTGAATATGGAGGCTGTAAGGAAGGTCTCGGCGCCCATGAAATTTCACTTTTAATGAAAAATCTAAACAACACGTATAAATAAATTTTTAAACCATTCAAACTTCAAGAGGGTCAAGACTTTCTTTATAGCCTCCATATTCACGCTGTGAGCTTCGAAACGATTCGGTACACTTAATTCAGAGAAAAAGTTTTATAAAGGAGACCTCTGTGTCGCCACTTTGACATCACCTTAAAGGAAGCCACGAAATTCGGAAGAGTAGATATTAATATCCCGCAAGCCCGAGGCGATTATTATTAACGCTTTTAGGGGGCTAATGGTCGGAGGGAAAGTGTCGAGATTCCAATTCGAGGGAATTCGAGTCCCGATCGTAAAGAGCTTCGGCGCGGCCGCGCAAAATGGCGGCGGCGTTGCGGAGTTGCGCGCAAGATGGCGGCCGCTTTTACGAGGACTTTATGGATGCCTTAACGACCGTGGCGCATATACGGGACCCCATTTCGTGCGAATGCACGCGGACGTATTAGATGCCGAGTGCACCGAGCTGGCTTGCCGCAAACCGAGCAAAACGAAGCCTCGAGCAGCGGCTTACGGGAGTAAAGAGTCCGGAGTTAAGAGTCTTAAGAGCCGGCGCACCACCGGCGGCCATCTTGGAGAACGCGATCTCCCCTGCACTTAATCCCAAGATTACCCCACGGATTTTTGCCCGAAACGCGGTCTTTCCCCCCGTTCCCACCGATATTTATTATCGCCCATATTTATTATTGCGATAGACAATTATCGAGGCCAAAACGTCTGTTAGAAAATCACAGGTGGACAAAACCAGCCGAGTTCGCGTTAATAATCGCCGGGGGTGGAGTCGGGAATCCCGGGGACATTTCGTGGACATTAGGGAAGTAATAATCCCCCGGAATGATTAACGATCTCGCAGGAGATGGCCCAGGGACTCTGCCCACCCAGGAAAGGTGGAGTACGTGTGCAAGGATCTCTACGTGTCAGGGCCCCGAGTTAATGCACGGGCTGGCTCATCAATACGTTATTCAAACGCGTGGCGGAGCTCATCAAACCCTGGTGGTGGGATGACTTTGAGATTTCCGTCAGGATTTATTGATTATTAATTGCGGCCCATTTACACGGGGGAAAGTCGACGCTTCTTGGCCACCCTCGCCGATTTTTCGCGGAGGTCATCCACGGTTCTATCGAATCGATACGAATTTATTGGTTAGACGGTTTCATCGAATGGATAGAAATTTATCGGTTTACCCTGACGGATTAGCAGAATTTCTAATTAAATTCAGGTTTCTATTGATCCTCCAGGACGCTGTGGGGAGGATTCCGACACCGAGAGCGAGCCAGGCATCGCCCTGAAGAGGAAGCAGCGACGCAGCAGGACGACTTTCTCTGGAGAACAATTGGAGCAGCTGGAGGCATCTTTCCAGAGGGCCCAATATCCCGACGTCTACGCCAGAGAGGAATTGGCACAGAGGATTGGCCTAACCGAAGCCAGGGTCCAGGTACTATCGCAACTTTCCAAGGTTACACGATTTGCCTCCAACTTCCGGTACCATCTTGGCATTTAATGGGCCCAGGGAAACGAGGATCTGGATTACGTTTCTCGTTTTCCGACAGGTGTGGTTCAGCAATCGTCGAGCCCGATTGCGGAAGCACGCTGGGAGTATCGGCCACCCCGTTGGCAGCCTGCCACTGTCACCCTGCCAATACACCGGGGGTCATGACTTGACCCAGCTCGGTCAGGTGACTCAGATCCCTGGAGGGATCCCCCAGGTGCCAACCACCTTACAGGGGCCTACTGCACTGCACCAGATCCCGACCAGCATCCACCAGGTCGCCGGGTCCGTGGCCCAGATGGCCACGACCATGGCCCAGGTGCCGACAACGGTGAGCAGCACTCTCCAGGGTCATCCTGTCACGATTTCTGGACACCTGACGTCCCTACCAGGACACTCCAACGGGATGCAACTAGGACAGACCATCCAGCCTCCGGCAGCCCATGGGACCACGCCGAGCCTGGTCCAGAATTCTGGTAGATACCCCCGAAACGATAGATCCCCTCCACAAAGACCAGCGAGCATTTACCTGGGGATTGGTTGCACCTCTGACCACCGTTCTTATCATTCCAGCGAGCCCAGACTGGTCCAGGGCCCAGATAGGCTGGAGCCAGTTCAACCATTTCCCAGGGGGCGAGTACCCCCCGACCCATGGTCCCCATCACCACCCGAGTCACCCAGCCCATGGTCAGCCCTCTTCCACAGGAACTGGACCATCCTCGGATTGGTACGACCAGGGCTACGAATATGCCCAACATGCCCAACACGCCCAACTGAACTACCACCGGAGTGTCGGGGGCATCTTCTAGCCGGGGAGCTAAACCTGTACATAATCTCTTATCTCAGCACCTAGGACGTGCCTTCCGTACCCCATAGACAATTTGAACCCTGCAGACCTGCGACCACCTTGCGGGAACTTGGCCTAAAAGTACCTTGACTAGTTGTAACTAACCACCCCCAGCGGGTGCCAGGAGACGTGGGAGACGCTGTGCATTTTATCGTAAATTATTGAAATAAAGTGGAGAGGCAAATGTTTAAGACTGCTTTTATAAACACGGCGAGAAGGTGTCGTTTCATTGAGACAGCCCCCGAAGCCGCGGAATCATGGAGAGCAATGTTTATGCCGATCGCATGACGCGGACCGGCGTCATGATTCTGATTTTCAAGGAAGGACTCACCTTATCATCTGAATTTACTGCCGGAATAGCTATCAAATACCGACAAGGTGTGCGTCACGTGTTTGCCGATCTCTCTCCTATCTGGCCCCTTTTTTGCAAGTGCGAGTGCATATAAGAGCGGCTCGACAAGGTCAGCCTGCAGGAACCAGGAAGATTCTCGACGATGAAGGGAACTTCGGCTGTCTTCGTGGTGCTGGTAAGTTTGGTCCCTTGATCCTTGATAAAAAATCGTATAAGATTTATTAGCTCAGGTGGAGAGTGCATCGAGGTTTGGGCAGGGTCTAGATGGATTTGTTATTTCAAATCGAGCGCCGTAAAATTTTTTTAGACCACCTGTTCGTTGACCAGCGCCCTCCTGGGTCCTCTGGCCAGCTCCTTCGGGTCGTCCTGCAACGCCATCCGCGAGTGCGACCTGTCCAACTGCAACGAGGGCAAGGTATGCATGCCAACTGGCTTGGGCTACATCCAAATCGGCTCCGTGGACTGTTCGGAGACCCCAAAGACGCCATATTGCGACCGAAACACAGGACTCTGCACGGCGACCCCATCTCCGGATTGTGCGCCTCCTGGGGAACGATTCGTGTGTCCCAGGCAGTCCGGGATCTATCCAGACCCCCTTAGCTGTTCCCGGTACCACATCTGCATAAATGGAGACGATACCGCGATAAACTGTCCCAAGAACAACATCTATGACCACGAAATTAAGGAATGTAGATTGAGAAGAGTGGCCAAGGATTGTGTGGCCTTCGACTGCACCAAGAAGGAGAACCAGGATGTGGTGTATCCGAAGGATCCCAGGATCTGGGGGATTTGCGTAGGAGGTAGGGCGTACATTTTGGGAAGGTGCAGGGACTACGAGGTCTACGATACCCAGAAGAGGACCTGCGTGAGGCACTGCGATAAGGTTGGCAATCAGCCGCATGATGATTGCAGGAAATACGTCAGGTGTTATGAGTATAGTCCAGGGAAATATGAGAGCATCGTTTATCCCTGCCCTAGGGGGCTAGGGTTCGATCAAAGTGTTGGCAGGTGCACCAGGAACGCGCCTTGTCTGGAGGGCCAGGGTCAGGGATCTGGAAATGGACAGGGGCAAGGATCTAACGGAAATGGGCAGGGGCAAGGATCTAACGGAAATGGACAGGGGCAAGGATCTAATGGAAATGGACAAGGATCTAGTGGGCAGGGTCAGGGATCCAATGGAAATGGGCAAGGGCAAGGAGCTGATGCAAATGATCAGGGATCTGGTGACCATGGTCAAGGATCTCATGCAAATGGCCAGAATGGTGCAGGAAATGGAATTAGTAGTCAAGGATCCTCTGGGAATGGCCAGCCTGGTACTGGGACTGGTGGGAATGGTCAAAGCAACGGAGCAAACGGACAAGGCTCCTCAGGTAATGGTGAAAATGTTGCTGGAGATGATCAGGAAAATTCGGAAGACGATGACGACGACCAGGCATCTGCTGGACACGGGAACCAGGGTAACAACGGAGAAGACGATAACTCCGACGCACCGAATGGTGGGCCGAGGTCTCTTGACATAATCGGGCCTGGGAAAGCGATTGCTGAAGTCATTGGACAATTGGTCGGCGGAGATGACAGCAAGGTTCCCGACGACATCGACCTGAGCAAACTCTTCGCCTTCCTAACGAGTGCCGTCAACACCGGAATCGGTGGAGACGAGGAAAGCGACGTTTCCACCTTCGACGACGACGACGGAACTCTGGAAGACGAGAACGACGACGAGACCAGCAATGACCCCAAGAACGACACCCTACAGGACTCCCCATCAGCAACAACCCGAATCATCAACAACTCAGGAAACCGTGACAGAGGCAACAGCGTTTCTGACGGAAACGGCACCGTCAACGGGAACCTGGTTAAAGGGAACGACAACGGCAGCAACGACGACTCTGGGAACGCCCTGAAGAAGCCGAAAGATGTGCTGCGTCGGATCATCAACCACGTCGGCAGCAGGAATGACGACGTCGCAAACGGAGACGACCCTGTGGAAGGAAACCCGATCAGCGACAATGATATCGACAGCGAAGATTCCGGAAACGTGTCCGTCAAGAGACGGAGATCCATCCCGCCCAGGCTCATCAGCAACAATGACGCCTCCAGGAGCATCTCGGAAGTGTTGCAGCAGATCCTTGGAAACGTCCTACCCGGCAACAGCGACGCCAGTCAGTCTTTTCCTAGCGAGGCTACGCCATCGGAAACGGCTGAGAGCAGCAACGAGATCAGCAACCTGCATGACGTCGGCACCTTGCTGCACCTAGAAGCCCAGATGATTAAGAAACTAAACGAAATGGGCTTCCCCAGTGCCGGCATCTGGGTGCAGACAGGAATTCAGGCCATCAACAATGAGCTGAAGTACTACATCAGCGACGGCACCATTAACAAAGAAGTGATCAGCAATTTGGTCCAACTGGCATTAAACAAAATCGACCTGCGTTCTCTCTCGGGTAACATTACAAATTTTGTACTTGCAATCATAAGAAACGTCTTAACAATCATCAATGACACGTTGGCAGACGTCAATGATCGTTTCAGTCAGTTGCTGAAAATAGACACGACGGTTTTTGGAACCGCTGAGAATATCCTTAAAGCGAGTCTCAAGCGATTAGCGCAGACGGAGTATGACCTGATTAATGACGCGACCAGCAACGACGTTGGTGAAAGAAAAAAAGCCACGGAAAGTCTTGACAAGTTGCTAAACGCCGAGCAGAGAATAGTCAGCAACTTCAGTATCGTTGTCCTAGACTGTCTGAGTCGATTGCTGGACCGAGGGGCGGAAGTCGTGAGACTACTCAGCAACAAGGGCGTCATTCCTGACAACGGTCTGGACAACTATTTAAGTTTAGAAGCTCGAGTCATCAAGTACACCGGCGCCGTTGCTAGAAGTAAACTCAAGAACGTGTTGCTGACCCAGCAGAAGATAGTCGCCAAACTGAGCACTGGCAACGCCGTTGCTGCGAATGCTGCCGGCGCCAGTCTGCGCCGGTTGCTGCAGTCGAAGATCAAGATCGTCGAAGACCAGCTAAACGTTGCTGAAGCCAGGGCCAAGAGGTTGCTGCAGACGGGACAGAGGACCATTTACAGCTACATCTCGAACACTACTGGATTGCTGAATCTAAATCCCGGAAACGGGAGCGTAATCGCGATTAACTACCTGCCGTCGTTTTTGAAAATCGTCGACGAGAGCAGCAACGACGCCGTTGCTGAACCCCAGAGGGGACACAGAATCAGAAGAAACAGCGAAATCGATATCAGCCTTGTTCAACAACTAATTCAGAATTTGGGCAGCAACATCACGAGTGATCTCCAGATCACTGTTTCTGGTCTCGCCGAGTTGCTGGAATACGCAAGGAATATCGTTCTGGACATCATCGGCAACATCCCGAAGGTCATCAGTGTGGGCATATCCACGTTGAAGAATCTGCTGGACGCCATAAAGCTAAGCATCGAAAATGTAGGTAACAATGGTTTGGGAAGATCTGGACTCAGCGATTTGTTGCTGGGACAGGTCGAGACAGTCGGGCGTTTAATCGATTCCGCCCAATCGAGTCTCGTCAGCAATATGCAAGACGTGAGGCCGGTGTTGGACGTCATTATCGGCGGACACGGTATTGCTGATCTATGTCAGAACATCGACCAATCGCTTGAGAGTCTGAAGGGAGCAATCAAGGAACACGTAAGCAACATCCCGATAGCAGAGTTGCTGAGTAATTTGCATCCTGGGAACTTGTTGCAATTAAAAATGAAGATCGTCGAGCAGTTAGGGTTCATTGCAAGCCTTCTGCAAAACGGCTCGCTGTTAGAACTATTGAGCAACAATCAGCAACTGGCACCGAGGATCATCAACACCTCTGGCAGCAACAACGCCGAGAACAAAATCGCGAACGACGACGACGACGTCCAAGGGAATTTGGTGAACGGAAATGACAACGGGGAGAACGTCGATTCCGGAAATATCAGTCACAAGAGAGCAAGGTCCAGCTTGGACAGGATCATCAACAACACCGGCAGCAACAACAGCAACAACGAGGTGCACAACGGCGCCGACAAAGTCGCTGGGAATTTGGTTAACGGAAACGGAAACGGGAAGAATGACGAATCCGGAAACGTCGCTCGGAGACTTCTGGCCGAGGTTCCTTCTGTCAGCCTCTTCATCATCAACAACTCCGGCAGCAACAACCTGGACAGCAAATTGTACAACGACAACGTCGATGGGAACATCAGAAATGGGAACGATTTCGGGAACAATGTGAACCCCGGAAACGTGATAAATTCGGAGTCGGAAACATCAGCAACAGATGCCGAAGAGTCCGAGTCAAGCAACGAATCGGATTCCTCCGAAGACTCCGTTGCTGGTGAGACCGACGACTTGCAGTCCGAAAGCGAGGAAAAGTCAGAAGAGTCCGAGGACGAGGAGAAAAGTCGGGAAATTGCAAGAAACACCCCCAGAGGTTCGAATTTACAGGAGCGCGCGAAAGCGGCGAAGCCGGTGATTAACAAATTCAAGAAATTGCTGTCCATTATTGACTAAGTGAAATTACAAACGACGAACCCCGAAGAGATCGTCCCTCGGATGTACAATGGGAAATAAATGTGAAAATGGGAATGTCCAACGAAGACTTTTTGGAAATGATCACCGAGATGAGAGGGGGGGCAGAGAGGATAAGCGATGGTGTACTTCAATATTATTATCGCTTTATTGTCACGGGGTTATCCACATTATTGTCTAGTTATACACATATTATATGATCGTTAGATAAATGTCATATACTCGCTTTATATGTCATCCACAGCAATGATAGGGACGATGGCGCTGTTAATCACCGTCGTTCCAGCCACTTAACAACTAACTCCTTTACACCGTTCCCCCGTTTCCCCTTCGCTCCCTCTCTCTCTCTTCGGCGTCGTCACGTGGTCACGTTTCGATACATGTACACGAAGAGCGATTAAAGCCACATTTACATATGGGAGAACGGAGAGATTATTCCTAGGTTAAGAGTGCGAGTAGAATGTGGTACCTCCAAAAGCTCCACAAAATGGCGGACACTAGGCGTTCGGTTACATCGTTTGGAATATTCGCCGTCTAAACTCGGCGCCGAGACTAGGACTAAACAGCGCGGATATCATAGCTATCGCCAGGAATAAAAAGGAGCCTTCAAATCTCGTTATCGTTATACCACCGCCACGCCGGCGAGGAGTTATATTAATACACCGAGAAATCGCAACCAAGACCCGTGGAAACGTCCCCGAGGAGGCACGCCGTGTCTCGCAGTCCCTCCTCGCGAGAAACGCCCACCTCGAGAATTGCCGTCCCGATTTCTCCTGCGCGGCTCCTCGTTAAGCCGCCCGGAAAGGATAGAAACCCGCGTCCGGATTGAATCTAGCGGCATGCTCGATAAAAACGTCGTCACTCTCCGATGCGAGGTGGAAAAACTGCAAAGGAAGGGAGGAGGCCGACCGAGCGCGCCATATTGGACGCCGGCAAGGTAGGGAGCCCCCTTGCGTCGGTCAAGCAGGACGCCTCGCTTCGGCTAACGGATCCGAATGGTGTCTCCCTTATTTTCGCGCCATATTTACAGGAAATCGCTTCCTCCCAGGTTGAAATTCCGCCTCTCGTATTATTTCCCGGCCCTCCTCGGATCCATCGGCCCGGATTATCCTCCGCGTTCTGACTTATCTACATCACTCGGGTGGGATGGTGGAGCTTCTGGCGGTTGAAGTTATCGACGGTTGGCGATAGAAGGAATTTCTTGAAGCCGCGACGACAATCCCCTGGTTGAGACTGTAGATATTGCACTCTCGCGACCATCCTGGGCCTTAGCGACGACCAAGACGACGCGTCGGCGGGGTCGTTGGACGCGGGCCCATCTGGGGAATCCTCCCTAGAAGTCACCAGAAAGTTAGATCCCCTCCCGCCTGGTGCATATTGCCGATAAAATCATAAAATTATGGAACAAAAACTCGCCAAAGGCACGGGGACCGACTCGAGCTTCACATTTAAGAGGACACCGAAAATCAAAATGGAGGACAAGAGATCTGCAGTAAAGAGCTAACATTGACATCTCTAGTATATATAGAGAGTTTTAAGACATCGAGAACGACACACAGAACACGTACTAAGAGACTGGAACGATCGGCTCCTTCCTCGACGACCTTCGTGGGGATAAAACTGAAGTTAGAAACACGTACTGGGAGTCAAAGGGGAAAGGAGTGACACATAAGTACCGAGTATGACCTGGTCTCTCGATCGAGTCTAACATCTATCTAAAATCTACGATCTAACGTCTCTAACATCAAGGTACCCACTGAACGGTGAACCGTTCTCCATCCCAGAAGCTGTGGAGCGCATCTCGAGGATCCACCCGGGAGACTACGTATATTATACATTCAATATCCCTCTAAGATAGCACACGTAGGGTGTCCCTAGGTAGTTAGACATGGAAAAGATAGAAGAGGCGACGACAATGATCTACCGATCTAGGGCCTACGTATTAACGTCCTCTAACATCGACATGAACACCGAACTACGGTGGTGGATCATTAGACGAGGTGGACTGGACACTTCTACTTGGAAAGGGTCGACGTGACGTCGATGTCACGTTGAAATTAGGTTGAAATAAGGTGGAAATCAGGTTGAAGCCAGGTTTAGGGGCAGAACGAACGGACTGGGACCAGACAGCACCTAGTGGGGGGGTAAGGAACTAGATGAGGTGAACCGCGACCAACTAGGACGTGGACAACGGAGACCTGGACTACCGGTCTGACCTGGCGACCAAATATCTGGGCGAGCGCGAGAACCGCGTAGCTCGGAAAGACGGCAGCCATCCAAGTCGAGCAAGTGCCCCGATGTGTCTTTTAATGGGCTGGCCCTGGGCGACCTGGAGGAACCCCGAAGTACCGGATCCACCTTGCAGACGCGGCTCAGGACCTGCCCCAACAGTCCAAGTCATCAAGCCAGGTCGAAACGCATAGTCGATCGTCGATGATGAATGAGATGGACCAAACGGATGACACCAGGAGTGGACAAAACCCCCCCTGAGTATGGATTTCCTTCGCCATTTTGCGCCCCAAATCGCGAATACTCGATCCCGATCAACGATGCGACGAGGCGACGAGACCCGAGGAACGGATAAGGACCCTGTCCCTTATCATCCCCGAAGACCCCTCTGGTCGCTTTTCGCTCCTGAAATTCGCCCCCTCCCCCCCGTCGCATTGTCCCAAACCCACGATATCAAGCTGAAAAGGGGAATAAATGATTCGCGGAGGGACTGGAAGAGGAACTAGATGCCCTTACCCATGAATCTCTTCTCCGTGATGGGGTACTCCCCGGTAAGGGCCTCGATCATCTCCTCGTAATCAAGGACGTTCGTGTTCTGCATCACCGGCAAAGGATACTCGTCCGAGAAGTCGATCTCCCGTTTGGACCTCCTCTCGGCCAGATTCTTCTTCGAGGACCCGTTCCTGTTCTCGGAGATGCCTTTGGACCCGTCATCGCTGACCCTGGGTTGGTCCTTCCCTCCGTCCTGACCCCAAACCCCAGGTTAGGATACGTAAAAAGGATGGCCTACGGACTAGAGATAGGAAGGTCCTGGACCAACGATAAGGTCTTACCTGGTTATCCACGTTCCCCATGAGGCTGGACCATCCTAGCCCATCCTGGTACCGCTCATCGGCGACATCCTCTGCCAAGGACCTGCCGTACCGGTTCTGAGTGGGCAGGCTCCAGTCCCTGGCTAGGGTCCCCACGTTTCTTTTAGAGTAGAACCCAGCCAAGTCCCCGTTCCTGGCTAGGGAGGCCAGGGTGCGTTTCTCGTCCTCGAATCCACGGATGGGAAGAGCCCCGGACCTGACCAGAGCCCCTAGGTATCTCTTTCCCTGAGGAAGAGCAAAGTCCCTAGCCAGGGCGGCGATGTTCCTCTTCCCTCCACTCGGTAGCATGTAGATCCTGGCCAAGGAGGCCACGTTCCTCTTGCCACCGTTCGGCAACATGTAGTCCCTAGCTAGGGCCCCCACGTTGCGCTTCCCGCTGGGCAACATGTAGTCTCTGGCCAGGGTGGCGACGTTCCTCTTCCCTGCTGGGAGCATGGAGTCCCTTGCCAGGCTGGCTATGTTTCGTTTTCCCTGGAGATAGTCCCCGGGGAAGTCCTCCAGTTGGGGGTCCGAGTCCAGCAGACTGTACGCGCGGAAGTAGGAAGGATGTCTGTCATCCTCCAGGAGAGCCCTCGGCGAGGTGTCGAATTTCTGGGATCAGATCGTGAAGAGGTGAAAAAATCACGAAGAGATCGGGAGAAAATCATGACTGGATTGTAAAGAGATCACCACGAAGAGATCATCGCCTCGCATCATCTCCGGAGATAAAATCGCTCGATAACACCTTCTACCTACTCAGGATAACCTACCTGGGAGCTTCTCTTGTTCTCCTCTTCCTCTTCCTCCTCCTGCTGGCCACTAGCCTTCTCCTGGATGGAAATCGGTAGGTCGCCGTTCTTCGCCAGGTTGGCGATGCTGCGCTTCTCGGCCGCGTCCCTGTACCTCCAGGTCTCCTCGACGGGGTCCTCCCTGAGTCTGGAGGCCTCGGCCGACTCCATCAGCTTCTGGGCCCTACCCTGGGCACTCAGGTGGCCCCGGATCGCCGGATCGCTGAAGAGCTCCAGGTACACCCCGGCCGGAAGACAGATCTCGGTGTCGTCGGCATCCTCGGGGTTCAGACCGCGCAAACTCGCGATGTCGTGCCGGTTCCTCACATCCTGGATGATCCTTGAAGTCCTCGAGTAGGCGGCCAGGTTCGAGCTGATCTCTGGCAGCCGCAAAAGGGTGAAGAACGTCTTTCGGGGGAGACACTGGTTACCCTCCTCGTCCTGACACGTCACCTGGACATGGGAGTCCTTAGTTCAGAGACGAAACGACACCCTTCCCTAACAATTTGACGTTTCTAGTGAAGTAACAACCATTGAAAAGAAAAAAAAAATGTGACCTTGAACGTAACTCCCATGGAGACCGGTAGATGGCGGGGCGAGAGCTTTCTCGCAAGCGACCTGACTCCCGAGGTACTATATAAGCCCGGACCTTTCTAGCTCGTTAATACCGGAACTTTGAAGTTCCAGGACGGAAAGGGTCCACCACGGTCGTCGAAAGCTCGGAACGTCTTACAATTGAAATTACGATGTAATTACCAGACCATGATCTACAATCGTTGGGGAGAAAAAGGGATTTCCTCGAGCAGAGAAAAGGAAATGCATTTGCGACTCGTTAAAAACGTCGCCACCTCGACGCGGAGGGTAATGAGAAAAAGCGTGTAATGAAAGCCCGTCACGTAACGCAATTACCTGGCGACCATATCGCGAGGGTAATTCATGGCTTCTGTCGGGACCCGGACTTCCGGCGAGAGGGAATGGAAAAAGAAGGAGAACGCAGGGTCGAAATTTATCACGGACGCCATGCAATAATCGGGAATTCCGGGACTCCCTGCGACAGGATTCGCGTCGACGGATTCAATTGTTCAGGATTGCATTACCGCCAGATTGACGGGAAATGCTCATCGGCGACGAAGAGCTGTCTCCTGTTTCCCGGTGGAAAGGTATCGATCCCAAGTTTCGCCCGAATTTTATGTATAAATTTATAGGTAGGTGGAGATTTCGCCGACCCTTGTAGCGGTTTCTCGAATCGAGGACGATGAGGGAAGCACAGGTGCGGAATAGGTGCGGATTCGATGCGACACGTGCACACACGTGACTCCCACGTCCACTAACTATGTTGAGTAAGTAGACTCGCATATTGTGCATTTCGTCGTTCCAGGACATCCGTGTGGGAGATGTCTCACGTGAGAGAAAATGGCGGCGTGTCGCGGGCACGCGGACGCGCCATCACGCGCAGTCCTGCCCGAAGAGCGGCCCTGATAACACGTGTGCGCGTCATCGAGGGACATAACCTCAACACGAGATCGGGATCCAGTGGCCGTTAAATCCGGAGTTAATTAATGTACCCGAACCATAAATGTAACACCTCGAATAAAACGATACACCACCTTTACGGAGTTATTCATCCCTTACACCTTATTTAACCCCTACGGGGGCGAGAAGATCGAAGACACGCTAAACAGCTCCTAATTTACGCCGGCCGATTTTCCGTTAATTAAAGGCATGTCCCATTAAGGAACCCTCCACGTCCATCGCAGATTCTGGACGTTGACAGAGTCGTTCCCGGATCTCTGGACGGCGCAATAAACTATGACGAATGGCCCGATAAAATGCCGCCCCGTGATAAAGGCGGCCCGAAATTGGCGGCCATTCTTGGCCTCTCTGGATTCTTAGGGATTACTTAATCCGTTCTCGCAATTTATCCCGAGATTTATTCCAGAGACGCACGCCCGACCTTGCCCTCCGAGGTTCCATTAGGTAAAAAGTACGATAAATGGTAAAAATGGACCGGAATATAAATCAGCTTCCGGAATGCGTCCCGAGATTAGCGTGCCCCCCGCGTCCTGCTGTTGTTCCGCACGAGCGTCTTCCAGGGGATGCCTTTCAGGGACAAAATGGCCCCTTGGAAAATAACGCCAGGTCCAGGAAGCGATCCTCTATATATATATCTCGTATCGCGATTATTCGGTCCATCGCCGACGTTATTCCGCTCGGCATGAATGCGGAAGGAGATGGAGACCAGGAATCCTCGAGCCGGGATCCATCTCCGGAGGGATGCTGGAAAAGGACCGCCCTTCGGCGGTGTTGCGAGATGGATCTCGAATTTCCATCCCTTGCCCTCGAAAGTAGGGGGGAAATCGATTTCCGTCAGTCCCCCTCCTCGATTTTCCACCGGAAACCCTTTACCGACCTTTACTACTTTCCTGCCATTTTTTCAAAACTGACAGCATGTTGCTAGTGAATTATTGACCGAATCTCGTATCTCGTTATTTCGTGGCCCATGTCCACTCGATCTGATACCGAGTAAAAAAAGTGGAAAAAGATGACCTTGGCGGAAATCGAGCGACAGGGCGTCTTCATTTGTAGCTGGACGTTCGCTCGTAAATGATGGTCTCACCCTCACCCACGCTCTACCATTCACACATACGAGATCCCCGGATGTCGAAAAGACATCAAACCTGTCAAAAAGTTCACCGGATGGCAAGATACGGCCTCTTTTCCACGGGTGATTGATGTACTCCCTTTGAACTTGGAGAGAAGCTCGCTTGATCTCCGCCATCTTTACCCTGCCTCCTATTCGCCGCCATTTTGAAAAGATTAATCCAATGGACATAAAAAGCGAAATTAAAAGCGACTCATCGTTTATCGACGCAGGATGTCATGAATTAATAATCAGAAGTATTAAGTTTAGAGAAACTCGCTCGACCGCCGCCATTTTGTAAAGAATAATCCAATGGACATAAAAAGCGAAATTAAAAGCGCGACTCTTCAATTGACTTTGAATATTTAACTCCTCATTTTCCTGAATTCATAATGAGGGATATTAAGCGATAACTAAATCTCTTCCGAAATTTCTCTTCTCGCTCTGGAGCGTGAGTTTTTTTTTTTCCTTTTTATTAAAGCGAGGAGGGATGGAGCAAAGTACGATATATAAGCCACGTGAAAATTCCTGCGAGCAGTTATTGGATTTTGTCCGAGGGTCGACATTCCGCGGGAAATCTCGAGTTGAACACGGACCGACCTCGAGGTCGGAATTTTCCTGTCTTATCGGCTTATCGAGGAATCCCAGGTGGACCAAAGGAAGGAATTGTTTCTTCGCGACTTTTTCCTCGGTAGCGATTCTACGGGAAAAATCTTGTTATTACATTTTATCCACAGGGATAAAATGTCGGACGGGATTCCTACAGCGAAGTAGGGGCTGGGTCGGAATAAACTGCAGCTATGATGCATAAAGTGCATCCATTGGAATTCACTCGCGCATTTCGCGGCCCGGGAGTCGATTTCCTTTAGAAAATAGAAATTCGATAAACACCGCCGATAAAGTAACGCGCAATTACTTTCCACCCGAGTTAGCAGCCAAGACTCCAGGAGTTCGCGAAAAATTGTGACAAAAAGCCGAGGCTATCAGGACCCTTTTTCGCAAACCTAATTAATATTTAATAAACGCTTGGAAATAACTGATCACTTCCCTCGCTTGCAAAACCCAAAACCGAGGCGGGAGCGAAATTAATTAAAGGAGGAAAATGATTACCAGGAAAGGCCTTAAACCCGATTTACGATAAGTTGAGGATCCTTCAGGAACATCGATCGGCCTCAAATGTCAATTACGGATCGTCCTTGGACTCTTGAGATCATTCATAAACTATAATTAAGTTACCTGAAAATTTCCGACATTTATTCCGTACTCTCATTCGCCTATCTACTCTAAGATCTCATTACACGAGAGTGAATTAAAAATTGCGCAATATTGCTTAATTGCGTATTTTTTACATGTTTTGCATTTCAATAGAATTCGATTTACCGAAATTCCTTTCTTGAAGAGAAGTGGAATTTCAAACGCGGCCGAAGTCGCGCCGAAAATTCACTCCAAGAATCAACTCTCTCGGGATATTTGCATTTTCTTTTTTTTTCCTTTCTATTATTTAAACGTATATACTTGTACGTTCATAATTTTGGCACGCTTCGGATTTCGAAAGAATTTGATTTATCGAAATTCTTTTCGAAAGAATTTCGAGCGCGGCCGAAGTCGCGCCGGAAGTTCGCTCCAAGAATCAACTCTCGGGATATTTGCGAGCGAATTCTCGCGAGTGCTCGTCACCCTCGAGAGGAAATTACTGATCGGAGATAGAGAGAGCAGAAGATGTTAGACGGCTCTCCTCCTCCTCCGAGAGAGGCGAACTCGAATTCGCGAATAGATAATTTATCTCGCGAGAGCATTCGCGCGAGTAATCGCGAGTATTGTTCCCTCGAGGCGTCCTTCTCCTGATAACAGGAGGAGCCGTGATAACGACACAATCACATCACCTCTACAATACGCGCAAACATCGACGTTATCGATAAATTCCCAAATTAAAGAATTTAAAAGAATCTAAAAGACGAAATAACTGCATACTGATAAAAATCATAGAAATTTCCATTTTTCATTATCAGAAAATATTTTCATGCAACAATAAATTGTAGAAAAAATTACACAGTGTGTAAGATTCAGCAACCGAATTAAAGTAGATCACAATATAATGTTGCATTTAATTCAAGTACAACATTCAGTGATGCGAAAACATACAATATTATATTTCTGGACATTGTCATTTTTCCGATTTTACGTTTTCCCTATGCGAGACTTTAGTTATGGAGTGTGTACAAATGTAGGTAAATCTCTATTGATTTTTATCAGTGTTTCAAAAATAAAAGGGGGTTAAATCGAGAAGCGAGGGGGAGAGCATCTCTTTGTGACGAAAATGGGGGGTCACGGGTTCAACAGGTTGAGCAGGGGATGAGTTATCCCGGAATTTTCCAAAAGCGAGGCTCACAATGCACCGGATTTTGCGAGGGAGGGCAAAAAATGAGGAACATTGAGACGTCACGTCGACGAGTAAATCTTCGAGTTTCCGGCCGATTGGAAGCGACTTTCGCGGCTGCGAGTTATCGGGAAACGCGGAAAAATCGACAATAGGAGAGGGGGGGAAATAAATCGGAGAGGTTACGCGGCGGTTAAGTCGCGAAAAACCGAGGTAAACTAAGCGGAGCAAAGTGCAATAAAGCTCCATGATTAACGTCCACGCAGGGCCCCCGGGGGCAGGAGATAAAAAATCGGGTTTACAACTCCCCGAAAGCGTCCATTTTCCCAATAGAGACTCGAAGCCAACCAAGGATTTCCCAAAGGACTTCTTTCGCCCCTTTCATCACCTCTTTTGGTAGATTTATTAACGTCCTTCGAGGTTAAAAGGCGCAACCGGTGTGCGCCGCTCCAAAATGGCGGCCATTGTTCCAGCAATTATGTCCTCGAGTGCAGAGGACAATAGAATGCAACTGGCGGATGGGAAACCCGAGGAAAGTGAGAACTGAAGACGCGGACAGTTTTCAATCTGCATTTCGGAGATGCCCCGGTCTAGGGGAAGCGTGAAAAAAAAGGGGAGAAAAAAGGAAAAATGAGCAACGCCGAAGAAAGCGTCCCAGCCCACGCGCGGCCGCTCTCGGAGATATTAAACCTCCGAAATTCCGGAATAAAATTGGTCCCCGTTGAAGGGCCGCGACATGCTGACAAGCATGGGCTAATTAACTGTCAGGAAAGTGGATATTAAAGGACGAGAGCCCATCGAGAAGCGAAAAGCCGCAAGGCGGGTCGATGCGGCTGCCATTGTTGGCCGGATCTCGCGGTTCCCGGTTACCGTGGATTCCTTTTCTCGATAACTTTCGAGAGATCCTTGGAAAACGTGGGAAATATCGCCTTTTCTAAAGGGTCCTCCCATCCGAAGACGCGACTCGGACCTGGGGAATGAAATTCGACCGGAAGTTCCGAGTTTCGCAGCAGCCTCGCTAATGTAATTTCGAAGCCGGCGACTCCATCTTGCGGAAGTTCCTAATCCGAATTGAATATTAAGGGCGCAACCTTTCCAGATCACGGCGATCAGTCACGCGTTTCCTTAAAGCCGATTAAAACGTAAATTCAATCATGAATTAAAACTTGCCAACTTCGAGCGCGCGTCCTTCTTCGGCGAAGACGCCTTGACAGCCATGGCGCGAAGAACTCTTCCATTAAGACTTTTGCCCTTAAAAATGTTTTCCCACGATCGTTTCCCCAAACTTTTAGCAGGAATTCCTAACGTCAAATTTACGAAGAGTTAATCCGCGGATAAGCTTTAAAAACTGACGATGAAAACGTGAAATTAAAACGTTAAAACGTGGCGACCTCGAGCGCGCGTCCTTCTTCGGCGGGGACGCCATGGCGGCCATCTTGCGCAAAGAAGAACGCTACCGTTAAGACTTTCGTCGTTAAAAATGTTTCCCTACGACCGTTTCCCCGAACTTTTAGCAGGAATAACAGCTAACATCGAATTTACGACGAGTTAATCCGTGAATAAGCTCTAAAAACGGAGTAAAGTGAGGTTAAAGGGGTCTTGGGAATTCCTGGGGAGACGCCGAGGGCCAAACCGCAGGCATCTCTTCTAAGATCGAGCTTCAAAGCGTGCCTCGAGCTCAAGTACGCCATTATGCGTAAACTTCGAGGCATAAATGTCTCCCCGTTAGTGTTGAAAAGCTCCTGAAGTAAGTCGCAACTTCGGCGTTAGCGACCCGATCGGCTTTCGATATTTTAATTAAAATACTTTCCGCCGCCGGCGCGATATTAATTAATGGATTAGATGGCCGGTAACGTACACGCGTGTACATTCACGTACGTGTTCGCTGCGAAGTAATCAGTCCTTTCAGAGACGATTAACTCTCCAGGACGTCGTGACGTCAGACCAGACTTGTCTTATTGCTAATCGAGGTTTAATCTCCTATAATTGAGAGTCGAGAGGCAACGATCGTCACAAAAGACAGGGCCAATCCCGGAAGCGATTTATACATATGTATATGCCCTGCATACATACATATACCTCCCCATAATACGACTACCTAAATGAACTTCCCTCAAAGGAGTGGTAATTACCGTCAACTATCGAATTTCCGGTTTCCCCTAAGGTTAGCCTTCAAAAATCGAAGGATGCCCTGGGGGGCCATTTTTGTTTGTTTGTTTTTTTTTCCCGTGTCCATTGTTCCTGCTCGATTTTTCCCCTTATCTATTTTTAGCGAATCCCATTCTGCGTGTTGGGACAAAAGTGGGCACTGCGGAAAATATGGGGGGGGAGGGAAAAAGGAAGAAAATCCGTATATACGTGACCGAGAGGGAAACCGAGCCCGATAACCTTATTCGAACCGCACGTGCAGCTGCAAAAGTGTCAACCGCAGATCCCGCGGTTGAAATAATCGAGACGAGACTCGATTTTTCAGGTACGAGATTTTAATTATCCGCTCTACCGAGGACATCTTCGCACTCGATACGACCCCTTTGCAATTCCGTTTAATGTTCCTCATTGTGCCGAGCAGAGACCGCAGGAAACCAATGGCCAAATTCCACATGTCGAGGAATTAACCGCGGATTTTCGGGTAATTCGTCCCACCGACCGCGGGAAATCTTCTCTCCCGCCCACGGTCCCCAGAATATACAATTCCGTTAATTATTCGCAACCTTTGCGCAATCCCCGGTGACGTTACTCTAAAAATAATCCCGTAATGAATTCCTCCGAATCGATATATCACGGTTTGATAGCGTCACTCACTTAACATTACCCCCAATTATCCGTATTCATGTAGCGACATTGAAATGCCAGGGATAAATTGTACATATGAAGTCTAATTACTCTAAAAGTAATCCCGGAAGAAATTCCTCCTAATCGATATATCACGGTTTGATAGCGTCACTCACTTAACATTACCCCCAATTATCCGTATTCATGTAGCGACATTGAAATGCCAGGGATAAATTGTACATATGAAGTCTAATTACTCTAAAAGTAATCCCGGAAGAAATTCCTCCTAATCGATATATCACGGTTTGATAGCGTCACTCACTTAACATTACCCCCGATTATCCGTATTTATGTAGCGACACTGAAATACCAGGGAAAGAATGTTATGTAAAATCAAATGTTATTTACAGATATTCTATGAAAATATTCAATGTTACTTCATTTTCGAGTAATTGCACTTGGATGGCGAAGACTCACCGTTGGCAGGCGCACCTCGTTCACGACGGATATGTAGATGAGCAAGCTTACGAGGTAGCTTCTGGTCACCCCCATGACTGTCAAGGTTGACAAGAAGATGCAGTGGTGGTCGCTGTCAAAATGCGTGTAAGCCAGGGGTTGCTTAGCCTCCTTATATAGGCCGCTTCACCCCCGCGCAGGCGTATGTAGCCGCCCTGGGCCTGGTACTCGTACATACGACATTCGCAGTGTTTAACACCGATATGTACGCGTGGTCACGTCGGGGATGCATCCGCACCCTGACTAACAAATTACCCCAGCCTAAACGGGCACAACTGTCAGAAGGAAATGTCTCTAAAACTATAAATTCCTACCCCGAAAAGAAAAGGAATTACTCCCTGCAACTTTCCTCGACGCCGAAAGAAAAAAATGGCGCCTGCGTCTCGGAGGAATTAGATTAATATAATTAATTAAAGCACTTTATGAGAATGGGCGTTCTCGATTTGGCTCGATTGGAAATGTCTCTAAAACTAAACATTTCGTGGAGAAAAAAAAAGAGAAAGAAAAGAGTTACTCCTTGTAATTTCCTCGACGCCGAAATAAAAAATGGCGCCTGCGTCTCAGAGGAAGGAGATTAATATCATTAATTAAAAGCACTTTATGAGAATGGGGGCTCTTGATTTTACTTTAAGCGGAGGGTTTTTTAATTTGGCTCGATTTTCGAAGGTACTTCCGTGAAGATTGTGAATCAAGGCAGGAATTTACATACGGAAGTTGAATTTCAAGGCGCCGTTTGTATATGCCTCGAGGGTAACCCTGAAGAGAAGGAACGCAATTCCGGCAGAAATGGCGACGTAATATTCGGGATTATTGCGTGTACTCGGAAGAAGTACCAGTCGACTCCTATTTTTAGACCAGACTACGTTATTAGCCCGCCAGTCGGCGTGAATTTCTCGAGGAATCGTTATTTTCTTTCTTCGAGCCGGTCCACATTGCTACGTTAACTTCCTGTCTATTGACTCGAGTATTTTACAGCCGTCCGTAACAATTCCTTTGGCCAGAAGCCGTGGAACAGTTCCCTCGGCGAGAAACCGTAAAATCCTGGGAATGATTACGAGAAAACGGGGTAGGGGGGAAAAAAAAGAAAAGAATTACTCAAACTGAAAACGCGAATTTCCAACCCGAGAGTGGAGTCGGTCGCTCAGTGGTCAGACGCGGCGATCATCAGGGCTAAGTAGAACGATTCGCATCCGGTCAGACATGAGTCCGATATTAAATTTACTTCCTAAGAATTAAGTCAAGCCTAGATAATAGATTCGAGGGAATATTCTTTTAATCATTTATAGGTAATTCCGCGGATGGGGAACCAGGGTTTCGGTTTCCAAGGATTAATTCGGATTAATTCTCGATAAAGTAAATGAAGCTCCAAGTCGATGGGACTTTCGCCGTCTTCGGGAACCCTCGAGGGATGCATCCCCCTCGAATTCGAGATAACTCCCTCCCTTGATTTTTAAGAACTTTATCTCGCCTTGGGATTTGCTACGGGAACCGGGTGTCGAGTGCCCGATGACGTCGGGGCTCGGCCTCGCACCCGACACCTTCGTCTTTCGGGAATATACGTCAGGAATAATTGAGCATATATTTGCTCGACTGTCCCGCCTAGGGAGGCATGAAAAACTCGCCTTCATCCAAAATGACCATGGACCTACACCATCCATACCCGCGCGTTCCAAATCAGCATTCGAGCCTCATCCAAACCCTCGCCAAATCACGACATATCGCCCTAAGTGAAGCGCTTCCCCTTTCTCAAATAAATCATGAACAATAGTCTCAGTTTCCGGATTATTCCCAAAAATTGGGTACATTGGTTCACCACGCAAGACCGCTACCAAAATCCTCGGCGCCGTTTAACACGAGAGCCAATGAATTAGTAAAAATCCTTCCTCTATTAATTTTCACATTCAAGAATTATAATTAACTTTAAATTATTACAGATAAGGGGAGTCGATTCGTTAGTCGGTACATTAGTTCACCACGCAAGACCGCTACCAAAATCCCCGGCGCCGTTTAACGCGAGAGCCAATGAGTTTGTTAAAATCCTTCCTCCTCTATTAATTTTGCACATTCAAGAATTATCATTAATTGGAAATTATTACAGATAAGGGGAGTCGATTCGTAAGTACCCGCCGAGCTTGCGCCGTAATAGGGACGTAGAAGAGCATGCGCGAAGAGGTACCAACGTCGCGCAAGTGCCTCCGAAGAATTCGGTGAACGGGACCGGAGCATCCCCTGTATTTTTATCCGACCCTCCCCGAGGTGTCTATATCGGGCTGCGCAGCGAAATAAGCCCCCGGTCGCGGCATCGAGCCCGAAAACGTCGTCACCGTCGAAGTGGTCGGCCATCGGCGAAGACGCCTGCGCTCTTCAGGGTGGCTCGACACCCCTGAAGCAGGTCTCGCCAGGTGAAAAGTCGATTACCGCGAGCAGTGCGTCGACCTCGAGCCCAGGAGTGCCTTTCGAGCCCGGTGATGTCTTCCTGAGACCCCGCGAGGATGTTCCGATGTGGCCTCCTGTCGGCATCGACCTCGCCTCGACTCAGGGTCCCCATTGGTGGGCGCCCTCCAGGGCGACGAGGTAGCGGCCCTCTTCGTCTTCCTCTTCAGGGTGATCCGGATCGTCGAGGTCCTGGGGGCCTCCCTCGGGCTCGACATGCTCGCCGAGATGGTTCGCCTGTCCTACCAGCATCGCGCCTTCTACTGCTACGTCATCCTCAGCGTCTGGATCTTCCTCCTGGTCGCTGGTAACCACCCTTAAAAAAGAAACCACCATACATATGATGACTCTAACAGATCAAGGTTTCATGATATTAATGATATCGGGAATAAAAAATTCCAGGTAAAGAAGGAAGTTTAAGGGAAAAGTGCGAGTCAGGGTCGATAAGCGCCGTGGAAGGGAAAAATGGTGCACCACCAGGGTCGCGTTTCCCTGCTCGGCGTCGAATCGCCGGGATATGGATTTCTTTGTCGGCCTCTGGGAGTTTCTTTCCTCCCGTCCTCCTTTCGGCTATTTTTAGGACACTTTTGCGCCTCCAGTCGCGACCCCCGAGACCTGGTCGCGCGTTGATTTCGGGTCGCAATCTCACTAGGGGTTGAAATCCTGGCCCGGAAGAGATACGACACCTCCAGGTGCCTTAATCGATGAGCCGAAATAATCGGAGCGGCGAAACGACCCAATCGTGGAGGAAAATTCCCGGGGTGGGATTACTTCCGGCTAAACCAGGGTCGGTTTAAAGGTGCCCGGTGGGCGGGCGATAAATCAAACCCACGAGCCGTGGCATATCGGGCTCGAATATTTACGGGGATGTTACAGCCAGGGAATCAAAACCGCTCTAACAGGCCGTTTAATGGGTTTGCGTTGCTCCCAGGCATGTACAAGTACATCGGCGTCGACGAGAAGAGCTCCCTCCAGGGCAGGACCTCGGGCAGCGAGCTGTCCATCAGGGAGTTCCCGAGGAACTTCAAGCCGGACGTTAAGACCAAGAAGATCTTCAGGTTCTGCAACCTGCCGAGCGACATTCTGCAAGGCACCGAAGGTACCACTTTTCGATTCGGTCCGATACCGATGATAAGCCACATACACCTGAAAAGCGACATTATCGGTACATTGTCACGTGAAATCTCTCCAGGGAAGGTAGATGGGAACCTGACCTTGGGCGGAATCCTCGTCTTCATCCGCCACGGCGACAGGGGACCCCTGGCCCACGTCAGGAACATCAGCACCGTGAACTGCGCCGGGGACTTCAGCAATCCAGAACTGGAGAACGCTTACCAGAGCTACCAGAACTTCCTGCAGAACGCCTCGACCTACTCCAGGACCAGCTGGGCCCAGTTCCTGGGACCGTTCCACGGGTTCCCGATGCTGCCCTCCAGTCCCAGAGACTGCAAGCTGGCCCAGCTGACCACTCTAGGAGTGGGTCAACTCCTGAAGACCGGCCTGCTCCTCAGGAGCGCCTACTTCAACAAGCTGAACCTCGGCAACGGGACCGTCACCTCCAAGGACGTCGTCGTCTACAGCACCAGGTACAGGAGGACCGTGCAGAGTGCGGTAGCCTTGCTGTACGCCTTCCTGGAGAACGACGGCTTCCAGAACCTCGCCAGGGTCAGTCTGAGAGAGACCCAGAGCTACGCCTTCTGCAACGTGGACTGCGCCTGCCCTGCGGCGGATAGGTACCTGAAACAGCACTCCAGGGTGAGGACTGAACACCTCCTTTAGACTTCTAATTTATAAATTAACTCCCATTAATTGGTATCACTAAATCCAGGAACTGGCGGAGCACCTGAGGTCGCACCCAGCAGTTTCGGACCTGATCAGACAAGCCTCCAACGTGGTCTTCGAGCTCCCCGACCAGGCCCAATCTACGGACCCGAACACCCTGAGGGACGCCCTGTTGACGTACATCTGCCACGGGGCCTCCTTGCCATGCATCGACCTGGAAACCCAAAGACTTTGCGTCAAAGCGGAGCACGTTACGGGTCTCTTCGCCTACACCGAGTGGGAAGCTCGACAGCATGCCAAAAGCCACAGCAGGAGGAAGCATGGCCTCCTCAGGGCGTACGGCTTGCTGAGGAACATAGTCTCGTACATGCTGAGAATCATCTCCGAGGCTAGACCAAAAGTGGTTCTATATTCCGGGCATGATAAGACCCTGGAATATCTGGCGACCGCTCTTGGAGTCATGTCCGAAACCGCCGCTTTGCCCCATTACGCGTCCAGATACGTCATAGAGGTCTACAGGGTGAACCCAAGAGGCGAGACCCACGTGGCCAGCGACTTCTTCTTCAGGGTAGTCGTCAACGGCAAGGACTTCACCCAGAGGATCCCCTTCTGCAGGAACTCCAATTTTTACACCGTCTTCTCCTCCGATAGAGATGACCAGGACAGGCCCAAGAGGGAGGCCAAACTCTGCCCCATCGAGGCCATCATCAGACAGCTCCACGATGATTATTTCCTCCCCTTCAATGCGACGAACTTCAAGGATGCTTGCTCCCTTCGGAAGAGAGGATAAACGGTAAGCAGGGAATTATTTAAGTTGACATATCAATTTTTTATCTCTAGGAAACGTTATCCTTGCCGAGAGTTTGGGTCCAGGTTGGGTGGGGCTTCTTCAGGGTCCTTCTTCCCTTCCTTTTTTTTTTCTGCAAACGACGTATTTATGGGGAACTACTTGGGATGTTGTCGTCCAATTTTCTTCTCTCTTCTTCAGGGAAGTCGACATCCAGTGGGCCAGTATCTTGGGGACCCGTTTACCTTCCTGCGGGATACGAAAATAACAAAACTGGTATCAGACATTTGGTCATATACCGGAGCGAATCCAGAGAGGCACAAGACTTGGAGCTGCCTTCGTATAGAAAATCGCGTTTAACATTTAATATCATCTGAACGTCGTTAGGAAATCTCGGGATTTCCCCGGAAACGGAATGTTCACCTCGACGATCAGCACCGTCGATATTCGAGCTATTGTCATTTCGGACAATTCTTAAAGCGACATCTCACTCGATAAAGAGACGTAGAATTTCTTACCGAGTTAAGAAAGGGGGGAAAAAAGGAAAGGAGAAGAAATCACCAGAGTTGCACACTTTAGAGATTCCCCTAGGTCTCCCTCGCACCGGATAGCTCGTCTTCGGTCTAGGGATAATTTCTTATCATTGACCAGACCTCTCGCATCGATCTTACCAAGAAAGTATTAGGATTTCTAAAGTAGGACCCGTTTCCTAAGGGCTTAGGTTTAAAAAGAAAAACGCGAATCACCTTCGGGATTTCCGCCATTTTGGAGTCGTTCGGTTCTGCTGGCGGATATTTAATCAGAATTTCCACGACCTTAACACCATAATCGGAGAAGAATACAGAGGGAGAAGACGGAATAGAGAAGTTTGCCTTACGCATGAATGTTGGGAAAAGTAATAATTAAAGAGAAAAAAAAAGAAGAAGAAAAGAAACAAGACAAAGATATCAAACGCCACCCTCGAGTTCTCGACTTAGACCATCGTCTATCTTCTAAAGTATATCCAAGGGAGCCTTAAGAATCTAGACTACTCGACAAGCTCTTTAGAGGTAGTTTCGTAAACGATGAAAATACCTAGCTTTAGCTGGCCGTCATATATTTTATCATACAACTCGATGTATATATTGTACATAAAGTCCCGGAGCCGAGTGACCTCGGTTCTGTAAATTGTAAATCAACGTGGGCGACACCGAAGCCCCGAGACCTCTTAATCGTATCCTTAGACAATATCGTCAATTTTATACAATCCTTAGGACTCCTTCCTTCCTTTCGCACGCCTAGAAGAATAGTTACAACGATTAGACTCTGTAAGCGCCGATATCGAGAAATGAATAACCGGAAGAGGGCTCTTTCCAACGTTAACTTGAAGATTCCCCGTTTTCCTTTCCAGTGAAAAAGTAGCAACGACATTTAACAATACGTCCGACTAAGCCACCATAGCGATGTAAGGGATTATTTAACGCTATTTGTTCATAAAAGTGGGTTCCACCTTCCCTTAGCGTTGCGCTCAAGATGGCGGACGGAAGCTCGAAGAAATTCTATTGCGGTTACGACTACAGATTTCTATTGCATTTATGGAGAAATATATATATATATATATATCGAACTATGCTTGTTAAACGTATCGAGTGCTCGAGAGAAGATGTAGATGACGTTTTAATGTACAGACATCGACGCAGCATTAAAAACGCCTAATCAACCCCCGAAGGGCTCGACTTCCCTTTCCCGGCTTTCCCTCCTCCTCTAGATTCTTCCTAATCTCACATATAGAAACGGTTGTCCATGCAAAATCCTCCAGAGGCATCTCGGCAATTTTATTCACAAATATATAAAAGAACATTCACTTCGATAATAAATAGAAAATATGTATTACGATTTACAAGGCACACGTATACGTTCTTTCCTCCCTCTCTCTCATCCTGGTCCTTAATCTCAAACTTAATCGCAGCAGTAAACTAGCCTAATGAAGATTAAAAAAACCGAGAAAGAATCGGATAAAAATGAAAAATACTCAGCAAGGCAGTCTTTGGCTAAACGGCGAAGTGGGGAAGAATGAGTTAAACGAGGTCGCGATTAAACATTTATCGATGAATTCTAAAAACACATCCGAGCACCAGCCTCGGGGTAACTCCCTAACAAGGACCGAGAGGGTGAAGAACCTTAATCCTACATTTAAAAAAAGGAAGAAAAACAATAAAAAATGAAAAACGTCGAGAACATTCCTTCGGGAAGCAGTCAAAGATAATGTTCCCGTGCACCTCTAATTCCGCAAAGATCTATATATACACACAGGTCACGATAACTGACAGACGAGATAAAAATGCAGGTCGCAGCACCCAAGGGAGTCCACCTCCTGGAGCAGACCCCCCTTGAATTTTTCCAGGGTCCCTAATAAATGCAACCCGTTAAATGCGTCCTAGCTAGATATGTCGTCGGGATGAAAAAAGTCCCCTAGATAAAATGCCCAGTTCAATCGATCTCCATCGACGCTCCGAGCTGACCGGAATCGACGTCGGCGTCGGATGGAAACGGCAATCCCACGTGCGCCATCACTCCTGGCGGCACATTTAGGCGAGACATAATCGACGCTTCCCAAGAGGCGTCCTTCATGCCGCGCCAATCAAGGTAGATGAAGACTCGAGGTCGAAGAGGAAACGTTATTCCGGTAGTTGTCGAGAACCGGCATCGGCCATGGCCATGTTGAGGGTCCTCTCGATGTGCAAGAATCTCTGTCGGTATTGCCCCAGGTCTAGATTCCCCTGACCGGGCGACAAGCTGGGCGGCTGGCTGGACAACGCGTTCCCGAGGTCGTTGCTGAAAAATAAGGAACAACCTTGGCACTAGTTTCGTACATATCTCCTCCCAACGGAGCGTTAGGAACGAAGCATCATTTTATAGTAAAGCATATAAGAAATATGGAGAAACCGACCGACTGGTAACCGTGTCCCTAACAGGTGGCGAATGATTAGGCGCGTGTCTTCGCAGGGGTACGAACTGCTCTGCGTTCCCCAGGACGGCGTTTGCGCCGATCCTGTAGCCGGTTCGCCATCTCAGGACGAGCCACTTCATCCGCCTGATGCTGACGAGGACCAAGACCGCCTTCCTGAATCGAAGCCGAGGGTTCTTCCGGTTTCCGTTGACTATGGTGCAGGCCCTCTGCGTGTGAGTCAGCTGGGCCAGAGTGCAGAGGGTGAGCTCTTCGGATATCTCGTACCCGCCGAGCACGCAGATCAGGTACCTCTTCTGGAACTTCAGGGCCTTGCGTCTGCTCTCAGCGCGCAGGTGCTTCCCGTAGAAGTGCTGCACCTGGAGTTACAAGTCGGTATCTTTTCTATCTAGAGTATCCCTCTAAACGGGACAGTGCCCCAGATAAATTTAAATCGGAAGGTACGAGCGCGTTTAAAAGGATCCTTACGTTTTCAAAGACGCCTGGAGGAACGTCGCTCCTACCGCGCGGGCCCTTGTTTCTCTGTGCAGTCTCCGACTCCAAGGTCCTCGTCCTGGTGGCGAATTGTTCCCTCTCTTCGCGAGCCTTCATTAGTTTCTCCCTAAGGGCGTTCTTCTCGCCGGAGAGCCTCTCCACGATCTCGTTCAGCTCCTGTCCAGGAAGATAACGTTAAATAGTGGAACCAGCGATTCGAGTGTAAACCTTCGGCCATCACACCTTGATCTTCTGCACAAACTTCACAGGTGCGTTGTTCTCGCTGCAGAGCCTCTCTCGCTGCAGCTCGTTGTTAAGCTGCAACTCCTTCTCGATGTTCGCTCTGAGGTCGTTCTGCATATCGGAGATGACCTCCTTGAGCCTCTTCTCCTCGTTCCTGGCAGCCTCCAGCTTCCTGTTGAGCTCCGACTCCTTCTCGGTCAGCAATTCGACGCACCTGGCCAGTTGAGTCTTCTGCTCGACGGCCTTGGCCAGCTCTTTCTTCGACTGCTTCATGTCCGCCTCCAGGTCGCACTAAACAAAGATTAGGGTAAAAATTATTCCCGGGGTCCAGAGATGAAATTTAAGGAACTAAAAATCGACCAATTGTTAACCAGCTTACCATGACGTCCCTACAATTGGCGACCTCCCTTCTGAGGCTCTTTAGCTCGTTGTGCTCGTTCGACCTCTGTTGCTGCCTCTTGGTCTCCGCGTTCGTCATGGTCTCGATCCTCTTCTGCAGCCACTCGCACTCGTCCTCCCTGCTCTTCAGCTCCTCCTTGGTCCTCTTCAGGTCGGTCTCCAAGTGCTCCTTGATCCCTTCGGCGAGGACGAGGCTGCTGATGAACTTCTCCTTCTCCTCCAGGGCAACCTCGAGCCTCTGCTCGCACCTGTTCTTCTCGGCCACCGTCCTCTTCAGGGTCAGCTCCAATTCCGAGCTCTTCCTCTGCTCCTTCTCGACCTCCTCGACAAGGGCCACGTACTTCTTCTGCTCGCTTCTCAGAAGCTCCGACAATTTCGGGACGTCCTCCACCTGCTGAGACTGCACGTGCTCCCTGACGGAGCTCAGCTGGGCCTCCAAGCTCTTCTGCTCCTGCCTCATGGTCGCCAGGTCCTTCCTCAGCTTGTCCTCCACGTTCAGAGAGTCCTCCAGTTTCCTTCTCAAGTGCTAACCGCGAACGTCGGATTAAATATTAATTACAATATCACACGTATGATACCCCTAGTTTCCTTAAACTATATAAAAAAAAATCCAGGCAATCCGCAAGATTCGAGAAACCTACAGCTATGAGCTCGGAGTTCTGGGCCTGAGAAACGTGAGTCGCGTTCTGCTCCCTCTGGATCTGGATCCTCAGGTTGCGGACCACGTTCTTCTCCGAGGAGAGCTCCTCATCTAGGTGCGTCACTTTCTTGCACTCCTCGTCCAAGAACGACCTGATGGTAAATTAAAAAGACAGGGATTACAAAATGAAAAGACGTCCAAAGAAGCAAGGTCACACATTTCCAGTTATCTCACTTGATCTGCAAGATCCGATCCTCGTACTCGACGACCTGAGACCGTAGCATCTCTTTCTCGATTTCCAGGTCGTCCTTCAGTTTGTTGAGCTCTTCGTTGACTTTGAGCGCCTGCTTCAGTCGGATTCTCGTCTCCGAGTACCTCTGAATCACGTTCTCCTGTTGTTCCTGGTTAGGTGATCGACCATTTACGGTGTTACCATGATGAATCTCGACTAGTCTGGCTGATCCGTCCTCGGGCTCGCTCTCGATGGCCTCCATGATCCTCTTGTCCAAGCGAGCGGACAAATTGAGTTCCCTCTGAACCATCTCCTCGATCTCGGTTCCCTCTTCCGACTGACGGCAAGGCTCGTTCCCCAGGCCCTCCAGCTCCTTCCTAAGCTTCTGGACGACTTCCTTCAGCTCGGCGTTGAGCTTCTTCTCCTCCTTCAGCTTCCTCCTCAGCTCTACGACGTTGCCCGACTCCTTCATCTTGTTCTGGATGGTCTCCAATGCCCTGTGCAAGCTCTTGCTGTCGTCGCTCATCTGCCGGATCACCTTGTCCTTCTCCTTCAGGTACTCCTGCAGATGATGGATCTCCTGGTCCTTGTTCTCGCTCGGTGACGAGGCACCCGAGAAGCTGGACCGCCTCGCCATCTCCTCCAGTCTGCCGATCACCTGGTCCCGGTTGTTCAACCCCTCCGTCAGCCTCTGGATCTCGCCCTGGTACTCGGCGAACTTCTTCCCGTACTGCTCGAACTTGGTCTTCTGCTCGTAGAGCTGTTTATTCTCGTTCTCGATCTCCAGATTCCTGGTCTTCATCGTCTCGATGGTGATGTCCTTCTCGAAGATGATCTCCCGGAGGTTCTTGATCTCCTGCGACTTCTCCTGGACGGTCGCCTCGAAGACTTTTATCTGCTTCTGCTCCCTCTCCCGGGTCTCCGTAAGGATCCTCTCGTTCATCTGCATCTTCCTCCGGTACTCCTCGAGCTCCTCGTCCCTCATCTTCAGGGTGTTCTCCACTTCCATCAGGTCCATCGTGATCTTGGCTTCTGAGGCCTGCGAAAGCTCGTACTGGTTCTTGTAGAAGCACTTCTCCCTCGTCAGGGTCTCCACCTGGGTCCTCAGCTCGACCCTGAGTTCGTCAAGGGTGTTCCTAACCAGGTCCAGCTCCCTCTCCCTCTTCTCCAGATCTGCCGACTTCAGGTGCAGCTCCTCGGTAATCCTGGCTAGCTGGCCCTCCATCCTGGTCACCGTTTCCATCAAGCTTTCCTTAGTCCGTCCGGAATCCTCCAGAACCTTCTTTGAACCACCCTCCTTGCTCTCTTCGGCATCCGACGCTTCTACTCCACTCTGTCCGTTCCCATCCACCCTGTCCTCCACATCATCCAGAAGATGTTCCCTGGTTTTGCCATCGCTCGCATTCTCCCACTGCACTTTACTTCCGGAAGACGTTTGCTCGCCCGCAGATCCTGGCGACGTCACCTCCGCGTTGCTGTGAATTATTATCTCAGGAATCGTGGGGTCCTGCAGCTCGCGGGGGCTACAAATCGAAGGGCTTTGAGACTGCATCCCTAATTCCAGTCTGGGCACCTGGACGTCCATTTTATCGGCATCGGCCGGGAACGCGGGGGACACTTCGGGGGTGTCGTTCAACTGAACGAAATGGGGCGAACGGAAGGTGGAAATATTCTGAGGCGTGATTTGGGTACCATTAGGGACGTCGCGAATCGCTTCGGGCAGTTCCTCGCACTCGGAGTTGATCGACAAAATGTCGCTCAGAGTGCGGGCGCTGCTCTTCGGCTCGGCTTGCCGAATCTGGCAGTCGTCCAAATTAAGAGAAAGATAAGCTTCGAGCTGCTTGTCGCGCTTCAGGAGCTGGTCCTTCAGGTGGTCGATCTCCTCGTTCTTGTCGGCCAGCATCGTGTCGATCAGCTGCGGCAGCTCCACGTGGGCGCGCTCTTGAACGACAACTTTCGACTGGATGAAAAAAGAGAGAAAAAAAAAATTGTGCATTAAGGAGATAGAGAAAGAAAGAAAAGGAGGAGGGATAAAATCCCGGGCTTTCCTTCACACCTCCAGGAATTTCTTCTCGTCCTCCAGGACCTCCAGGCGGTCCTTCAGCTTCTGTATCATCACGCTCTCCGTCTGAACGACTTTCGCGATGTCAGCCTCCTTCTCCGCCAGCAACTTGTTCACTCTGTCGAGCTGGTTCCTCGTCTCCTTCAGCTTCAGGAAATTAAATTAAGAAATGCATTAGTTAGCTACCAATCTAATTAGGATTAATCGGAAGGGTAAAGATAGGGAGCCAGTACCTCCAAATCTTTATCGGTGAGCACCTGCTCCATGGCAAGGATCTTCGCGTTGGACTCGTGCAGCTGCAGCTCCAACCTCGAGGTAGCTTGTCTCTGAGCGAAGGGGGCGCTCTGTTTCTGCTGCTCCAGGCGACTCCTCAGGGATTCTATCTGGAAGAGCTGTTCCGAGGTGGTCTGCTGCAGGATCTCCTGCTCGGCCAGCAACTCCTGCACAGATCATATAATTTCTTACAACCTGAAGAGACCTCGGCAAGAAGCCTCCGCTTCGAGCTGGCGAACCTCGTTTTGGTTCTTCAGCGAGGCAAGTTGCATGTCGAGGTCCTTGATCCTCTTGAAGGCGACCTCCTCGGCTCGGGCGTGCTTTTGGAGCTTCTCCTTGAGCTTCAGGACCTGGTCCAGGGGCAGAGTAGGAGGAGCCTGAGGATCATCCGGGGTGGGGCACCTCACGGCGTCGATCTGGTCCCTGATGGACACGTCCTCGCTGGGCTGGCTGAGACTCAGACTGGATCCGCACATGTGCAAAGCCTCCAGCTCCTTGGTCCTCCTGTCCAGTTGGCTCTGCATCTCGCGGATCTCCAGCTTCATCTGCTTCAGTGCCGAACTGTTGACGTTGAAGTGCTCGGAGCTGAGCTTGTGCTTCATGAGCTCCTCCTTGGCGAGAAAAATAGGAAAGACGTATGAAAAATGTCGAGACCTCCCCAAGGAAATCCTGAAGGACTTCTCACTCACTTGCAGATGACTGATGTGCTCGTTCAGCTGGCCGTTCTCGCCGTCCAGCTTGATGGCGTCCAACTCTTGCACCAACTCCTGCTGGTTCTTGGACTGGGCAGCGATCACTTCCCTCAGCTGTTCGATTTCCCTCATCAGGAACTCCTCCTTCTCCTCCTTTGCCTGGATCTGCTCGTCCCTGGCAGCGATGATGTCCTTGAGGTCGCATATCTTCTCCATGACCGCCTTCAGCTCGTTCTCCATCTCGCACCTCTTGGCCTCGGCATCCGACCTCAAGGACGACATTTCCCTCAGCTGGCACTCGAGTGCCTCCACCTGTACATCGCAGGAACCTCTCAATAATCGGCAGGACCTCGTCCAGGAATCGTACCAATTCCAAATCCACAGTTCGTGCAAACTACGACCGCAAAGAAGCCAAAGCTGATCGCGTCCAAGCAGACATTGTTCATGACTATTCACCCCGTTCCCCGAACATAACGTTCACGTCCTAGGAATGCGTTTCAATGCGTCTCGACGCATTTTAACAAAATAAAAGGACCCACTGGCATCTTAACTCTGAAGTATGCCCCCGACATGTTGCTCGGTTCTTGTTAGGATAAATAAAAAATCTCACTCACAGCTGCCCTGAAGTCCACGGACCGAACCACGGCGACGTCGGACGACCATAGAGGCGATAGCGAGGTCTGCTTTGTGCAACAAACAGAAAACCAAACCACGGTGCAAAAGGGGAAAATAAAATACGCGTGATGTTAAGGCGGCGGCGGTGATGGTGCATTCTGTTAAAAAAGCTTTTCCCGCCTCGACTCTCTATCGTTACAACATTTATCGACCCAGGTAATATCTAACACTCTGTTAAATGTTAAAAATAAATATCCGGAGAACGACAAGAGAGAGAGAGAGAAAGAAAAAAAAATAGAATGCGTTAGGTCAAGCCTATCACCAAAAAGTTAAAGGCCCTCCCAGGCGTCCCTGACGAGCAGAACGGAGTTTCTCTCGTGGCGTCTCGTGATGGGTGTTTTAATCTTCCCGTGAGAGTTCAGTACCTCGGAGCTGATGCGCAAATCTCGTTCCTTCTCTCTTTCGCGTTCCTTGATGACATCCTGAAGAGATTCTATCCTGCGAGCCGCCTCGTCTCGCTCGGCCTCGCGTTCCGTTGCTTGCTCCTCCAGGAACTTCCTCGTAGCTCGCAATTGCTTGTCCGCGGCCTCGATCTGGACAGTAAGCTCTAATTAGATGGTTACCAGATGCAAAAATGAAGGAGGGGATACAATGAACCCAGGGAAAGAACAAGAAAAACGGTCCACGGGGTCGGCGATTGGTCGGAGTCGCTAATGACCCCGTGGAGCTTATCAATCAGGACATCGAAGTCGCAATCGGCGATACTCCTCGAAAAGACCCAGAAAAGGGTCGTGTTAAAGCGCTCTTTGTTATATTAATAATTAGAAGACCCATGCAATTGGACAACTAAACGATTGTAAGTCATGCCGTCACCCTGGTTAGAGGGAATACGCACAAAGCTCATACTGTACTGAACAAGACAAAGCTTCCCATGCGGTGCAAAGAAACGCAAACAAAAGTGTACATTAACGGGTGCATTATGAGTTCAATAGGGAAAGGAAACGCGAGAGATTGTCTCGAGTTATCGAAAAGAACTAGGGAAGGCGTACTTGTCTCGAGAGAAAAGATCGGATTACCTTTTCTGTCCAGATCAGCGGGATCCTGTCGGACGAGGAACGTTTGCTACCGAACGCGGACGTGTTAAGCGTCAGACAGGATTTTAACGGACATTCTAATTGTTAAGAATGTATTTACAGGTTTCTAGACGTAAAATTAGTAGTACTATTTACCTTTCGACGGCATACCCTGTGAATGTATGGGGTAGGGATGGGATCTAATGAAACCTGCCGGCAAGACAAGAACGCCAATCAATCCACTTGCTACTTCGGAATCAACCGCGGGAAATCAACTCTTTTATGCATTATTTATGCAACAGTGCTGAAAAACATCGACGATGCCGTGTTACGTAATTAATCTTGGCTAAAATAAATATAAGAACCATGGGAAATAATTTAAATGCAAACTGTTATCAGAGAAGAAATTCCCCGGCACGATCGATGTACCTTCAGGACTTGGCTAATATCGTCAACCCATTTAATTACCGAGCATTCCAGGATCAACCTTTGATAAACTACAAATAGAGATGGATTATGCACTCGATTATGCGTACACTGAAATTTCCTGTATGTGTAGCGTACCAAAAATAATTGATATGCGACGTAACATGCAATTGGTGCACCGATCCTCTAGGACCTGTCCAATGCGTTTTACCTGCTGTTGGAGATCTTCCCTTTCCTTCTTGGCATCCTCCATCTGTTTGTCGCTGTATCTACAGAATTCCTCTATCAACTTGAACATCTGGGAATTGTCTCCTCCGCCATTACTTAAAAGCAGCCGAGCTGAAAAATTTATTGACAAAAATCCTATTTATAAAACCCTATCAAAATGCATCTCGAAGCAGTTCCTTACATACCCTTATCCTGGACTTCGGAGAAAGTCTGCAGCGTAACCTCTCCACCAACCTCTTCTTGCTCTCCGTACCCTTCGGTTATGATTTCTTTCTTGCTTTCTGCTATAAAGAGTCGCTGCTGCAAGTCCAAGATTTTCAGTTTAAGTTGCTCGCAATCCTCTCGATAGCTCATTATCATACTCTCTGCTTCCTTCAACTTCGCTGTCAGTTCCTCATTGATCCTGTTGGTTCGAAGCACTTGCCTCGAGAAGGAATCCTGCCTGGTTTCTACAGGAGGCAGAGAGATTCCCAAAACCTGAGCACTTTCTGAACGCAGTCTACGCAGACAACTGTCCAGCTCCATTCGCAGAGTCTCCGTGATGTTCCTGTCCTCTCCGATGAGATTCTGCATGCTATTGTCTTCGCAATTCAAGATAGATGTCAAGTCGCTGGACTGTGGAGCAAAGTGGACCCTCTTGATCCTGGACTCCACCGGCTTCTGATGACGATTCTGCAATTCCGACTCAATCATTTCCAAGGTTTCGCTGCCCAAGCCTGTTTCCTCCTGCTGAGACTCCTCGATTGCTTCCGACTTCGATAACTGAGTCTTCAAAACTTCGCTGATTAGAGTGTTGTTAACCTCTTCTTCGCACACCGCAAAGTAATTGATTAACTCTCCGACCAGACCCTTCAAAGTCGAGCACGTTTTGTACAGGTTATCCCTACAGAATCATAATAAATTCATTATCCATTACGTCCAATATTTACATAGTTTACAAAGATTATACCTCATTGTACTTCTATAATTATCATTAAATTATTTAAAACTTGATAATAGTCAAGATTTATAGGTTAGTGACACGAACTGCAAGCAAACTTACACTACAGGAACCCATTACGCCAGTGTCTTGTTTTTCTCTCTTCATTTTTTTTTGTCAAGTCAAGGTACTTTAAAAAATACTAGATATAACTGACCTCTCCTGGATCAAAGCAATGTCAGAAGGTGTCTTGTGGGTTTCGGCTTCTCTCCTCAGATGAATTTGATTTTCAAGTTCAGCCGAAACTTTTCTGAGTTCCTCCTTCAGTTGATGGACCTCCTTGGCATGGTTTTGTTCAAGAACTCTAATCTGACGCATAGCATGATTGGTCAACTTGTCTCTCAATTCGATTAACTCTTGTGGGGTGTTCTCCTCCTCGTTAGAATTTAGTGCCAGCAGAGCCTACAAGATATATTAACAACCACGTTATCGAAACACTGATGACAGTTCCAAGCAATTGTACAGAGAAATATTCGCAAGCTCAAGTATGTACGATGCTGCTTAATCTAAACTTCTTTGGCCTGAGCTTCATCACAAAGCAAAAGATAGACCACAAGAAACAAGAACGTTATCAGTCAGCAGCGACTGCAAATTGCCGATTGCCTAACATTTGCGTAGAATCAAAAGTAACACGATAGCAGTGATAGTGAGGCGTTTCAAGAGGTCATCTCACTTGCGTCACACACATATTGAGTTGAATGATTACCACGAACCAAACAGATCCGACAGTCCCATCGATCCATAATAGATCACAATGCCACGAAGGAAACACTAAAGAAGCAAACAGAGAAGAAAAAGCACTCCCAGCTGCGGAATAAGCTACCTGGACCCGGTCCAAAAAATTGTTGACGACGTCTTGCTCGGCAAGGGCAACTTGTTCCTTCAGCCTGTGTTCGTAGATGGCCAACAGCTCCGACAGTTCACAGCTCTCCCCAGCAATTGGCTCCAATTCTGTCTGACATTGCTGCATGCGCAGGACAGGCCACACATGGTACATATGTTAGTAACCAGGAGAGTCGTTCCGCCAAGACAGATGTTAAACGTCAAAAGGACAAACACAAAAAGAGACCAGTCAGTTTCAGAAGAGACAGAAATGCCTCACGACGCCATGCTTCGATTGGCAGAAGGTAACAACCTGACTCACCTGATTAACCGTTTTAAGTAGGGTTACACGATTCCCTCTCTCCTTCATGTTTAAGATTAGGCTCTCGTAGTAGGCTTTCTGTTCCGCTATCTTTGCTTCGTAATTTGCCTTCATTTCCAGTATTTCCTGTGCCTGGCGCTCAACGTCATGCTTTACGTCTTCTAGTTTCTGACTAAGTTCAAAGTTGCCCTGATTGGTTCTCTCCGAGCCGTCTCCCATAGATTTCTGACTACCAAAACCAACCGGTGTCACCGTTCGTGAAGGGTGTCTTGGTGAAGTACTCCGACAATCTCCAGCTCCACCATAATAAATATCCTCTGGCAGGTCTTCCCCGTCGCTGTCTTCTGACATCTTCTTTGACTGCTGGCTAAACACCTCGTCAGAGAATTGTTTCTGTATCTCTTTGCACTTCTGTTCATAGTAGGTCCTTAGCTCGTCCATTTCCTTGATATGGCGCGCTTCTATCTCTTTGATTTTACACTCCTCTGCTGCGAAGGACTGCTCCATCCTGCTCTCGTTCTCCAGAGTCCTGCTTAACCTTTCTTCAGCATCGGAACACTGCTCTAAAGCAACGGCGAGACCAGCTTGCAACATGTGGCGCTGTTCTTCAGAGGACTGCAGCCTCTCGGCGAGCTCCTTTATTCGTTTCTCCTGTTCTTTCGCCTCATCTTCCTTCTGCTTTAAACTCCCCTTTAATGTTTCAATCTCTTTCTCCAAGGCATCAATGTAATCTACCTGTGGTAGATCAGTTAATGCCCTGGGGAAAGAGACCTCCTCCGTTACCTCATTTCCTCTGCTGTTCTGCTTTACACTCTCATCATCGGTTCCAAAGTAAAAAGAACTCCGAAAGAACTTAGGAGCTTCTGAGGTGCCTTCCTTTGCAGAAAAGGCATCACATCGCAACTTGTCACAAGTGTTCCTCATGTCCTTCAGCTGTTTTTCATACGATCTCTTCGTCATGTTGGCTTCCTCCAGCGCCGACCTGGTCCTTTGAAGTTCTTCCTCCAATTGAGCCACCTTATCAATCAGCTGTTTCTCGAACTCCGCTTTCTCCGTCAACTTCTTCTGAGTAATCTCGTTTTTCAGAGCAAGCTCATCTAGAAACTGATAGCTGGTCTCATTCAGTTCGCTCAGAGTACTTACTCCACTGAGTCTAGACAGAGACTTTTCAAGATCGTGGATCCTCGAAGTCAAAGACCTCTCCTGCACCTGGTTGTTCTCAATTAAAGACTGAGCACTTTTGTACCTCTCCGTCAAGTCAGTTAACTTGAAATTCAAGGTACTGTTCTCCTGTCGAAGAAAAGCAGCTGCAGCTTGAGCCTCCTCCAGAGAACGTTCGATGCTTTCCTTCGAATCCAATACAGTTGTCGCAGCAACACACTTCGATGTCATAACCTCAATCTGTGCTCTGTACGAAGTCACTTGTTCCTGCAGCTCCTGACGTTCTTTTTCATGAACTGCTCGCAAGTAGCGACTCTGTGCTTCAGCGTCGTCCCTGAATTTCTTACAGGATTCAAACTCTGCATGGAGTGTGGAGAGCTCCACGGAATGTCTCATTTTCAACTCCGAGATCTCTCGAATCAACCGGCCCATCAGAGATTTTCTCTCTTCTTCCAATTGTTTTTCATACTTCGATTGCAATTCCTGTATCAAAGAATTTAAGAACGATTAGATTGCTTCCCTAGAAAGGGAACATCGGATTTAATGATTAAACCAGCAGCACACCTTCAACTCATCCTGATGACGAAACTTTTCGATCTTGGCTTGCTCAGTACATTTCTCCGTGAGCATCTGCATCTCTTTCTTGATTCTATCTACACGAGCTTCATGTTGCTTCTGCTGTTCCATGGTCTGTTGTATATCAAAGTTGCTTTCAAAGGCACCAGTACGGATTTGCTCGTTTAATTGGTTCACTTGAAGTTTGTAGTCGTCAAGCTCGGTAGCCTGAGTCTGTTTTACTAATTCGAGTTCTTCTACCTTTTTTCGAGATTGCACTAGTTCATTATTAAGTATTTTCATAGTCTGCTCCTGTTTGGCCATTGCAGCCTCCAATGAAGAAATCTGATGGAAAGTTGATTTACTACAGTGATACCTGACATTTAAAAGTAAAATAAAATTCTACAAACCTGCTGTTGTGAAGCTTCATTAGCAACTTCCATGTCCTTTAGATTATCTTTTAGATTATTCAATCGCTCAAGCACCTTGTCCCTGGACTCTAAAGCTTGCTTTAAAGCTTCTGTTAGTTCCTCGATTAAGCTGTCTCTTTTATATACCCCTTTCTCAAATTCCTGTAGCTATGAAGCAAGAACAAGAAGCAATCGGTAAATATCTCAGATCGACTGTTTCGGTTGAGAGTCAACTTTTTTCATCCTTAATAAGAACTGTAAATAATTTGTAAAAGTCTCTTCAAGGTTATGAAATATTTACCTTGCTCTTATAGGTCATTAATTCATTTCTATATTGAATACTGCTGTGACTTTGGGATGAATTCGGTGAAGAGGCTTCCAGTCTCAGGTGATCGATTTGAGCATGCAACGACGCTACCATAGCTTCTTTGTTTTGCAGGAGTTCTTCCAGTTCGGCGACTCTCTTTGCCATTCCTTCCAAGTCACCGTCACCTTCGCCTTCGCTGACGCTAATGCTGCTGTGAGTAACATCCCGAGAAGACATTCCTTCGATCATCTGTCTCCACAAAACACACTGTCACAACCTTCACATTGGTATGAGTTTTCCAAAGAGAAACATAATATTAATCCTTAACATAGAATACAAACTTACACCCGAGCCTTGATGGTCGAGAGAACTAACGTCTATATCGTCTCTGGAAAAATCCTCATCGGACTGATCTCCATGATTACTGTTCGCTCCGTGAACTCGATTAAACCTCTCCGCCTTGTACTTCTCCAGCTGTAATTTACGAAATGAATTTACAACTCTCTGAACTCGAACTAATGGCTGAATATTTTACTTTAGGTTCATAGATTCCCAAGTTTTTAATTCTTTAACAAAATAATCTACAGTACAGGACGCTTCCACTAAAACTAATTGTAATAACAGCTGCGACTATACCATTCCCCAACTCGACGATGAGGTTAACCAACGTATGATATATATACTATGCTTAAAATTGGGTCCACTTAAACTCCTTCTGTGGCTTAATTTAATTCCCCATCCAACCGATCCTAAATGCCCATTACGCAGTGCACAGGAAAGGGAGAATTTACCAGAGTACCCGAATAAACAGCGACTAACGTATTCTCTCGCTGTACAGCGCAGTGCAACGAATGAGATTTTGTTACTGACGCATTAAAGGGTCGTGCTTAAAAATAACCTAAAACTAATTAGAAAAGAAAGGAGCAGTAGCCGTTACCATTTCTCTCCCGGCTTCAACGGAGCGGCTTCTTCTCTCCTCGTCATCCATTTCTCCGGAATTGTTTTGACTCCCTGTTTATCCTAATATCTGCTACAAACTCAGACGGCACCAAATTAGTCTTAAAATCTTCTTAAATCGCGTACAGTATCATTTTAACTACATCTTGGAACACAATCAGTGCACATTCTCCTCTGTTCTCCTCAAAAATTCCGTTGGATATGAAATTCTACGGCGTCTGCCACGATATATAAATACAATGAAGGTATTCGTCCTGCCGGCCGTTCAGTGATAAACTTCCAGTCAGCGCCATCTGTCGATATTCTACTGAACCCTATACCAAAGTCTATTAATAAACGCAAATCGTCGGTTGATTTATAGTATAGAGATGAGTTGGGAGATTGCTCACAGGCAGGGTCACGCAATAGCATCCTGTGCTGTCTTCTGATTTCGTGACGGTGGTGGCTTACCTCCGCTTACTGACACTGCTCGCTTTTGATGGTAAGGGAAGAACACTCGTGGCGCCCTCTTTGACTTTACTGTTCACTTACTTTATTTATTTTATCCTGATTTTATCTGCAAATGGGGGGCAAAAAACAGTGAAACTAAGGTACGAAACCAGAGGGCAGCACAGGATACGATCGCGCGACCCTGCCCGTAAACAATCTCCCAACTCATCTCTGTATAGTATTCACAATCGTCTAAAAATGAATTTAACTTAAGAGAATTGAAAAGAACATAGTAAACATAATTTAATCAGTAACGCAATAGCAAGTGTTGCTCCAGTTTGGAAATATCAGAAGAAAAGTCTAATCCCATGAGAGTCAGGGGGCAAAAAGGAAGGGAATACAATGGCGCAATGTTAAAAATATTCTTCCAGGGTTTTATTGCGCCTTAAAGGATGTTTCCATAGGTTGCACGATAACAGGTAAGCAAGGAAATGATGGTATTGAAAGCCGTGTAAAAAAAGTAACGTCTTGCCGCAGTGCAGATACGTGCGCCTTTGATCTCGAGCTTTTACTGCTGGCCGAAGTATCGACAACAATGATTCGTTTATTTCCATTAGCTCGAGGAGGGATAAACGTTCCCTTAAAGTTCCTACGTTTATTTTATTTCCATCCAGCACTAAAAGCTCGACATTTTGGCCGTCTAAACAAACAGAAGCGGGCCAGGGTAGGTAACCATTATTTAATTCAACTTAACCGATCGGTCGCGACTTAATATCGACGGAACAGAGGATATATATTTATATCCATTATGAATCTAGTCTACACTGTACAGTGAATGGTTAGGAATATGTACAAGCGTCTTAAAAGGGGAGGAAAGAAAGACCAGTTCCCGAGAGAAAGTGGACGTCTCTAAGTACAGCTCAAGTGTTCGCGGATAAAACTCTCTTTATATCCATGGAATATTGTACTCTGGAGATCTCGGGCTGAGGACGAAAAGCATTCGCTCTCTCTCGGTAAGTTTTCTTCATCCGCTCCGTTTCATCTTCTCCTCGTCTCTTTTTACCCAAGTAACATCGCATCGTGACCAGCACTTGCCTGATAAATGGATTTATACATTTCTCTGATATATATATATTTGTACAATATATCAATGGGTTCTTCGAATAGGATATTCTTAGGTATATTGACTCCACCGATGACGGGGTGTTTGCGGAACTTGCAGAGCCCCTTTGATCACATCCGCTCTTTATTACTTAATTTCCCCCGGCGATTCCGCCTCTCCTCCGCCGCCACCTTTATACCGCGAATCTCGATATGTATTTTCGACTTTTTCGCAAATGTTGCTCCGAGATCTCGCTTTCCTTTCCCCGTGCCTCCCACACCTGTCGTCTTTCTTTTATTGCTTCAACAAGACGCGTTCCATCAAATGGTCTCGAAATCCTTTGTTCTTCGTCTATTATTAGGTACCATGCCTCGGAGTGAAGGACAGAAGTGTCTAGGGAGGTTCCACCTCGCCTTTAGTCATTTTATTCTTTCCGCCAGGTCTATGGAGGTTGAGTTTCCATGGCGAATCGTCCTAGGGGATTCCCTGGATTCCCTGGATTTTCTGGAGGCTCTTCGGGGACTCCCTCTAGGTCGAAGATCCACGTTGCCTTCCTGGGTGAGAAATTTCGGGATCGCCTTCGATTTCCATCCTTCGACCTGAGTCTTATCAGGCTCTTAGGGTCTAGGGACCGATGGAAGTGGCCCGTACGTCGGAAAACATCGACCCGGGATCCCACGGTGTGTGCACCATGTTGGCCGTTCTTCAGTTACAACGTAGAGAGCATATAGAAACGGTATAACAAAATATATGAAATATTTATCAAATAGTGCGCGTTCACCGCGACCTGCGAGGCTGGGAAGTCCCGGAAGCCAGGAATTTTCTCCTCCACGTTTTATATCTCGCAGCTTGCGGTGAAGAGAGTCGAACGAATATGTATATATATATAATATATGTATATATAGAATACTTTGTGCACATGGCCAAAGCCGTGCTCATCTTTTCCCTTTTATCACACATTTTCGATATCGCATATCTATTTACAATCGCCCTGGGATTTTTGGGCGGCATTACCCTCCCTTCGGGGTTGCGGAAAATTCGCGGGTGCAGCTCGTCGCAGAAAATCTGGGACGAGACGAGAGTGAGAGCAAGATAGAGAGAGAGACTCTCCTTGGAAGAGTGACTAGTCAGAAGAGCACACTAAAGGAATCTGCGTGAAGCGAAGCAACGCCGGACCTAATATGAGGAGCCGATTAGAGATGCTGGAGGATGGGGATTTTTTTTACTATCCCTAGTCTAGGGTTTTTAACGGTGGATCCGTCTGGCGATAGTCGGCAAATCCTCCGAGAAGAGAGCCGAAAAAAATTCGCCGGGCTGGAAGCGGGGTTTGGCAAAGTCCGGCAGTGACGGATAGCGATGAGGAAGTGCAAGACCAAGACCATGACGATTTTAAATCCTGGCCTTGAAGATATGGTCAGGTCATGGTATTAATCTCGATCTTGCACTTCTGCAAGACCAAGACTATGGCGATGACCAAGGTCTACCTTGCTCATCGCTAGTGACGGGAGGGACGAGGGGTACGCCTCTCTCGAGGACATCTTCAGGGTTCAGGGTTGATAAATTAGGATTTCCGAGTCCGCCCCCGGATTTGGCTCCTGGGAATCCCCCGAGCCGCGGGATTCCCCGTTCTCCTCCCAAACGGAGACGTCACCCTTAATCAGAGGTCCGGTTGCACGTCCAACGTTGAACGACGCGGCTCAACTGTCGAAGGGGTCGAACTTCAGGGACCTGGACTCTGGCAGGCGTCCGAAAGCATCGTCGAAGGGTCGGCAGAGCCCTGAAGAGTCGTCGGCGTCGCCAGCACTGAAGCGGTGAGAAAGCTTGCCTCGGGAATCCCAGCAGATCCCCGGGACTCGGCAGACTCTAGGAACGACGACACTGGACCTGTACTCGTTGGCTCCTGGAAAAGGGTGGACGTGAATGTAGAACCAAACCATCATGGTTTTGGATCTCAAATGGGAAGAGCTGGACATCCTTTGACCCAGACCACGAAGAGGCAGCTGTAAGATGAAATCACCTGGCGATTGGGGTGGCGTCTGCGTCGGCGTGCCCACCAATGGAGACAATGGTTCATATGGCGGTGGTGGCGGGGAAGACGGCGAAGGGGTCGGCGAGGGAGGCATCGGTCTGGGGATCCCTTCCGGTTCCAGACCCAGAATCCTCAGAACTCGATGAGGGTTCGCTCGGACCCACTCCTCCATCATGTCCGCCGGCCAGTCGGTCTGCGTCCCGACGCTGATCATCCTGGCTGGCGGGTTCCAGCAGAGGGCGTCCGGGGGGTGGGATGAGCTCCTGGCCAACAGGCCACTTCCTCGACCAGCAGGCGTCGGCAGGTTGGGGTTGCTCTGCGGAGAGCTGGCCAGCATCTGCAGCGCCTGGATGGCGTTCCTCACCTGAGGAAGGAAATAGACCTCAGGGGCGCCTCCTGGCTCGACACCGTAAAGACTATCCTGAAACCATCCTGAAGGCCACCCTGAAGACCACCCTGAAAATCCCTCGCAAGGCGAACCAACCTCGTAGCTGAGGGTGGCCACGTCCTGATGCAAGGTGGACACCTGGGAGTCCAGCCTCTCAACGGATCCTGGGAGATGATCATCCATGGACTTCTGGCCCATCATCTGGACAGTCCTACCTCGTACCAGAACGCTCCTCGTCGTTGATCTCCTGCCTTCCCTGTACTCGTCTCTTTGGACCAGATCCATGTATTAAACCAATTGTTCTACTTCCAACTTCTTATCAGCGATGGTCCCTAAATTCGAGCCTCACCTGAACTTGGCATGTCGCGGACTGGTCGCCGTGTGTAGTGGCGACCTGTTAGGTGGCGACAAGGGCGAAGTCTCGCCCTCCTCGGGCGCGTTCTCGTCGTCCTCGCTGATGGAGGGCAGCGTCAGGGACGGCACCCCGTTCATGTCGGACTCTTGCTGAAAGCCGAAGGCACTTTAGGTTCCCCTTTCTCCCCGGCTTTCAGCCTCGAGTCCGATCATCCTACCCAGGGAACCACCCACCTCGGCCTCGTAACCCTCCCGCAGGTTGTAGCTCAGGTCGTGCTGGAAGTCCTGGGCGAACTCGTGCTGGTACTCCGGGTAGAGCCTCAGGACGTCGACCAAACCCTGCATGTGGATGCACTTCAGGTCGCAGTAAGTCAGAGCCTTGACGTCGCAGCTGGACTTGACGACGACGTCGATTTGGCCTCCTCCGCCACCTCCACCACCTCCACCACCCCCGCCACCCCCATTATTTCCATAATGGAGATGACCACTGATGTCGCAGCCCACCAGGTCGCCCTTACCTGATGACCACATCGTATCGACCATAAATCTACATTTAGAAATTCGGTCGAAGTACCCAGGGCCCAGGAACCTACCCAGAATCGCCACAACCATGTTATTCTGCACCACTTCCATGGACCCGTTGCAGAGATAGTAGATGTAGGAGAGGGCATCCCCCTTGTGCACCAGGAACTCCCCAGGGGCGCAAAAGTTGCTTCTAATATGCAGAGAGAGCAGTTTCAAGCAGCCCTGGGAGGCTCCCTCGAAGATGGGCAGGCTCAGGATCTCCCTGTGCAGGTGCATGGACACGTCTCCCCGCAGCTCCTCCGGGAACTCCTTCAGCGTCTGAAATCGGGGATCCTCCCTCAACTCTCCTCCTCTCGAGCGGATTTCAAAGCCGCCGCAGTTTACCTCATGAATGTCAATGCCGTGGTTCAGGGACCACGTCGTCTGGAAGTAATCCTGCATGCGCTGCTTCAGTTCCTCCGGGATCTGGTGTAGTGCCAGGAAGTCCTTCAGGTCTCGCCACTTGGTCTGGTAGAGGGACCTCCTAGAGTAGATCCTCTGGATGATGGCGGTGACGTTTCCAAACACCACGGCGTGCATCAGCGCTGTAAAAAAGGGGGACCCTGAAGACTCACCACCAATCCTACTCACTGATAAAAATCCCCAAAAATTTCCATATATTTTCACACACCTCGTAATTGAACTTTCGCGTGGAAAAACGTAAGGTACATTAAATTCCCAATTAAAAATTGCATAAATACGTCATAACATTGTATATCAAAGATGCCGAATGTGTTATCACGTAGATGGAACTTCACTGCAATTTCTTGTAGCTTCGAGATGACCCATTGAGTGAATTTACATGGGCATTTTTATCGGTGTACGCTGCACCCCTTAAACCTTGCTAATTGGATCTTACCTCCGACCAGCATCGTGCAGATGGAGAATATCTTCTCGGGGGAGGTGTTGGCGGAGACATTCCCGAAGCCCACGGATGTCAGGCTGCTGCAGGTGAAATAGAGAGCCGTGATGTAGCTTTCCGCATAGGTGACATTCTGCACAGGGATCTTGAGGCGGTCCGCCAGGCTGTGGATCCATCCTGACGTGAGAGGGAGCGAATTACGTCCAGCTGCGATTTTCGACGACCTCCTAAAAAGCTCTTCAGGACCTCCACCGAGTGCCCTACTATCGTGCCCGGGCCCGCCTCTTCGACCCCATCGGTCCAGGAGATCGGACTAAACCTGGACGCAGTCCATCACTACCTGTCCAACCACGAAATCCGTGCGAATCCGCTACGAGCGGCAGATGTCCCGGAATTGCTTCGAAATCGGGAATAATTCGAGATGTGATTACTCGGTACTCGCAATCGCATCGTTTGCAGGCGATCGATCGAGTCGATTGAGCACGGATGTGGTCAATGGACCGGTAGCTGGGTGCTGGACGAGGTACCATCTCCGTTCGTCCACCCCTTCGGGTCATACGTGCCAGGGGGGTGGATTCGATTTTGCGAATCTTCCCCTCGGCCGGAAAAGAACCGGAAACGAACCGGAAAAAACCTCCCTCGCAATCGGACAGAACGTCGTTACGCGTTGTCTCGCTGGGGATGGTGGTCCAGGAGGGGGTGTGTCCGGGAATTTCGAAAAGTTGGACTTTGAGAACACGTATGTAGGTACATACGGGGCCCGATGTATATAAACGTATGTAGACGTACATAGGGGTGTACGTACATGCTCATGAGAAACTTTTCCCTCGAGATAGGCCTCGCCACCCCCAAGGGGTTCCGGGCGGGTCGCGCCACCCCGGGGGAAGATCGATGGGGCAAAACCCCTCCGGCACGTCGGAAGTCGAGATCTCTCACTTAAGAGCAAGGCTCGTAAATTTTCAGGGGGGTGGAAAGCGGCGTGGAAATCGAAACTGTCCCAACCCCGGAGGACAGGTCCCACAGGAGCTGGGAATCGGCCAAATTGCAGCGGGATCCTCCCACGCGCAACAGGCTGATCCTCCGGGAGCGGCCCCTCCGTTTATTCGCCCCCACTGGTTCTCCTTTCTTCCCTTTTTATTTCCCACTCACCGAGGTTCCAGTCCTTGTCGTTCCTCAGCCTCTCCTTCTCAGCGATGACGAACCAGATGCAGGCCAGCCAATGTGCCACCAGGGTGAAGGACAGCATCAGCAGGGTCAGGATCATCGCGCTGTACTGCGAGTACCTGTCCATCTTCTGCAGCAACCTGGCGAGTCTCAGCAGCCTCGTCAGCTTCACCAGGTGGATGTGACTGTGACTGGACTCCTAGAAGAAGAGGGAGGATTTTTATCCTGGGGATTTCCTCGAGGCTCTTTAAGATCCGATGACGATTTCGAGTGGAGTTTCCGTGTGACGTGGGTCAGGGTCAAGGTCCCGGATGTCGCCACTTCTTGCCGAAGACTTCGCCGAAGAGTTCCCACCAGGGAGAGGGATTCAACGGCTCGGCTGTTTATAGACAACCTGGGGGTGGGGAAATCGACGATGCACCCCGGTGCATCGATCAGGCCTCCTCGAGGGAGGGTTCCCCGGGGATGTCGCAGGCCCCAGAAAGTGGAGACGTGATTAATAGAGTAATTTAATGAAGCCAAGCGACGTCGACCGAGGTCGAGCGTCGACCCCGCGAACTCGAGATATCGAGTATCAGAGTCGACCGATAGCGAGTTGGGCTCTTCAAGATGATTCTTGATCGGTTATTCCAGAAGAATATCACCTTCCATCTCGCCTTTGACCCACGTTCTCGGTGTTCCCTTTATCTCCGTCGAGAAAGACATTTTCGAGTTGCCGAAGAGGGTGGTCGCGTGACGTTGGTCGAGTTTTACGGAGGTGGGGAATTACGATAAGGTCTTCAGGTCGGTGGTCGTTTGGAGAACGCGAGGAGGTTCCCGGTCCAGGAGGGTACTTCAGGGTCTGCGTTAAAACAGGACGCGGTTTGGGGCTGAAATTCCGGAAGATGGTCCTTCCTTTTCATCCTTAAACTCTATTTCCGGAGGCCCTCTCGATTTTCCAAACTCTACCACGAAGTTGCCCTCTTCAGGGCTCATCCTCAAGCGGGAAATGGGGATTTGGCCTCGCCAGATTTAATTGGGAACACTGACCTCACCACTATAAACGTCCGAGGCGTAGAGGAGGTCGAAGGGCAGCGCTGCAACGAGGTCGATGAGGAACCAGCTCTTCAGGTAGTTGACGGCGATGCATTTGCTGTTGCTGACGACCTCGCCCTTCCTGTTCACGTAGGTGGTCCGAAAATTCAGGCAGATATCTGCGGACAAAAGGTCGAGAGAGTTAAGGGACGGCTCCCGAGGGAAGTCGATCCCCAAGAAAGTGCCAGGCGTACCCGAAGAGCCCCATGAAGAGAGACATCGACGAAAAACGACCGTCGAGCCTTCCCGAGCCGACCGTGGGGTTAATCAGCTTTCACTAATCGGAATTAACGGGGGAATAATCATCGAAAGGGAGGGATGATCGCCCCTTTGAAGCCCCAAGCTGGCGGAAAACTCTCACCAGACTGGAGATTCCAGCTTGCAGGCCCTGAAGATCAAAGCTCGCCCTTCCCAGGCCGGAATTTCGCAAAATCGGAGTCCGATAAATTCCCCAAATCCCAGGAATTTAATAAACCACCCCTCGCCTCCACCATTTAAACTGAAACTCTTTTTTTTTCTATTCCGCCGACTTTCCGAAGGGATTTTCCCGGTCGACCGGAGAAAAAAAAGGGAGTACCCTAAAGAGAAACCTGTGAAAAAGCCACCCCGGGGAGACTCTAACCTTGCCGAGATGCTCTCCACCCCCAGAGGGTAGCTAAATATTGGCGAGGGACTATCCTGGCAAAGAAACCTATCCCCCGCCGGGGGATAACCAAATATTTCCTCGGGAAAATGGGGGGAACTACTTGGAGCCAACTAACTGGAGGCGGATGTGTCGGGGGGGGGGTTGAAACGTTGGTTAGGGTGTAACGAGCCACTCGGGGGGTGTCGATTTATTTGCCGAGGGTCCTCTCGCTCTTTGTCGCGGAAACGGAGCCTGGCCACTCCGAGTTTCCACCCCCAGGGGGTGGGAATCATCTCGTTTGCGCGTTTCCGGATTCCAGAGAGCGAGAGAGATTGCGATAGATCTTTTTTCCTTCGACCTCTTCAAGGACTCTTCAGGGCTTCAGAGCTGGTGACAAGGAGATGCAATATCAAGATCAAGACTTTAATCATCTCTGTCTTGATTCTGCATACTCGTGCATAGACCAAGCATACTCGTGCCTTGGTCTTCCACGGTCGAGCGTTGACCTTGGGCTTGGTACCATGGTCTTGGAAAAGACCCTGAGGCATAATTTCCCCCATGTATATCTCACCGATCATGAAGAGCGCCTCGACGACGACGTCGCTGACCATGGTAGGTCTGTCGGTGTTGACGAAACTCGCGTTGTAGGGCACAACAATGGCCACGTAGAAGGTCGCAATCAGGATGAGCCAGTCCCAGCAGGACTTGAAGCAGCCGTAATGGCTGAGGATAAACTGCGACTTCTTGATGGCGGTGGTCTTGTATTCGGGCAATGGCGCCGCGGCCGAGTGGAGGAGGTTCTGAAAGGAGCGACCTCGGGGATCTCGTAAAAGGAATTCCGTTACCAAACTCACGGGGGAGAGCGCGCCGTTCGGCGTCGCCGAGACCAAGATGGCGGCCGGGTAGGTCGACCCTCTAACGAACTTTAAAACTCGCCGTCGAGCTTTAAGCACCGCCGCTCGCAAATCGAATTCGAGGCGGCCGAGATGGAAACGTAAGTCGCGTCCTCGAGGGTGGCGCCCGCCCGCCCGCCCCCCTCCCGGGGATATGCAAATGGCCGCGCGATTGGTTCCATTCTGATAAATCCTCTCGGCGTGTCCTTTTTATCCGCCCCGTTTATTCCGTAGCCTCGACCGGCGTCGCTCCATCTTCTTCCCCCCTTTCCCTCATTTTTTCCCCATTCCCCGCGGCTCTGAATCACGAGCGGGGCCATTTTCCATGCATTTTGCAAGAGACTCGAGTTCCTCTCGAACGCCCGTAAGTCCTCTCGAGGGAGCAGGTGCAGCGAATATTAATCCGAGAAGTGCTCCCAAGGAAGAAAGACGCCGAGAACGGGCATGAATGCGTCCGACCGCGAGGCTCGCACTTTTCCTTTCCCCGTTCCACTGCCATTCGAGCCGAGCCACGCGCGGAACCAAGATGGCGGCGGCCGCCATTTTGTTCTCGCCCGATTCTTCTCGGGGTGCCTCTTAGATGCGACTTACGTTCTCAGGAAATATTAATTCGAAAAAGGGCTTCTACCTCTTTAGATCGTTAAATTTAATACTTTAAGACGCAAATCGATGAGTGTTTCCATACGATTTTTAAAAATTATGTTTCCATGGCGACGCAACGCGGTAAATCGATATCCACCATGAGAAAAAAAAATTAGTTAACTGAAACATATATATATATATGTGTGTATATGTATATGTCGACCAACTTTTTTATTTTTTCTCAGTGCGACACCCGACGCACTCCTGAATTTCAGTCTCAATCTCGTTTGAAATAATTTTTAAGAGCAGGAAATTAATTTCCAAGATGGCGGATGGTGCTTACGTTGTTCAAGCTGATCTTGTGCTTGCTATCCTGCTTGTAGTGTCCCGAAAGCTGGTAAAGGACAGCTCGACTCCTGCGTCTCCCATAATTCGCCGGAGGAGCCTCCGGGTCCAGGTTCCCGTTGGCATCTGGAAGGATTAGAAACGTAAAAGCGCAGAAACGAGGAGAAGGAGAACTGAAAAAAAGGGCGATCGGAAAATCCGAGGAAAAATTCTGCTCCTCTAGGGAGTCTTCAAGGAGTAAAAACCAACACCTCCCGGCAGTTTCATCCCTCGGGAGTTCGTAGAAAAGCCTCGATCGTTCCAGGTGGGCCTTAACGCGTGCCGATTCATGCGCCGTGAGGGAAGCGTGAGGATCGACTTGAAAATCATGCAAAAAGCCTGCGCAGGATCCCGCAGGACTCTCTAGGAGTCCCTCGGGACTCGCAGGACCCTCTGGGAAAAAAAAAAGAAGATTCCTAACTTGTGCCGATGCGAAGCCCAGGTGCACTCACCACTGTCGAACGACTCACAGAGTTGGAAGTCCTTCGTGTGGGTGATGTCCTTATGGGATGCCAGGAAGAGGACCACGTCGCCCTTCTCGTTCTTGATCGGCACGATGTCCAGGAGGCAGTTGAAGGGGCTTCCTGAAGGAAGGAATTTTGATCAAGAGCCATTCAAGGACCTCTCGAAGCATCGAAATCGCGAGGGTTGCCGCGTATCCTCGTCCTTCGTGCCTGGGAAGGCCTAATTGAGCACCTCGGGGCTCGGATCCAGCCGGGAAATTATCCTCCCCGAGGAAACTCCTTAACGAGTTCCCCTCGAGGACACTTTCCCCGGCGTCCAAGGACCTCCGAGTCTCCTCCCTTTTTCTTGATTTTTCTGCGAAAAAAATCTCGCTCCTAATTCCGCCAATTAGCGCCCCACCCCGGAAGGACCCTGATTACACCTCGACCGGATGACTGCCTCCCTGACGAGTCCTTAATAATTAATTATAATATCCCGGGGACGAGATCCGCTTCGATCCGGTCTTTTCCAAGATGGCGGCGCTCAGCCCCTCCGCGCTCGCCGCCTTAATCGGGACATCCACCTGATCCTGAAATTAATATCGCGAGGTATTTCCGGGGTTTTGCTTAAGATGCCATCGGTGTCCGGTGGGGGTCGTATCGATTCTTCTCGCTAACGGGGATGAAGAACGAGATAGAGGGGGTGAGAGGGAGGCTTTACCGTTCTTCTTGTAAAACACGACCTCCCTCTTGAGCTCGGCCTTACTCTCGAGGCTCTTGTCGATGGCTGCCTTATCTTCTTCCTTGGTTTCCGGCCCGTAGAGGAACTTGCACGCGCACCCTTTCTGCATGATCTGGGCGCGCGCGAACCCTGTCAGCTCGCAGAACCCGTCCGAGCAGTAGACGATGGGGTAGATCGAGGGCACCTGGGCATTCCCCAAGACGAAGTTGCTGTCTGAAACGAGAAACCGGAAGCTGCCCTCAAAAGCCCGGAAGAGAGACCTTCCGCCCTTCCACCTGTTCACGAGGGGGGTTTTCCACCCCTTGAGAGGGGGCTTTGAAATCTGGCCCAAGAAGGGGAGGCTTTTGAACCTCTGCGTCTTCAAGGGGGGCTTTCTAACCTCAAACCTCTCAAAAGGAGGTTAGAAAGCCCTTCCATCTTCTCAAACTGGAGATTTTAACCCTCCACGCCCGCAGGTGGGGGTTTTCGAATTTTGTACCTATTCAGGGGATTGTTAACTCCCTCCACTTCGAGATGGGTATTTGGAACCTCCACCTCCTAAAAATGGCGCTTTCGAACCTCCACCCTCTCAAGAAAAGGGTTTTCAACCCCTACCATCTTCACATGGGCCCTTTGAACCTCAACCCTCTTAAAAGGGCGCTTTTGAACATTCCTCCTCTCGTGATGAACCTCCACCCCTTCGCGAGGAGAAAGGACGAACATGAGAGCGATGCAATTTGTCGCGGGTGCGAGCTGCGGAAACGCGTTTCCGCGACGGTTCCTCGGCTCTCTGTAATCGAATGCGGCCCCCGGCGGGCGCTATTTTTAGCCGCGTTTCATCCTTTCCGCGGATTCCCCGCGCGGAATCCCCGCGGATTCGGCCCCGCACAAAGCCGAGATATCGCGAAACTGGGTCTCCTCCTGTTTCGCCTCCCGACTCGCCGGAGTTATGGATCGGCGCTCTTTAACGCGGTGCACCCGCGCGGAAGGACCGCGCGGTCCTTCCGCAAGTCGGCCGGGGCAAAGAGAGAGAGAGTTGCCGGTAACGAGGGTGCTTCTTGGTGGACCAAGAGGATCAATCGCAGACAATGTTTAACCAGAAATCTGGTGCGGTTCCGCTGCGGAATCGCGGCGGATGTCTTCTGAACGTCCCTATACTGAATTTTTTCTCCACTGTGCCGTTTTCGCGAGCGGAAGCTCGCGGCTGTTCAGGGGCAGAAAAAGAACCGGATTATACCTACGTGACGATCGGACGCGGAATTCCACGCAGGGGGTGAGGGTGCACGTGGAGTCCTTTGAAGCCACCCCTGCGAGTCCTCCCACGGGGGTGGAGGTACTCGCGACCTTGCACCCTCGGCACGTCTCGCGGCTCAGTTCTGCGATTTACCCTTCCGTTTGTCGGAATTACGAGGAATTACGGTTACAACCCCTTCTCGCGTGCAAACCATCCCTCGGATCCCAGGAATAATGCATAACGCCCCGGGGTCGGCAGTTAATTCCCGATTCTCGTTCCGCAGCGGGACTGGGGAGGGCACCCTGAGGGGTGGTTCCACCCCATCGGCCATTTCAACGTTAAAAATGAAACAGGGGTTTTTCGCAAATTTTTTCCGCACAAGGGATGATTTTCTCTCGGTCGTGGTGGTTTACTCCGGGGAAATCGTCCAGAGAGTGTATATTAAGGGATGTAGACCAGGAGATGTAAACCAAAAAATGCCGACCAAGGGGTGCAGACCAAAGAATGCAGACCAGGGGATGTAGACCAAAGGATATAGACCAAGGTATGTAAACCAAAGCATGTACACCAGGGGGTGAAGCCGAGGGTTCAAGGCCTCGCGAGGGTGAGCACGTGCGTACGGATCTCCCGGGGGTGACATTTCACACCACGATCACCCCCTGTCCGATTTTCCCGGCGTTTCCTTCACCTCCACCCCTGTAGCCGTAATTCTCGGTTTTTCTCCCCCAGAAAAATTCTAGGGGATGCTCACCGCGGGGTAACTCCACCCCCGCGACCCGGGAAGAGGGAGAGCGGTTTCGGAAGGACTCCTCGGGGGTGTTTCGAATTTTCCTCTCGCCTTTGAGAGACGTTCACGCCCCTCTACCCAGGGGTGGTATGCAAACCACCCCTGTGAACCATCGATCGACGCCAGGGTATAAAAGAAAGTAATTGGCAAAGTTTCGCCCGGGAAATTCGCGGATAATGGCCGGTGTTTCGGGGGAGATCCGTCTCGTTCGCCCCTTTCGGGGGGGGGGGGGTGAGGTGTTGAGGGGGGCTTGCCGCGAGTTTCCCCCGATTAGGGCTAACAAGGGGAGCCGGGACACTCAGCGCGTTCCCTCGGGACTCCAAGCTCAGACTTGGTCCCGACCACCCTGAGACATAACCCGAGACGCGAATTCTCACCCCCGAGGATTCCCACCCTCACGAGTTCACCCCTCCGACCCACGAGGGTCGGTCGCGAGCTCAGGGTTCCCGGATCCCGCGGGATAATGATCGCTCCCGTGGATCGCAAGGTTCTCGACGAACCCACCCCCGACCACCCCCGGAGGACATTTGCCAGAAGAGAACCCTTAAATCAGCCTCGACCACCCTCGCACAACCTTCCGCAGGAAGCCCCCCGCGTGCGTCTCTCCCGCGGAATCCCCTGAATTAATAAGGGAGGATATATCCCTCGGATCCCTCGCCTTCATCCCCCTCGACTTTTCGTCCCGACGGGACTCGTCGCATCCCCCGATGTGCGCTCCTCATTTTCCCTAGGAATTGCGCCGTTTCCTCTCATCCTCGTTTCTCTCTCCCTTCCTCCATTTTCCCTTTTTAATAACGCCACCACAGGGTGACGCCGACAAGGCTTTGAGAGGCGATCGAAGGGCGCAACCCCCTGCTACCCCTGCTCAAGGGGATGCATGTGATGCAACGCGACTTTAGAACAAAAATCCTGAGATTCAGGACCAAGGGATGATCACCCCTCGAGATGAATCTTAAAAATTTGTCTATAAGTAGGTAAAATGGTCTCCAACACCCCTTGGTCAAAATTCACCCCCTAACAACCTTAACAAATTCTCCTCCCTCTCCAAGCAGCGACTTAATAATAACCGAGATTTCGGGTGACATTCCCGAAGTCTTCCCGGAATTCGGTCGGATTCCGATAGGAATTCCGGGTTCCACCCCCGAGTCGATTCCCGGAAGCCCTTGCAGGGAAGTGTTTCCGTCCCCGCCACCCCGTCAGAGGCGTTTGGAATTCCTCTCCAAGAGACCGCCACAGGGGTGGTTCTCTTTCGAACCGAAAAGGCCTCGTCGCAACAGGTGACTCGGAGCTGCAGCACCCACCCCTGCACCCCTCCCCACCCCCGATAGTCCCCTTCGCCCTGGGGATATTTTTCCTCGCCGCGCGTAATTCTCTCACAAGGAAAAAAGGAAGCCAGAGAGACGTTTTCCTCGCTCGAGGAAAATTTCGCGACGCGGCGGATGAAAAGGGATACGGGGGGACAGCTTTAACGACCTGGGGGTTGCGAAACCCGTTACAACCCTTTCCCGGCCTCGAAGTAACGGTCGAAGTTTCCGGTGATGTACGAGCAATTCCGCGTCGCGGCCGGGACGCGTCCGAACGTCCGCCACTCCCTGGGTGAAAGGAATGGGGTTGCGCGTCCATAGATTTGGAATGCAAATTTCCACCCCCGGAATATGCATTCACGGTTCCGCCTAGCCGGTTCCCGCGCGGCCTGCTTTCCGATCGGCGGCCGAAACGCGGAACGCGGATTCCGCGCCGATCCGGAAAACCGCCGACTTAAGAGGAAGAGGGCGCGGAATGGGAATGGGGTAGGAAAAACTCATGAAAACCGCAAAGAGAGCCGAGAGTCGTCGTTAAAGTCCAACGATGGCTTTTTCCGTGCGGGTTTTATCCCCGAAGGGGATGTCCAGGTCCAAGGGTGACAGCGGAGGGAGAAGGAGGGAAGAAGAGGAAAAGGGAAAAAGGGAAAAGAGAAAAAGTCCTTTTTCGAGGCGGGATTTTCGGGCGACCCATCCAGGGGAGGGGTGATCGATCGACCAGAAGTTATCGCCCGGTTGTGACTAACACCCCCTCTGCCCCCGTTCCCCGTTCATCCCCTTTTCCTCCCTTCCCCGAGGCCGGAATGTCGCGGATTTAATGCTCCTGGAAAATGGTCCCTCGGGAAGAAAAATGGAGCCCGACCTGACGCGGGCCACCCCTTTCGGGGGTGTCCACCCTCGGGACGTGCGATCGAGTCCCTAGGGACACTTTCCGCCCGTCTGGACCCGGGCTCCTCCCCTCGTCCCGGTTCGAGAATTTCGCATCTCTCAGACGACTTTAGCAACCTCACGGCCAAAGGAATCCGGAAGTTCGTCGCGTCGCCGGAGTAGGAGGGCCGTGATAAGGGGGAGTCCCTATCCCTCGGGACTTCGCTAATTTTCCGGCTGGTTTCGCGCCCTCCCAGGGTTACGAGCCCGTAAGGCTCGGCCGGACAACTTCGGGATTAACGTCGTTATCGCCGACCATCTAACGAGCGTAACTCGCGCCCGGAATTCATCCCTCGGGATCGGGAGTCCCGGAGGATCGCGGCGCGCCAGGAACTGTCCTCAACATCCCGGGGATACCCCGCGATCTAGCTTACCCGACTCGTGGACCGAGATTCCCCCGAGAATCCCGGAAAATTCCGGGGGAATCCCGGGCCGGCTCCCTCGGGACTCCCTCGGGGTGCCGTCGAGAGTCCTCGGACCCGCCTTCGGGCGACCGAGGGGTGGAAAGGCGAGAGGATCGATCGGCATTCGGGGAAAGACTCGCTTCCTCCACCACGGCCTCTTTCGCGAGGTTAATTCCCCCCTTCCCCCCTCGTAGAATGAAACCCCATGCGAAGGCATCTCCTCCGCCTCTTCCTATTTCCCATTCTCCCGTCCTGGATAAACCTAACCTCGATTTTACCGTTCTTTACCCTCCCCCCTCGATTCGGACATGGGGGTTGATTCCCCCGCCCCACAAGACCCCATCAGAATCTGCGCCCGTTTTTTTCCTTCCTCCTCTTCCTCTATCAATTTCCTATATTCGGTCAATTTAAGCTCAATTTTCACGTGTTTTTTACCCTCCTCCTTTAATTTGATCTTCGCCCCCCCCCCTCCCCCGTAAAAAACTTCATCCATCATTCCGCGTCTCGCGGCCACCATCCGCGAGTCACCAAAAATATTCGCAGAAATTTTAATCCCCCCTCCATCCATCCTATCATTCGCGGTTTTATGACTCACGGCGCGTATCGACCCCCCCCCCCGGTCCCCCTCGCGGTACTCTGCCCCTGATAACGATACACGTTCGATTTTCGCGAATCGCCGGCAGAAACTAAGCGAGTGACCGAAAGAAGGAAGAGAGAGGAAAGGGGAAGAAAAGAGGGAAGAAAGTTGAGAGTTCCCTCGGGGGTGGTAAAATCTCCCGTAAAGGGGGAAGACATCCTGATTAGCGGGCTTGTTATCAGTTATCGAGGAGTTGACCGATTCCCGTAGGACTCCCGGGACCCGGGGCCTTATTTCGAGGGAGCTTCGCTCCCGCGGGATCGATCGAGCCCTTTGTCCGGGAATTTCGCGGTCGGCTCAAGTTTCGCGAAAATCCCGTTAATCGCCCCCTCCTAATTCCTACCTCGCACCTGCCTGGAATCCGGGAACCCACGGGAACCAGTGGGGACTCGAGTTACCGCGATTAGCCGGAATCCCTGGACAGCTTCGAGTGGGCTCTCTGGGCGTCTCTTGGCAGGCGTGAAATTCCTGGACAGAGCGCTGTTCGATTCCTGGCAAACCTTCGGTAATCCCCCGAACGATCGCGCCCGCCAGTCTGATTTTCCATTCCTGCGCTGGGGAAACGCGTCCCGCGGGAATAAACGGGGGGGAGGAAGATGGGAAGATGGAAAAGCCGATAACCGTCTCGGCGATTATCGGCCATTCGGCGTGGCGGAAGCGAAGAGGATGAGGAAAATGATGAAAATGAGGGAGACGAGGGAAACGAGGAGGTAGGAAAATGGGAGGTCAACTCCCTGGTCGGGATTCACAGCGAAAGTGCACCGACCGCGAATTCCCTAGGGATGGGTGGGGGGGAGGCAAATAATTACTGTCCTCCTGGACATCCCCCCTCCCTCGACCGTCGCTCGGAAAACCGATAGAACCCTCTCGGGATACCCGAGTCCAATCGAAAGCCGAAAAAACTCCCGGACGTCACGCACGGTGCATGAAATCCGATTTTCTATCTTCTTTTCTCAACCCCTTGGCGACGGTCAAACTGAATCCCGTAAAGAAACTCGGCAGAGTTTCGAGACAAGCACATTTATACCAGGGAAATGTCTAGCGAGTAATTATTCACTTTCATCATACTATAGTACCGGGAATAACAAAATTTCGGGCTCACCATTTAAACACCATTATCCTTGTTAAAAATGGAGTGGAAAAGTCCTGTAGGATATTCTTTTACGATGTATGGTTTGCCAGTAATAATTAATTATCGCGGGGGACTTAGTGCCCGACAGTCGACGCTTCCGCGGTCGGGTGTTTTTTTTTTAAATAATTAATTACATGCAAATTATGCACTTGGGAGAAAAGTTGTACAGGACTGTTCGCCTCCATTTTGAGGCAAATTAGCGACGGGTAAATTTTGCGACGCCCTGTACCCTGCGCCTCGGTTATTCCCTGCAATATGTAAACCGAAAGTGGGGGCACTCGTTACCCCCACCTTGCGATCCGAGGTAACGAGCAAGCCGTGCTTCTCGCCTGAGTAGAGGCAGGCGCGCATCGATTGCATCGGCTATTACAAGAATATGCGGTGCCGTAACCTATATGAGTACCTGAGGCTATTACAGGTGCATTCAGGGGTAGTCATTCTACTTACGGGTGCCATCGAAGCGGGTGGCGATGGTGTCCAGAAAGGTGTTTTGGGGTGCGAGGAGGCCCTTCCTGGCCGGCATCGGGGCCGTCCCGCCGCGCCTCGCGGCGCCCGGACCTGAAAATCGAGAAGCTCTTTACCGACCCTGACCCAAGTCTGAACATCTTGAGGGATGAAACCACCCCTCGGAATATCCACCAAAGCGATTAGTCAATTTGCCACACTACTCTCGCCTCAACGCCCTGACAAGCCCCCGGTGGACTTATAAAAAGAAAGGAAATTATCTCCCCGACCCTTCCGAATCATCCCCCGCAACCCCCTCCCGATCTCGTCGACCCAAGGACAGCTTTTCGGATTTCGCCGGCGCGAATTCCCGCCACTTTGGCGGGATTTACCACCGGTCCCGGAAGTCTGGGGGTTGTCCCCGTCGCGGGTGGAAAACGAGGGTGGGTTGGGGGTGGCTAAGCTTCGTAAATCGCGTGGGTGGGTACGCTTTCGGCATAAAGCACATCTCGTCGACTCCAAAGGGCCCTCTCTGCCCCCCCAGCCCCCGGAATTCATGAAAAGGATCCCATTCGCAGCTCTCCGGAGTGACTTCTCTCCGGCCGAAATCGGGGCAGTGCCGACAAGATGGCGGCCGGCAAGAAGTCGCGGTTAATCGACTCCGCCGGATGATCGGATAATTCTGGGTGACCCTCCCCTTGGGCACGGGGGGGCAGGGGGGTGACTTTTCTCCTCCGCCCTGGATTATTTCGCGGAGGGAAATCGACTTTACGCGAAAACGAGAGCTTTCGCTCCCCTTTTTTTCGGAGGGGGTGCGCTTCTCCTCTTTCTCCTCGTATCTCCACCAGGGTGGAAATCGCTTTCGACGCCCCTCGAACCAACCCCCGGGAGGTCAAGCCCTCGAGGGGTTTTGACTCCCGTGACTCGGAAACGAGGATCCAACTCCTCCTTCTACAAGGAACTTCCGACGTTTCCGCGCCCCCCTTTCGCCGGAGCAAAAATCTCATTCGACGGTTTCGACTTCTCGACTTTTCGACTTTTCGACGTCTCGGCTTTTCGACGTTTCGACGTTTCGACGTTTCGACGTTTCGACGTTTCGACCTCGCGGGAGGGCGCAACCGAGCCACCCCCTGGGGGGTGGGAAGAGGGTTAGAGATGATGGGGAGGGGGCGAACCCCGCAGGGCTTTCGATCCAAGAACCGAAAATACACGACCTGGGGAACGAGTTCCCTCCTCGAGGGCTTTCCACCCCGGAATCCCAGATTTTCCGCGTTCTCGAAACCGTGACTTTTGAAGGATGAACCTCGCCGCACCCCATCTTCGAGGATCCCTCCCCTTCAGGAGGGGAAATCGCTCCAATTTGAGGTGATCCCCGGAAATTCCTGGAGACGCGGCGCCGGAAAATGCGGAAATCGAGGGCTGCTCTCGCTGCTCTCTCGGTTTTCCTCAAATTTTCCCTTGATCTCGAGATTTTCATTTACGCCCCTCCACCCTCGCCACCTCGCCAGTGTTCGGGGATAAGAAAATCGCCAAAAGTTCAGGAAAAATCGGGGAAAAATCACCAAGACTGCGAATCCGCGGTTTATCCGGCTTGTCCGACATCGCCGCGTTTTCCGCGCGTCTAGGAGCGGCTAAATCCGGCCAAGGGAGAGCGGAGACTGGCCGCGAGCCAAGATGCGGCCGTGGGCTTGCGGGAAACGTGGGGAAGAAAAAGAAAAAAAGAAAAAGAAGAAGAAGAAAAGGTGCTTAAGAAAGGAGAAACACGCGCGACGCTTTTCCGACGTCGAAGGCGCCCACGACGTCGGGGGGAAGGGGGGCAACGGCCTTGTCCAAAACCGTCCGGAATTCGTCGCGGGACGAATTCTCCGCGATGCGGAAGTGTCGCGGCGGAGGGCGCGCGGATTTCGCGAGACCGATAGATACGAGCGATAACGAGTGATAACGAATGGGGACGTTGGGAGGGGCAGAAAATTTCCGAGGGAATTTCCCCCCCCCCCCCGTGGGCGAATCTTTCCTCGCGAACAGGTGAGAAAAGCCGAATATCCCGAAAAATCCAGGGCAAGGTGAGGTGTTAAAAAAGACGTTGCGGTTTCAAAAATAGTATCGAGTCCGCGGCTCGGCGGACTTTTCCTCACCTTCCGGTTTTCGCGTATTCCCAACCAGAGTTCCGTAAGTGAGAATGGAAAAGAATTGCCTCCCACGAGGAACGATAACTGGTAGATACTGGCTGGGAAACGTTGGGAACGATGAAAAATTCAACGGCGAATTTCCACCGCGGTGAGGCGTTTTCGACTCCGACAGGTGAGAGGAAAAACTCGGGAAAATCCCGGGCAAGGTGTGAAAACAGAAAAAGGGGAAAAAGAGGCGTCGCGGTCGCGAAAAATAGTCTGTCGAGCCCCTGGCACCGCAGGCTTTTCCTCTCTTTCCGGTCTTCGGGAATTCTTTCCAGCGTTCTCTTAGAAACCCGGGGAACAATAACGAGCGAGAGGGAGCGTGACGGGAATACGGGAGGCGTCGGAAGATAGATGAGGAAATTTCCCGCGAAAAAGGAAACGCAGCGAGAAAAATTGTCCAGGGAGAACAGGTGAACGTGTCGAGAACTCCGACAAAAAATCCAGGACAAGTATTTATTCAACATTGTGCACTTATCTCCGACGACAGGTGCAACTGTCGAAAGCTCCGAAAAAACCCCCAGAACGATTATGTTTTTTTTCTTTCTTTTTTTTCTTTTATCAATCAGCATTTTCTTCTGATAATGGATAAAACCGTCGAAAGCTCCGTCAAAAATCCGGAACGAGGATTTTCCGGAACGTGTCGAGGGTCCTTCGCGGTTTCCAAACTTCCGTCCAATCTCCTCCGCATTTCCGCGCTTCCGTTTCTCCCGAGTTCTTTCGCGCTTCACTTCAAGACCCGAAAGCTCCGATGAGGTAGGAGGGAGTTGTTCCGTCAAGGGGATGAGAGGACATCCCCCTCGTCGATTTCCGGGAGAAGCGGAGGCGAACGGAGACGAGAGCGAAGACTCAAGAGGGAAAGAGAGAGGGAGAGAAAGAGCAGAGCTTTTGACACGTTTCCTCCACCCCCGCGGACAACGGGAAGCGATAAAGCACAAATTGCGCGGCGAAGCTTTCCAATTAGTTCCCCCCCCCGCCCCCTATCGCGACACCCCCTCGCCCTTTCCGATTTTCGCCTCGCCCCGCAACCCTTTCGCGGCAACTTACGCGGCAAAAGCTTCGTTCGACTCGCGAGACGCCTTATCGGCGAGGCTTGTGTTATCACTCGCCGCGGGTCAGCTTATCACTCGCAGCGCGGCCGCGACTGCCGCGACTGACGCGACTCGCGCGGCCCGCGCGACTCGACTCACGTCTCGGAGGTTCCATTTCGCACGGCGGTCCGCAACTGCGGCGATTCCGCATCCGCCGCGTTATTCCGGCCCGGGGTTCCCCTTCCCGGAGAAGGAGAGAGCCGACTCCCTCGGGAGATCCGAATAATCGGCGCGATCCCATTCCCTCTCCCGTCGACGATATAATCGCCGCGAAACCGCTTAGGACCCTTGTAGTGAATCTTCAAGGTGGTCTCAAGGGCTTCCCATGGGATAATAATCGGGAACCACCGAGAAAACCCCTCAAAACGCCTTGAAACACGTTAAAACCCTTTAAAAGAAAATATAAAAAAAAAATCATTATCGCTTATCTCTTACATAGTCGCCCACTGGTTATCTCGTGGCTTATCCTCCAGCTGTCCCGGTTCCCAGCCCTCCCCCTAGACCCGGGGGTCCCGACATCGCGATCGAGTGTTCCCGGGAGGAGAAGCTCGATCGAATGCGCCCCTCGGGAGATCCCGCGATTCGGGACCCCCCTTTTCCCCCCAGCTCTCCCTCTTATTCGAAACCGAGCACTTTCCCATCGATCTACCCCCCCCCCCCCCCCCCCCCCACCCCCCTACTTACGCACCTCAGTTAGGGTTATTGGGAGCCTTCGGCTGGCATAGGTCCCCGGGATCGCCGCCGAGGGATTCCCGCGGGACCTGCGGCCGGCGAGCGCGGTACCTCGCTCCCTCTCTCTCCCGCCTTCGGGCCGCGCTGTGCCGCGTCTCGCTTGCTCTCTCCGCGCGACGAGACGCCCTCCCCTTCGGACGGCCTCCGCGTAACTAACCAACCTCGGGGACGGAGAGGGTCCCCGTTCCCGAGTCGGCCCGGGCTTCCCTGCCGGGCCTGCGCACCCGGCCCGCCAGGCGCAACATGTGGGAAGCCGAGCCGAGCCGGGCCGAGCCGAGCCGAGCCGGCGGCGATCCCACGGGGGCGGCGCCGGAAACCCACCGGGACTCCCCAAGAGACCCGAAATGGGGTTCACCCCCTGGGAAAGGGGTGACTCTTGGACTCGGGGGGAGTATGAGCATGAGAGGGAGGAGCGAGACGAGGTGAAGTATCGGGATGCAAAATGTCGGGATGAAGGGTATGGGGATGAGGAATTTCGAGATGGAGGATATCGGGATGAAGGGTACCAGGATAAGGAATTTCGGGATCTGGAGTATCTGGACCGAGTCCCACCACCCCCTGCAGGCGCAACATGTGGGAAGACGAGACGTACGTCTGGATTTCGGGGGCGGGGATGGTCGGCGCGGAGGGTGGGAAAGCTCGAGGGGTGTCCGAGGTCCCGGCCTACTCTGGCTCTCGGGGGAGGCTTTGACCGAGACGCGTCCCCGGGAGCGCGCGGGATTCCGCCGGGACCTTTCCGGGGATTCTTCCAGGAGACCGGTCGCGGGGCATCCACTCCCCTCCCCCGGGAACCGCAGGGCAACCTCGGGGAATATACTTCCTCCTCGTGCTACGTCCTATCCTCTTTGCGGAAATTTCGAAGTCGGGCAAAAACTGCAGCGGAGTCCAAACTGCATACGAGGGTGCAACGATTGAGGCAGGTCAGTGCTGCGGCATATCGTGACCGCAAGACATCGGCTCCTCAAATTTCCTTACAATTAGGAGTTTTCTCGCAATTAGGAATTTTCTAGCAATTAGGAATTCCCTCCCTGATTCCTCGGGATCAATCCAGACACCGCAGACGAGGGTGCAAGAACGATTGAGGCAGGTCAGTGCTGCGGCATATCGTGACCGCAAGACATCGGCTCCTCAAATTTCCTTGCAATTAGGAGTTTTCTCACAATTAGGAATTTTCTAGCAATTAGGAATTCCCTCCCTGATTCCTCGGGATCAATCCAGAAACCGCAGACGAGGGTGCAAGAACGATTGAGGCAGGTCAGTGCTGCGGCATATCGTGGGCGCGAGTCATCAGCACCTCCTCGGGGTCGACGACTGGATTCGCGTGTTACTTCCTCGTGAATAGCCCGCGCAACCTGTGGGCGTTCCAGATATAGATCTCGCGAGTAATAACCCTTGCGGCGAGGGCAGAGACGCTAAGAAGGGCCGGTCCTGGATTTCCTATCCGAGTCCCACCCCCGCCGACCTTATCGTCCACCTCGATCGGGAGGACGAAGTAGCCTCCCTTATCGGGACCTCCCCGGGTGATCCCCCAGTCGATGATGGACTAATGAACTCCCCGAAGAGGACCCCTCGGTGGTCGATACTAAAGGCGCCCCCCGCGATCTCCAGGAGTCCGTCCAGGGGGCAAGGGTGTAAGGGGGAGGGAGCACCCCTGAAAAAAAGAAAATATGTCAGGCACTCCGAGCGACGTGGCAGCGTATCAGTGTCAGTAGGTTATCCGGGCACCTGAGCCGACGTTCCACGGCGTGGCGTGTGCTACGTGCAATCGATACCTCGACCGCGCACTCGGGGCACCCTGGGGGTTAGGGGGAGGAGAGGTCGACAGAGGCCTTCTCTTCCTTTTCCTCCGGGACTTTCTCCGCCTCGAATTTCTCTCGGTTGGGCAAGGTGGTGGAAACGTTTCCCCCCGAGGAAGCTCCCAAGGGGGTGGACGGACTCTTCAAGGTCCGCGATGGTCCTCCACCATCCCTGGTACCCTGATAAGGCCGGAGAACGTCGTCACGAAGTTTGTTGCAACGTCAATTGTTGCACCACGGGTTGTAATGTGGAAATAAATTACGACCTACCGAGGTGGACGAGCGTTTATCAAAATGCAGCGTCCAGGAAGAACCACCCCTGAGGGGTAAGGGGTACCTGAAAGGAGTAGAAACTCCTGCGAGGTGTCGACCTCCCCCAGGGTAATTTCTATGTAATTTAACCGCGCGATTCCTGGTCGTATCGTCGGATGTTGGGGGGGCTGGTTCTCCAGGGGATGAAGAAACTCGCTTTTCCTCCCCTAGGAAGACTCGCGCGAGGATCCGCCTCCGCGGTTCCCGGCAAAGGTCACGGTAATCCCGCGGTAATACGGAAATATTGCGCCCTCGATCACTTTATCTCACCCCCCGGGCTCGGGGGCGCGAGAAAGGGGGAGGGAAGCGTATGCTCGGTTTTACGAATCATCTTCATCCCCGGTCGGAGGGGAGCGCATAAAAAGCGCCGTAAATTCTTCTCATAGCGAGAACTGCCCCCTCCCCCCCGGGGACCAACCCTTCTTCGGGAACCTCTTCGCACTCCATCCCTCTTAAAAAAATTCGTCCCGTAGCCAACTCCAGGATCTTCGCACCCCTCTGTAGACTCGATTCCTCGGCAAGCACCCCCTGCGTCTGCAAGAAGGACTCCTGCAATTATCAATTTACTTAAGGGTGCCCTCTGGTAATCATCATAATTAATATGTACACAATGAAATTCTGCGATTCCGCATTTCGTTCCATAGCCAACTCCAGGATCTTCGCACCCCTCCGTAGACTCGATTCCTCGGCAAGCACCCCCTTCGTCTGCAAGAAGGACTCCTGCAATTATCAATTTACTTAAGGGTGCGCTCCGATAATCATCGTAACTAATATATACACAATGAGATCCTGCGATTCCGCATAGTGGCCGCCGATTCTGCCGCATTGCCGATGTCGCGTGGAAGAACACAGGGGTTCCGTGCCGCAAGGGTGGGCCAGGGGTGCACCTGGTCGGCCCGGGTCGAGGGGTGGACGACTTATCGACCTGGTGCACCCCTGCACCGACTGGTACACACGATGTGGTGCCACCGACTGCGGCGTGCCACTTTCGGCCTGGCAAGGGTGTCCTGCGGTTTCCGCGTCCAAGGGTGAACCACCCCCAAACACCTCAAAAAATTAAAAACATGAATAATCGTCTCCAGAGGAGAATCGGTTTCCACGGCCAAGTTCCTTGCACCCCCCCGCACTTTCCACTTCCCGGTGAAATTCTGCACCCTTAATAATTATCCCAGGGGTAGGGGTTGGCACCCTTCTAGCGCCTCGGCAGAAAAAAGGGCCTCTTCTTCTTTTGATTTATTTCCACTGGGACCGGGGATCACCAAGATGGCGGCCGCTGGAGAACGCCGTAGAGCTTCCTCGAATTAACCCCTGAAAATACACCCCCAGAGGGGTAGTTTCCCCCTTGGGGGCGCCGCCCGCTCCCTCCGATGGATCACCAACTGAAACACTCCGAGAAAAACTCGTATAACACCTTTTTTTCTCTCTCTCTCTCTCTTTCTCTTTATTGTTTCCACGTGTCTCGTGTTCGCCAGGAATATCGGCCGTCGCCGAGGCGAAGGTCCCATCGCGGGGGTGTAAAATACCGCCGTAGACCTTTTTTAAAGGGATCTCGCCCTTAACTATCTCCCTGCCCTGCGTTACCGTATCTCGGGTCACGCGCGGAGAAGGAAAGTATAAAGGAAATCAGGACGGTCTCGCGACTCCGCCGCATCGATCCTCCGCGCGGAACGCGAGGCGCTAAATCGAGATACCCTCCAGGAATCCCGCTCGATCGACACAAATTTCTATTTCTTTTCCCCTACGATTTGACACCCTAATCTCAGCCAACAATGCAAGCTGTTTCACAGAATCGCATTTTCGACCTATCCGAACCTAGAGAGATCCATAAAAAAGAAACTCCTCAACGTCGAGGGCTGCTAAGGATCGACCTCGCTTCGCGAGCAAGACTACATTAAAATCGGACTCTTTATCGCTTCCCGAGTACGCGTTATCACCGGGCACTTAGAGACTCGAGTCGTCGAGTGATAGGCGAGATCGAGTAAATTATGAGAGACGAGTTTTGAAATTTCTAGGGATAAAATCTGTCTCTGTGGAAACCTGCCTCGACGGCTCGGATCCTTTCAAGTTCCTGACTGGGTTCCCTCGCAATGGGACTCGCATTGCATGCATTTACAATATGATCCTAATCCGAGGATGCGGCGCGTAAAAACCTAAATAGATCTCCCCTGAAGGGGCGACGATTGATAATTGATTATTGATTACTACCCGAGTGTCCTCTACGTGGAAGGGAACTCCTGGGGGAGAGTGGTCGCTACTCTGCGTAGTAGTGTGGCTAGTTATCGCTAGTTATCACAAAGGTGGGGGGAGATTTAAATGTCCAGGTCGAAGATCAAGTCGTTCTTGAATTCCGCCTTGACGATGCCCTCGAGGAGGACCTCGGGGGAGGCGTCGTTCTCCTTGAAGTCGACGTCGCGGTTCCGTGATCCGCTTGCGGAGGGGTCCTTCGGGGCACCCTCTATCTGGATGACGGCGGTCTGTTTCCTCTCCTGCGACTTCTCACGGCTCAGGATGGACCTGACCACGTCGGGGTTCTCCTTACCTGAGGAATCCCCCGGGATGATCCTGTATTTATCTCGCTCGTCCGTTTCAGAATTCTCGCTTTCGCTGAGCCTGCGGTCGTGGGCGCGCTTCTTGTTCCTCAGTTTCCGCTGGTTCTTCTTCCGCTGCCCCAGGATGCTGGAGTTGGACCTAGGGGGGAGAAAGAAATTGCAATCAGCGCTGCAGTTCCCGGACACTTCTTCAGGCTTTAGAAATTCACCTGTACAGCTGACGCGAGACCACGTCGTTGAACCTGACCGTCTTCTTCAGGCTCGAGCTGTCGGACTGGGAGTTGATCTCGTCGATGGAGTCGTAAGTCGGGTCGGTCGAAAATGCTTGAGCACCACCGTCGTCGATGCTGGACTCGGAAACCGAGCGCGAGAATTGGCAGCTTCGTCGGGACTTCAGGATCCCTTTCGCTCTTCCGGAACTCCCGACACTCGGGAGCTCATCTCCGCTACTCTCGGAGATAGACCTTGACATTTGCTGGGCGGAAATTCGCTTCCTCTCGTGCTTGCGCGTAGGCATCTTCAGGTCCACCTGGTCCGCCTCGTCGTCGGAGTCCAGATGATCTCTGTGAATATCTATGACCATATCGGAGCCTTTGTTGGAGACTTTTATCCTATGGTTGGTGTCCTCCTTCGGCTCCACCTGGACAAAAAATTAATTAATTATGAAGGACATCATCGAAACCTTAACGTAACCCTAATCTTTCTATGAGATGTGATAAAATATGTAAGAATGTGGATAATTACCAAAAGCTCATTGAACCTCCTCGTTAATGACATCGGCGTTGGCAGGTCTTTCGCCTCCATGAACTGTTCATCCAGTCCCACGAAGTACCCCGACAGGCCTTCGGTGCTTGTCAGGGTGACGGTGAACACTACGTTGTTGTCCCAGGGATCTGTTTTCAGGGAATCTGGCTCCACCAGACTCTCTCCTAGTTTCAAGCATAAAGAATAATAGACGGGGAAAAATCCAGCACCGACCGAGGTTAATAAAATGTGGAGTCCGGAGCAGTTCTCCAGGATCCTGTGACGGATGGAGTCTGGGTCTACGTTCTTCACGTTCACAGTGACAGCTAGGAAATTGTTGTACGAATTGCAGGTGAACATAGGCAAGGAATACTTAAGATTAGGGTTCATAAAGATACTGCGAGGCTCTACAGTGTTTCCGTTAGTCCTTGGAGCCATATCGTTGCAAGTTTCGTTTATGACTGTAATTAACTTTGCTGAGTTTTCCTTTGTGACACGTTTTTCAGAGTTTGCAAAAGAGTTAAAGGTGGAACTGGCCAACTTATCGTCCAAAGAATCTTGCACTGGACTCCTGTCATCGCTGCTCACGCCACTGTCTTCTCTGGTAACATCCTCCAGATCCTTGTCTTCGGTGTTCTTAATAATGGAAGGAACTTCTTCGCCGCTTATCATGGAAACAATCTCTCGAATTACTGGCAGAGTGACGGTTAGCTTTTTGTACTTGGGATCGAACTTGGCATTGCCTTTGTCCGCATCCACGCGATAAGGCAAGGGCAGCTCCAATCGATATTTGGCAGGTGACTCGCTCTTCAAACTCAGCAAACGTTCCTGAACGTCCAGTGAAGCATCATTCGCAGACTTCAACAGAGGCAGGTCCACGATGACGACCAAAGTCTTTGGAATGGCAGCATGCATCTTTGCGTCCATGCAGTTTCGAAATTCATCCAGTTCCACGTCTGTGCGATGCTTGACGATAAACTTTGGCATGGCGTACTTGGATTCCAGGTTCTCATCCTCAGATTTATCATGACTCGAATACACGGACTTGGGAGGCGATCGCTTTGGTTTCTCCTCCTGGTGGTGTCTCTCTCGGTGTTGATCGTAACTCGACATGAGCTTTTGATATATTTCAGGTTCCATATCAAGGTATTCATCCACGGGTGCATCCATGGGTTTCCTGATGACCGTTGGCTGGCTGATGCCCTTGAAGCCCATCTTGGGAAACTTGATATTCTTTCTATCCAGTTTTACCTGCAAAAAATAAATATCTAAGTGCACAAGAAGCTCTTAGCCAATCTTATTCAAGCAATAGAAAAGACAGGCCAGGGTAACCTTAAAGTTCTTCTCGATGCTATCGAGAGCGGTGTCGTTGACCAGCTCTTTAAACTGCGGATCTCTCGAGGCCAAGTAAAGAGTATCGGGGTGGAAAACAACATCGAAGACGGTGCAACGCACCTTCCTCTTGTCGAGATCATCCCGAGGTGGAGCAAGCGTAAAGGGCAGGGACCAACCAAGACCTCGGCGACCTTCTTCGAAGGAAGGCTTGCTCTCTGGCTTGCCAACGGTCTCGCTTTTGCTTATGTTGATGAAGCATTTCCGCGTTCCGTCAACGCTCGTCTTAATGACGTAACCTGGCTGTGGGTTGACAAACGTAACGTCGACGCCTCGTTTCCTCTCCAGCCGAGTGATCTCCTCCTCGAAGATCTTCCGATTCTCCGGGTCAGTCACCTCCTCGGCGTACTCGATGAGCAATTTGCGGAACTCCTCCTTCTTCAAACACTCGGTCAGTTTGTTGATCTCCTCCCGGGTGACGTCCAGGTCCTCCCAGTCGTTCCTTCGTTCCGCTCCGAAGCTGTCCATCCTCCGAGCCGGTCTGTTTACAAATAAACTAACATAAACCAGGAAGAGACTCGTCAACTCGCTCGCGACGCCGTAACATACCACGTGGTCGTAACCGGTAAGTCCACCAATGGCGTAGCAGCCGGTCAGTCGACCAATGGCGTCGCGCCCCGCCAGAGATTTAAGCCGATTTTTCATTGACTCTATCAGTAAGAAGAATATGGCAGAGATTAGTAGGGAGATTGCTGACGGGCAGGGTCGCGCGATCGCATCCTATGCTGCCCTCTGGTTTCGCACGTTAGCTTTCACCGTTTTTTTTCCCCCATTTGCGGATAAAATAAATAAGGTAAGTGAAGGGTAAAGTCAAAGAGGGCGCCACGAGTGTTCTCCCAACTCATCTCTGAATATGGAACGATCCGTAATTATGGACCTACCACGATACTAGCGCCGCCGCCATTGTTGCGGCAATAACAGGTACCCGATACATCTTTACAGCAGCTTCAAGTTATCAACGGATAGTAATTAAAACAACAAAACTGGAAATTAATATCAAGTGCCACATGTTTCATGCGAGGGTCCAGCACAAGAATGTATTAATGTAATTAGCAACTTTTCTATTCGTCTTTATAAAATGTAATTAATGATTCCCTTTGGTAGACGCTTTGTTTACAAGATCGGCATTGATTCGGACTGTAACACGTATTCTGTGCTTATGGAATCGCCCAGAATGGATTCGTAAAGAGAAAGGTTTTATAAAAAGGAAGGGAAGTACGCTGTCATTGTTGGAACGATAAGGTTATAGCCATGTCTCGGCACCAGAACAGGTACAGTATTGTCGAGTACCATGGGAAACAAGAAAAGCACAAATGTGGTTACTGCAAGAATCCCAACTCTTATGCTAGTTATGGTCAGTGAAGGATTTAAAAATATTATTGATTAGAATTGGTACTAAAAATTACTTATTATATGATCGGCATTAAGAGGATGTGGTGTTTTTTCACTTGTTTAGGAATGTGGGCATACTCACTGGCCGTGCGAGATTATCAGAACTTGATAGATAGAGGATGGCGACGTAGTGGTGCCTATTGTTATAAACCCATCATGGACGATATTTGCTGTCCAATGTACACCATTAGGTATATATTACAATGACTAAGAATTATTATGCCAAACTATCGTACAACATATATTTGTAGATGCGACCCTACGGAATTTAAAATGACCAAATCGCAAAAAAAGATCCTGAAGAGAATGATAAAGTTCTTAAAAGGTGAACTGAGAAAGGACCAGATGGATACTGCAGACGAGAACGATCGCGGTAACATTAATTGCTGCATAGAAAAAAAATTTACTGTATTTGGTCTGCATTAGAAGTTTGTATGATCGTGCCTGATTGCATATTATAATCGTTAGATATAGGATAAAATCATGTATGGATAAATTATTGTGATTATACAACGATTGTCTTGCAGGTGAAAGGTGTCTAGAGGTGCAAGATCATTGCAAACGAGTCCCCCCTGAATTGAAAGACCTACCGATAGAAAATGAAATGTGCATTGACGATGAATTAAGCAATAAATTAAATTCTAGATCGGAAACTGATTCAAAGGTCCCAATTGATATTACTGTGCCTACTACTTCGAAGCCGCAGAATACTAAATTAGATTCGCCTTCTGATAACAAAAAGAAGAAGAATCAAAATATGCTGCTTAATTCTGATGAAACTCTACCCAAGAAAGCCAAGCTTTTACGCATAGAGCGAAAAAAAAAGAAATTACTTGCTCAGGGGAAATCTGAGAAGGAGATCGATGACATTTTCAAAAGTAAAAAGCGACAGAGTAACCCTAGGACATTGGAGAGTTTTTTTGAAGAAATATCTAATAGTAGTACAATGAAATTAAAGGTGCCAAATTTTTTTACATATTCTATCATAGATTATGGATGATAGACTGCTTTTACATAATTACCTTTGCATTTACAGTTGAAAGTAGTAGAAGTAGCTACCAATAAATTAAATGAGCATAATTCTTTTGAAGCAAGTGTACAGCTATATCAAAAGTATCAAATGGCAATTCATGGAGATGACCCCTTGGAATGCAGCGAAAAGATGTTCTACAATTTTCTTGTGTACAACACTTTAAAGGTGAATTTTATTCCAACGATTCGATCTTGAAATTAATGAGGTACCAAACGAACATACATGTTTTCAGTCGCGGCGTTCGGAAAATGGCCCACCTCAGGGATACGGGTCCTTTCATGAACAGTACTGGTTAAACGATGAACTCATCGCTGTTGGAGTTCTAGATATTCTGCCATATTGCGTGTCAAGTGTGTATTTTTTTTACGATCCAGCATATTCCCATCTTTCCCTTGGGACCTTTAGGTAAACATATTGTTCTCATTATTAGCATACCAGTATTTGAAAAAATATGGCATCGTTATGAAACATCAATGGTATGATGTTTAATAAATATTTATGTACTTTGCTCTCAGTTCACTTTATGAAATCTACTTAACGAGGCAGTTGATGAGGACGTCACCTGATCTGAGATATTATTACATGGGATTCTATATTCACTCCTGCCCAAAAATGAGGTACAAAGCGAAAATGAAGCCTTCGAAACTACTCTGTCCTGAAACTTATGTTTGGTGTGACATCGAAAAATGTCTACCAAAATTAGACAAATCTCAGTATAGTAGGCTCAATGAAGACATGGATGCAATTGACGAGGATGCCAATGTAGACATTGGTCAGGTAAGATTCCCTTCTTCAGTATAATGTTTAATGAAGCTAAACCTTTTTTATGGCCAGAAATAATTATAGTGCATTAATATTTTTGCAGTGTTTAATACTCCATAGACGATTAGCAAGAATATACAAAAATATCAAGGATAGCCTTTTTACAAGGCCTGGTTTTATTGACGAGGAAGAATTAAAAGAGTACGCTGCGTTAATAGGAAAAAAATGCTTACGAACAATGCTTATGTATCGTGAGTGACTATAGTGCTCGGCAAGAGAATATGATTGCACCCAGATTCAATGTTAAGTCTAACGACAACTGCATTCACTTTAGCAAGTGAATAGCTTTGTACACATTACTTTCGAGTCTCATATGTCCATGTTAAAAATTATAATTTCTGAACGTACTCTGTAGCCTTTAATTTCATCATTACAATTAAATTAAAATGTGCGTTATTAAGTGTACCTTACTTACCGATTCGAACCCCTTAAGAAATCGTCAGTAAAAGAGGAGCCAAGTTTATCAAAGCCAACATCAGCCCTTGACTCCTTAACCTAGTAATTGTAGATATACTCCCCGTGATATGAATAAATAGTGCTTTATTAAAAAATTCAAGTACGCCAACTTTGTTCTATCATAGGTGTCGATGGCTTAGTTAACGATACGCTATGGAATGTCTCTTGGTCTAATAAAAAAAACCTTGTTCGAGTTAGCTGCACCTCGCATGGAAAGATGTCCGCAGACTTGGCAGAACCCCTCCAATGAAATTTCTTTATGCGATACATGAAATTCCAGTTCGTTACGTCGATTCTTACACAGGAATTGACGTGGGGCAGTAAATACAGAGGCAGTTAAGGAGGCATTCGTTAAGTTATATCCAGCCCGTTACCCTGGAAGCTTCTCTTGATGGACACATGGGGATACAACAAGCGCCACTCCCGGATCTTGGCATCACTAATCGCCTCGCAAAAACTTAAGTCTATCATTTTCAATCTTGGGCAGTATATTAAAAATAGGAGACACATGTCCGGAGTAAGAGACCTTGCACCGAGTAAATCTAACTGCTGGAGTCTCTGGCATCGAAGCAAAGGTTCCAAATCGCGATCGGTGATTCCCCTCAGCGCGGCGAGGAAGACCTTCTCCAGGGCACGACAAGACGACAGCAAAGCCCTCAGAGAATCCCCAGGAGCTCCCATTCCAAGGCTACGGATGAAAATTGCAGAAAAATCCCAGAGACCAAAATTAAACGTCTGTACTCACCACCAACCAAAGTCGACCTCACGTAGACCTGTGCATCGAGTGAGTGCCCTGACACCGTTGGGTGTCAGACACCGAGCCTTCCAAAAATCAACACTTTCAAGCCGAGGGCAGGAATTGGCAATTGCTATCGCAACCTCGTCCATATTTGGGATGCAGTCGCATCCTGCCAGATTTAAGTGCCTCATCTCCGGGTTCCTGGACAGGATAGCACACAGTGGTGACGTCTCGATTTTTGTTCGATACAGCTCCAGGCGTTCTAGGCAGTGTAGGTTGACCAGGTGCCAAAATCCTTCCTTAATTGCCGTGCAATTCCGCAAGCAAAGCTCTACAACCGTGACAGATGTTTCCCAATGAGCTCCAAAAAGTGGACCGTGAGTTGAGAGACTTTTAACAGGATGACTAAGTGGCAGATTGTAAAATAGATCCGTACCTTTCAGATTCTTGCACACGGCGGTAATCGTGAAAATGACGGAATCGTTGACGAAGTGGCAGCAGTTCAGTCGCAGGTGAGTTAATGGACCGCCACAGGACTGGAGGAACTTGACGAAATCGTCAGGCTCGACCGCGCCGTAATTACCGCACCAGGAGAGGTCTAATCGTTGTAAATACTGACATCTAGGGGCAAGGTAATTTAATGCCTCTGCATCTATACAGTACCAGTACGGCTTTAAGTTTAGACTTGTATAAAGCAAGGCGTCTCGAGCTATGTTGTTGAAATGCCTGTTCACTTTGCAACAGCGGCATAGTGATTTCAAATCCAGATTCTTCAATATTTTCAGCACTGTTTCATCCTGAAGGAGAGATGTTTCGTTGTGTACAAATCATGGTGATTTTCGCAGTGATTGCTTGGCACAATCTCCTGGTACGAAAACAATTAGGTAACTTACCGGAAGTGCTGAAAAGCTGCCACAGGTATTTTCCACAATGCCGCTGCAACTAGAGGCTGAATCATCGATCAAAGACAGGGTCGATGAAGTAGAGAGATCGATGTCTCTTATTAGTTTAGGAAATTCCTCTTGCAGGAACTGTTGTAGACTGTTGAAAGCTTCTTCGATAGGAGGAATGCAATGGTAGTGCATGGCTAGCTTCGACACTAGCTTTCCTTTAGGAACTTTCTCCAAAAATTGACTATTTGAAGTAAATAATATTACTGATTTTAGAATATAAAAATACCGGGTGCTTAATTATATCCCAACCAACCTTTTGTATAAAACGCAATGCTTATGAAGCGTATTCTTAAGTTCTTTTAAGTCTTGATTCGTCTGCTGGTAATCGGGTGTCAAGTTATGAGCGTCTTTGTCATTAGAGCCTGTTCCACCCAATTCTCGTAATAGAGTACTTAAACTTCGGTTTTGAAAGCCAAAATGCGGCAAAATCAATTCCGACGTCCCAATGAATAAAATCGCGTCTAATTCCGTATAATAATCGAGAAGGGTGTGATTAAATTCCAGTCTTAACATTTTCGTTTTAAAGTTGCAAAGATGAAGTGGCGGAGAAAATATTCTGGGCTTGTGAGGGACGATCTGAGGAGGTCCGCTCCATAGCAAAAACCAACGATTACCGCTGTGCGTGTCCCTTGCCCAAATTCTAACTACGCTTCCAGGACTGTACGTCTCGTATATTGACACCCGGATGGGATAAACCTCTTCGTGGTATTCTACGTCTAAACAAAAAGCATAATTGGACTATTCGTTTTTAATATATTTACGATCTGCCACTTACCTATATAATCCTGACTAACTATCGGCCCATTGTTCTGTGGCATGTAATCAGATAACCGGGACGGTGCTTCATCCCACCACCGTCCGTAAGTTCTCTGAAACGATTATTTTGTTTAGGCGATTCAAACTACAGCGTTCCTTTGACCCCTTCGATACTTACCATAACAAAGGCCTGTGGAAAGTCTCCATAATCAGGAAACTTGCTTGGATTCCCAGCGATATTGTAGGCCGTATAAGAGATGCTAATGTCACTTCCATACTGTGAGCTAAAATCGCAAACCTTCTTCACGAATTGTTCGACAAAAGCAACGGACTCTTCCTTCCCCGCGGACTTTCCGTTCAACGTGACGAACTCTATTTTCGTTTCGTCGCAAGAAACCATGACATTCGGTATTGGACTAGATCGACTTTCGAGGTTAGGAGCGCTAGGTTAAGTCATCCCGACAGTCCCACTTTCGGAAATCCCCACGTCCTCCGGGAAGCCTTGAACGTCCGACACAGCTCCAACACTCGTCCGAGGATTATTTCAGATTTCCTCTAACTATCAATCACTAGAAATTATTTAAAGAAATTTGACATTCGGCCAAGCTTTGACGAGCTTCTGCCGCACAAAGATGGTGCCCGTCACTGACATTCCTATCACCTGACGGGGCGCCGAGGCGCCATCTCCGAGTCGCCACCTGAACCCCACACCCAATAAGTTTCCACCGTAACTTCCTAGATGTCGCCACCAGAGTTCCAAACCGAGCGAATTTCAAATTCAAAAGCGCGGCAAATCCAACGAACTAAAAACTCTCGATTAAAGACCTAAAGAAATAAGCGGTGACCGTGCCAAGGTACTTCTCCTACCACGGCCACCGTAGGATATCAATTCCAACCAGTTCGACATCCGTAATGGGAACGTTTATCATTTATTTCGCTATTCTAATTACTTTCCGTTCCAATTAAATAAACTTACTCATACGTGGCGGTCGACTAACCAGATCAAATAACAATCTCCGATCTCCCAGGGCCGAGAGAAACGTGTAACTTAACAAGAATAGCCGCGTATCGTTATACATTTTTTCTCCCTTTCTTACGAAATACGGGCGCGGAAATAATCACGCGGCGATAAGTGTCATCCGCGTCTCTTTTAAGAGTCGTAAAAGGAGGCTCGGAGTAATCGGCTCGTTGTCGGAAGACGCGGCCCGTACCAGGCGGATCGCAACGCGGAATCCGTCCCCGCCGGGACGCTCTCGCACAGTCTCGTTCATAAATACACGATGCGATCATTTACGATCGTACAGTGAAGTAAAAACACTTAGGACAAGGCGACCTAGAGTCCCGAGCGCGCCGAGTTTCAAGAGGAGTTATTTTTTTCCTTTTTCGTCCTCTGAAATCGCAATTTTTCCCAGGTACCTCGAGATAATCCGCCGTGGAATTTTTTTTTTCATCCTTTGAAATTGCAATTTTTTACAGGTACCTCGACAAATCCACGGAATAACGAGTGCGATCCGGTACCTGATTCCGAGGCGCACCAGGATAATCCGGCGGAGGAGGTAGAGGACCCCGTGGGAGGACGACTTCTGGAAGGACCTCCTTCAGGTCTCCTTAAAACGAATGAAATTCCACCCAGAAAAATACAAACTCGACTCAAGCGCACTTAGTCTCAAGGACGAGGTACTTTAGGTTCTCCATAATCGCAGTCCTTTACAGGTACCTTGACAAATCCGCGGAATAACGAGTGCGATCCGGCACCTGATCCCGAGGCGCACCAGGATAATCCGGCGGAGGAGGTGGAGGAACCCGTGGAAGGACGACCGCCCCAAGGGACCTCCTCCAGTCCTCGCGAGTCCTGTCCTCCTCGGGTCGATCCCTCCGCCACTCCTCTCTAGTCCGATCTTCCTCGGGTCGATCCCTCCCAGAGGTGCGACCCGTCCTGGAGGAGCCGCCACTCTCCGTAGAATTGCTGTCCTCGCTGGTCCCCAGACCAGGGTCCCTTTCCTCGAAGGGAACCGGGCTAGGCTCCAGGGTGGCCGTCGGTTGCACGTAAAGCAACGTGGGGTGCGGGATGACATACGGCCTAGGCAGCTTGGTCGTCTCGGTGGCATCGAACTCCACCTCTTCGTCGTCGGATCCACAGCTGGAGCATGAACCAGGTCCGAATATCGAGAGCAAAACCGGCAGCAAGAAGAGGCCATGCATGGCGCCGATGAAGATGACCAGGAAGACCATCTTGAAGAAGACGAGGAAGATGTAGGTCCCCGCGAGCAGCAGAGCGACGAGGCCGAGGATGGTCGAGGTGGCACCCTGGACGATGGGCAGCCCCAGACTGTACAGGCACTCCTGGACCCTCTCTTCGGATCTCTTCTTCTTGGAGCTCATGTAAGCATAGCAAATGTGGGCGGTGAAGTCGACACTGAAGCCGATGCACATAATCAGGTTGATCATGGAGATGCTGTCCAGGTTTACATCCCAGAGGGACATGTAGCCGGCGACCCCGAGCTCGATCGAGACTATGCAAAAGGCGACCCAGAGGCAGCACAGGATATTCGGGATGAAGACGAAGGAGATCAGCATCATGACGAGGGCCCCGAAGATCATACACTGGATGCTCGTAGGCCGCACCAGCTCGAACTGGTCGAAGAAGACGAAGTAGGGATGGAACACGCTGGCGTTAAGAGGTGACTCCTGGCATATCCTGCGGAGCTCCCCGACCATGTCCTTCTCCTGGTTGGTGCCGCTAACGTTAACAGCCTGAATAAGGAACCGACTAGCCAGGATGCGTTGACCGGTTTCGTCGAACTTCACGTCCAGGGCGAAGGTACTCGAGGGAAGTAGCCAGAGCGACTTCAGGGTGCCGATGAAGCCCTCCGGGGTATCAATGGTCACGTTGAGGAAGTCCTGGTTCCTGCCCACGTAGCTCAAGAAACTCCGAAGCCAGCTCTCCGTGTAAATCGGTGCACTGATATAAGTAGAGGCCTCCAGGGTCCTCGTCAGGTTCTCCATTCGCTGCTGGACCACGGGGTCACTGTAGTCATACTCGCCGCTCACCACCACCTACAAGTAAAGATCCAGGGTGATCATCTAGCCGATCCATCCTCCACGCCTCGAGATAAGATCCTCTCACCTGGATCCTGTATGGGAACTCGCGGAAGTAGAAGTCCTCGCGGTCGTAGAAGGTGATGGAATAGGAATCCTCCTTGGAGAGTTTGCGCCTGTCCAGGCCTTCCTGGAGGGTGGTCAGTCCGTAGAGGGCGCCCCCCAGGTAGAGGCCGAAAATTAGGAGCACCAGGATCTTGACGGGCCAGTAGTTTAGGGCTTTTGCGAGGTAGTCTCGGAACCAGATCATGCATCCGTGTTCTGGGTTGTCCAGAGGGTTGTCCGGGTCGTCCGGGTCCACTCCTCCCGTGCAGAGGAGTCTGTACAGCCAGGACCTGTCTCCTGCGGGAAAACGGAAATGCGTTATCCTCGGGCTAGCTGTTCTAGCTACTCTCGCGAGAGAAAGTGCCGATATCGCGGCTCGGTTGCGTAACCGGAGAGACGTGACCCAACCGAATCGACGTCGTTGCTCGGACGTGTAACGCGTGCCGAGGCGTTTCACGTAACGGGCCGGTCGTCGACGGAAGGGAAAACGATGCCGACTCGGTTGGCGTCATCGCCGACCCGAAGAAACCCTCACCGGACTTGGAGAGCGGCAGCACCTTGTGGCAAGACACGCTGTGGAGGTTCCTCTGTTCGCAGTACCCGCTGATGGCGACGCATCCGCTGAAGAAGGTCAGATGGAAGAGGAAGGTGAAGACCACCGCGAAACCTGGAAGAGATACAGGATCATCCTAATAGTCACGAATACAATCGGTCTCATGGAAGTCAAAGACTTCCTAGTAAAGGCCAGGGTTATGGGCTAGCAAATCGAGCCTCGGCGATGACGAGTAAAATTGCTCCTGGTGTCGTAGAGAGTGCTGAAAGGGCGAGGTAGGGCAAAAAGTGCAAAACCAGCGATGAGCAAAATCGATTTTGGTCATGCTCTCGTACAGAAGTGCCGAAGGTACATGACCAAGACCAAGGCTCAACCGTGCAAGACCAAGTCCCTGGGGACTGGAAGATAGTGACGAGCAAGTCTTGGTATCGGTCATGGCAAAGAGTGCAAGACCGAGAGCATGGCAATTTTAGTCATTATTTCCTTGGGCATGATTGATTTTCGTTTTCAATATCTAGGACGTGCAAGACCAGGCCATGCAAGTCCGAGATACAGTCTTGGTCACGATTAGGTCGGTCTTCTTGAAAGAAAAAAATTCAAGTCTCCCGTAATAAATGTGCAACGATGCCATCCATGCACCCTGAGCCTTCGGTTACCTCCTCGACTTACCGGAATATATGCAGAAGATCTGCACCGAAGGGAACGGCGACAGGACGCCGATGAAGAAGGAGATCATGTCGGTCAAGGAAGTGATCGTGATGGAGACGGCAGCCTCGCTGAGGGTCGTCGCCATCCTCTCGGGGACCGGGCTCGAGATCTTGGTCCTCCTCCAGGCGGCCAGCATGACGAAGGTGTCGTCGATGCCGATCCCTGCACCCGATCGAATCGTCCCATCTTTACCATAATGACTCGCGAGGAACCTCCTCCAGGATCTAAACTCCACCGGAAGCGTCGCGGTTCGGCGCCGAGTTTGGCCCGCGAGTCACCCCTGACCGCGAATCTCGCTACGAATCGCGAATTCCTCGATAAAGCGCAACTTCCCCCGGGTGAATCACACCCTGGTGACTCAGGAGACCTCGTCGCATCCGCGAAAATCGGAGGGCCGAGGATGACTCGTCGACGAGTCGCCTCCCACGAGCGACAGCTTAGCGCTCGTCGACTCTCCCCCTTTCGACATGTACGACTTACACGTATACATGCGCGACTTCCTGCTCCTAAAGCGGGACCACGAGCACTCGAGCCCAATGGGAATTATTAAATAATAACTACACCGACGGGAAGAGCAGTCGGCGTGTTTTATCGTCCAATTCGCCGCTCCTCGGCCGGCGCGCGCAATTGGATAAGGATCGGCGTCTGGGAACGTCGCGACGTCGACGTCGAGGGGAACCCCGTGAATTTCGAGGCAAAAAAGAAGAAAATCAGGGAATGCATTTAAAAAGGAAAATTAACCCTTTACTACAGTTGGTGTCTGCAGGAGTATCGAAAGATTGCAACGCCTAGTGGCGCTTGGAAATTTTCATAAAATATGAAAAGTTGCGAAAAATCAGGAAAATGGAAAAATGAGGGTTTTCATGTATATAGTATATAGGTCGTGGCTGGATATGTACTGTCGTGGATTTGTTGTTCATGTATGGAGAAAGGATTAAATTGGAGGCGTGCATGTTGACGTTAGGATAAGGAAAGATCGCTTTTCGCCGTACGACGACGAGGGGGTGAAGAGGGTTCTTTCGAGAGATACCCGAGAAGCGATTGCACGAGAGTCGAGGCGAGTGGCCTTGACTAGAGACGGAGAAAGACTCGACTGTCATACCACTCGCCAAGTGTCGACGACGTCGCGAATGAGCGTAATCTCCTATCGGGCTCGTCGCGACGTCGAGGCATCTCGGAAATGGGAGCTCGTTCGTTTAGCTCGGACCGAGGGAGAAAGGGATGTCGCATGTTCGTGATGAGACGTCACATGTTCATATTACGACATCGCACATTCATGACGAGACGTCGCATGTTCATATCGAGACGTCGCATGTTCATATCGGGACGTCGCATGTTCATATTACGACGTCGCATGTTCATATCGATACGTCGCACGTTCATATCGAGACGTCGCATGTTCATATCGAGACACCTCATGACGAAGCGTCGCATACCCTCGATGAGACATGGCATGTTCATATCGAGACACCTCATGACGAAGCGTCGTATACCCTCGATGAGACATGGCATGTTCATCATGAGACATGGCATGTTCATCGTGAGACATGGTATGTTCATCGCGAGACATTGCGTATTCACCACGAGACGTTACATGTTCACCACGAGACATTGCTTACCAATCATGAGGAAGGGCGCCGCCAGGTTGAGACCGATAAAGTCCACTCCAAGGTACATGCAGAGCCCGAAAGCGGAGACAGTGGCCATAGCAGCCGAGACGTTCCCCAGGAGGCCCAACCAGGGCTTGCTGCGCACCCAGTCGGTCATCATGCACGTCACCACGGAGAAAAGACCCATCAATGCGAAGGTACTGGAGAAGTACGGGACGACGGTCTTGGTATTGGCCTCCAGCTCGAGCTCGAGGGTCCTGGAGGCGAACCTGGCGGTGCTGATGTGTCGAAAGACCCCCTCGTCCTCGGCCTTGCCGACGATATCCAGAAACGCCTCCTCCCAGGCAGCTCCACTGAGGAAAAGATTCGAACATGAGCCCTGAGCGTCTGGATTTCCGCTCCCGAGGAGAAGATGTACTCACAGGGCATCCTGGCGCTGGTTATCCACGGCCACGAAGTAGGCCAGCTGGACCGAGGGCACGGATTCGATGGTCAGGTCGTCGGTGACCACGCTACCCCCAAAGAACACCGGGAAGAGGTGAGCATCCCAGGTCACGGGGTTGAACATGACGGGGAAGGTGAGATTCAGTTCCCGGTTCTCCACCTCCCTGGAAAGAGTCGTTTAGGAGGAGGTTCTGGAGTGATCCATTTTAGGATCCTGAAAGGGAGGTCCAGGGTCCTGGACGGCAGCTCCAGGGCCTTGAAGGGGAACTTCAGGATCCTCGATAGAGCTGGACTTACCCTATCACGTGGTGCAGACTAAGGATATCATTGGCGAAGCACTCGTCCAGCCACCTGGCGCAGATCTTCTCGTAGGTGAACTCTTGGCCCTCGAACTTCGCCGTGGCGTTCCTTATCATGCCGTCCAGGAGGCGCAGCTCCTCCCAGATGACGGTCCTCAGCATGTTCGGATCGCCATCTTTGGGGACCACTATCACATGGCCGAAGCGACCTGAGGAAGGGAACGGGTCAGAGGATCCGGAAGCCAGGGTCGAACTTGGAAACACCTATTCTCACCTGGTCGAGTTATCCGACCGACGTTGAAGTAGTGGCTGTAGTTGACCCTGAAGAACTCCTCGGTGATGGCGCGCTCCGCCTTCCCGGGTCCGTTCACCGGGGAGAAGAGGTACTCCGGGTCGATCTCGTAGTGGATCCTCTGGTACCCGGTGATGCAGATGCATGCTAGGAGGACCGGGATCACCACGAAGTACCCAGGGTGACGACCCACCACCAGGCCGATCCGGTGGAAGGCCTGGTTAAGAAAATCGTCCACGCAGGTCGCCCGGCACGTCATCTGAGCGAGGGGAAATTTTTTTAAAGTGCATATCCACCAAAGTGCAATTCTCACCCTTCTCTGACGTTTTACTCTTAAAAGTAATTCCGAGAGCATCCACATAGGTTTAGTACATTTCGAGCCGACGTTTGGAGCAGACCAGGGCAAAAATGTCTGCACTAATTCGTCTGATCTTAAAACGGAAGAAAAAAAAAAAAGAAGAATAAAATAAAAGGAGAACTTTCTTAATTTGAGAAAGTGAAGAAGATTCGTAATCTAGAAATGCGTTTGTCGAAACTCGCGAGAGAAATTCCCTGGCAGGGATATATAGCGCAACTTTCATCCTCGTCCTGGTATTGCGAGACCTCCCGTCTTCGGGAAGTCCCTTGAGGATTGTTCACCCAGGGGAATCCCAGGTTTGGGTCACTAGGTCGTGTCCTCGACCTCGACCTTCGTCGGCCTTCGGTCGACTCTCGCGAGCGATCGCCTCGCCGATAGGATTTCTCGCATCCTCGGCATTTCCTCCTGGACGCTCCTCTCCCCGATAATTCTCGGCCGAGCGAGCGTGTAGCGTGTCGGTCGGTAGATAAAAAATGGAAAAACAAAAAAGGCCGTCGAAAGGAAACCGTAATTACGGGTTACGTAAGGGCGCCGCCTCGGTGTCGAAACGACGAGGCACGCGGAAGCGAGAACGAGATTCGGCGAGACTCGGCAAAAAAGGAGATTCAAGGAGGATTCATCGAGATTCGGGCATATCCACGTTTCGCAAAAATCGAGGCTCCGCCTTAAGTGAACGGGAAGCGACAATAATGGAAAACCCGGGGAGTAGGGGCACGAGGACGACGAAGAGAAAAATGGAAGTCCATCGAGGGTCTCGGGCCATCCCAGAGGCCACGGTGAAAAAAAAAGAGAAAAAAAAATATAACAAAGATCGAGCTTACTCTTTACGAGATTGTACTTAGAAACGATACAGGGATTCCCAGTAATTCCCTCTAATTAATACTTTGCAGCTCATTAACGGTAGAGAATTATCGCGTAAATTTCTACGATATAGAATAATCGTAGAAATTTCGACGACCCAGGCTGTCGACGTCGCCGAGTAAGTGCGGGGAAAGATTTTAAATTTTATATTGACAAAAGAAATTGATATCAAGAGGAGCTCTTAAATTAATACTCGTGATAGAAATAAGAAAAGAAAAGTGCGGCAGAGTCGAAGAGCGTCCCAGAGTACTTTGCACCGTGGACGGCAGAGCATTAAACCGATATAGTAACGAGAGCATGGATTCTCGTATATCCGATTAAAAAGTCTTCTCCGTGGGATTAACATCCAGTTCGCCAGGACCTCCAGTCTCCTCGAGGAGTGTCGCGGGAAGTCCCAAACTTTCTCATCAGGATTCGCATCACCGGCAAACCCGTTCTGCAGCAATACTTTCTATTGGATAACCTCCCGTAACACGCATACTCCAAGAGACGAGTCGGCCGATTCTCGGCGATTTCCGTGGTATTACGTGGAGGAAAGCGAGAGTGGAGAAAACGAGCTCGCCATGTAGAAGAAAAGGGCCGGCCGATGGGGGCACCCAGGAGTCGTTCCTGACCTAGGCCAAGTCTCTTGGCCGTGTCCAAGGGCGCGCTCCCGTTCTCTTCGCGGCTATGGGGTCGAGGATCCCGCGCGGTTCGTCCTTTCCCCCCGAGCCCATAAGAACCGAATTTTCCGCAAAAAATTTCCTTTCCCCAGGACATTTGACCCCAGCACCTCCGAGTGAGCAAAGCCGATTCTCGCCGATTTCCACGGAATAACGCGGGGGAAAGCGAAACCGAAGAAGAGGAGTTTCCTATCGAGGAGAAAAGGGTCGGCCGATGGTCGCTCCCAGGAGTCGTTCCTGACCTAGGCCAAGTCTCTTGGCCGTGTCCAAGGGCGCGCTCCCGTTCTCTTCGCGACTCTGGGGTCGGGGGTCTCGTGCTCGTCATCCTCTCCCCTTCTAGACCCCATAAGAACCGAGTTTTCCGGCTCGAATTCGTTTTCCCCGGGGCGTGTGACCCCTGCATCTATGAGCTAGCAAAGCGAACGGAGCGATCGGGCTACTCGCTGGAGGGGATCGTTGCAAAACTCTCCAACGGACTGGTTCGAGGCTAACGCGAGAGCGGACGGTTTCTGAAAACGAGTCGCCGTTCACGGCCCGTTACCTACATTTCCCTTTTTTTCCCCCCTATTCGTCAACATTCCCTCCGCGGCCACGGTTACCTGCAGAAACCGCGCCGATTGCCCCAAGAGGGCAACCCGGGCTCCCCCGAGGGGATCGCCGACACTTGTTTTTCGATCCCCAGGAGTCGATCCGTATCGCTTAAGATTCCCCAGGACTCGCTCTGCATCAACAGCGATTAGCAGCGACCGCTCTCGCGGTCATTCGTCACGTACGATGATAACCTCTTGACTGATTCGTGATGATAACGCGATCATCCCGGGGATCTCTATCGCTGGCGAAGCCCCAACTCGAGCGAGTTGGAGCTTCCTCGAGCGAGTAGAGCGAATCTCCAGCGAGGGAGATCGACTCCGTTCGCTTAAAAAACCCTTAGTTACCAATATAGGACCTCGCAGATCAGGGTAACGAGCCCTAATTGCGTCCCCCCACCTTCGATTCCTCTCCACGGCAAATGAACTCGCTCCGATCGTCCCGGCGTGTTGACCGAACTCGCGCGAGTGCATCGCCGAGTTTACAAACAGCGCTTTGCAGCGAGTTGTTTTCGCCGAGTCCACCTAATCAGTCCCCGGCTCGTCTCCTCGCCCCTTCTACTTCCGCTTCCTCTTATTTCGTCCGTTTCAAGGCCCGCAACTAGGTTGAGGAAGATAATTCCCTCCTACGTAATAGCGTTAAGTTACGATAAAAAGGGCTCCCCATTGAGAACTTCACTCCTCAAGCAATGCCATCAAAGAACCGACCAGGAACCTATGCACCGAGGATGCCGGGCCTTACCTTGAGGTCGGAGTCGAGGCGAGTTCGACGTCGAGGTGGGACCTTGATGGAGGTCTTGGTGGTCCTAGTGATTTAAGGGCCAACGAGGTCTTCTCGACGCTCGACCCGTCAGCTGCGCGGTCCTCCGGGTCGCGACATGGCGCGACCTCCTTCGAGGGCTCAGCCGAACCCACGTGGTCTGCACCTGTCAGACTCGGCACGACTCAGCCTACTGCACTCGGCCCGACTCTGGTCAGACTGACTCTGGACCCCAGGTTCAACTTGGCCTAGTTAAGTGATATCTAGCTCGGCTTGACCCGACCCCAAGATAGGAGCCCCTCGGGAGGAGACCAGGGCGGTTCTGGGATCCCCAAAGCTCGTTCTCGGCCGCGCTCGCTCGCGTTCGCCCGTCGACTGATCGGTCGAGTCGAGCGGCTCGGCGAGCGTCGGCGACGGAGGAGAGAAAAGAGACCGGGGGAGGTGCGTCCGAACTCGAGCGAACCTCGGACGAGCGAGATCGGACTTGGACTTTCCAGGTGGACTTGTGCGCAACCTGTCGGGCCCCCTAATGGGAGCTGGGACCCGAAAGGCGATTTTTTTCCCCCCCGGGATCGAGAGATTAGGCCGCACAAAAGCGTCCTTCCACGTTTTCGGACCGTTTTACCCGGGTTACCTGTGCCCAGGTAAGGGCCGCTCCCAGGAACGAAGATGTTTCCGGGAATCCCGGGGAGGGGAAACCGCGATTCGTTCTCGACAGGTCCCGAAAGGGGAGGAGCGAGAAGAATCGCGGTTACGGAGAAAAGAGAGACTTTGGGTTCTGAGAGGCGCCCTCCGTCACGGCGCCGATGGTCCAGCCAGAGGTCGGGACATTTAGGGAGGGCCTCGTTGCTGGTGTCTTGAAATCGATCCTCGGATTTTTCAAACACGGTTTTCCATAAATCCAGGTCGAGGGGAGATCCCCTGGGACTCGGGAGACCTCCACGGAAAAATGCCAGACCGACGCGTACAGTTAAATTCCAGAGCAAAGGAAATGAAAGAGTTAGAGAGAGAGTGGAGAGTCGGTTCTCGGTAAAAGCGCATTAGGGTGAAAGTGCCGACTTCAACCCTACTGATAACCGATGACTCGCGATACGTTATCGAAGACCTCGATCTCTATCGATTTCGGACTTCCCCGTCGAGAATTCCAAATCCGTCGGAGAGGTTCCTGAGGAGTCTCTCCTCCTTCAGCAGCCTCCCCTAGACCAGGAGAGCGCATTATGATTTTTCAATGAAGAAGCACCGAAGTAATATCGACTTTCAAGGTTTTCCCACGAGAAGGTCTCCTCTTCGATCGCGACAGGGAAAACGCTTTCCTTTTCGTCCGAGCGGCCAATCCGTCGGTTATTTCCGCCGATTGGCCGCAAAAGAGCGTCCCGAGGCGAAGACGAGGCCCTCCCCTCTCTAGTAGCACGCTCGACCGACGCTTTTCCGCGCGGCATCACCGCTGCAGCGATTTTCCGCCTCCCCTGGTCCCCAGTCTCCCCTCCGGCATTCTCTTTCCCCGAGGTCCGGACCTCTCGCTCTTGGCGCCTCTCAAGTAAGCCCAAAGATCCCTCTCCAGATCTAGTTTCTGGATTTTTGTAAGACCGTACGACTCCTTCACCTCTTTCGCGTCCTTCGATCAGCTTCCGATAGCTCGCGGGAGTTTGCGGGTTTACCGCACTTTCATTGAATTACGCAAGCCCCGTTCACCGGTGGCGGGTCGACGTTACGCCTTTGAAGAGACTCCTCCTCCGATCGGGCTGTCGACCCCTCTCAAATACCCCTCTCAGGTCCATCTCTTGAGTTCCCCTCCAGTGATCGCGTTAACTCGCTTCCGGTCCTTCTTTGGTAATAGTCCTCCTTCGTTTTTTTATTTTCGCGTCTCCTGCCACATCGACGCATCTTCCTACTCTTCTCCCTTTATTTCATCACACGTGTAAATATCTTCCTAATCACTCGTAAAACGTGAAATAATTCCCTTTGGTAATAGTCCTCCTTCGTTTCTTTATTTCATCGTCTTCAGCCACCCCGACGCATCTTCCTACTCTTCTTCCTTTACTTCTTCGCACGTGCAAATATCTTTCTAATCACTCGTAAAACGTGAAATAATTCCCTTTGGTAATAGTCCTCCTTCGTTTCTTTATTTTCTCGTCTTCTGGGACCTCGCGCATCTTCCTACTCTTCTTCCTTTACTTCTTCGCACGTGTAAATATCTTCCTAATCACTCATAAAACGTGAAATAATTCCCGAAGGGACGTCCCCGGCGAGGCGCAGAGGAGGCCCTTGACACATAGGTCCCAGTGCAGCTCGCGAGGCCCTCGACACGGGGAACATCGTTTCCCGGACGTCCCGTTGGCGGCTCCGACTCTGGACTTTCACCCAGTGCTCGCAGAGAAAGTGAAAGACGTCCAACCAACTCGAGGCTTAGGTTGAATCGCGCGTAGAAACGCAGGATCGACTCAAGCCCCTTTCGCTTTTAGAAGGGGATCCCGGTCCCGCAGGAGTCGATCCCCGGGATCGTCACTTCCGAGGTGTGGGCCGACCTTCGGTCGAGGCCGATTCCGGTAGCGTGACAAGAAACCGCCTCGACCCGGTCCTCGAGATCCCTCGCAAGGTGTCCCTCCCTCTTCCTGGTCCTCCTCCTTGACCTCCTCCGCAATAACGGGGACTTTCTTGGCGAGGGCGGTAAGGATTACGGATAGAAAGTCCCCGTTTCGAGTTCCCTCCATGTCTTCGCCGATACCTCGCCTTAACTAAGTGGATAATCGTTTTCGGTCCTGTGGATGAGGTGGTTGGTCACGGTTCTTTATATTTTTCGGATTCTTTTGGAATCCCTTAGAGTCCTTTAAGGACCTGCAAAGCCTTCCGAGACGTTCAAGCCTGTTAGCCCTTGGTCCTTTTGGGCCTTCCAGGTCGACCGCCGTCCCAAAAGGATACATAATCTACCATTATCGGTATCCTGGCCCACTTCATTCGACTTCCCCCGTTTATTCGGAGAGCCAGCAGCGGCTTCTCCTGGGGGAACTCGCGAAAGAGCCGACCCCTCTACATCCTAAGTTCGTCCAAGCGCAAAACCATCCACGGTAGGCGTTACACTCCTCATCCCCAGTCCTATCACGTCGCGATGACGAAATCTCGGACGCCAGGGTCGCAGCCTGGAATCTTTATTGCGTTATCGCGACGGTCGAACGTCCACTAAGCCGGCGGTTTCGTACGCAATAACAAACGACGAAGGGCTCGCCTCTACGGGACGAATTCGCGATGTGGACATGGACGCGGGGATAGTGCGGGTGTTCCTTGGTAAAAGAAAGAAAACGCCGTTTTATTACGCATGACGTATATGGTCGCGGTTACACAAGAGACGTGCGTACAGCCCAAACACTTTGACCTCTGGTATGTACGATCGAGCCTAAATCGCGACAAGTCGACTCAGGGCGTGACCAACACGGGGTCGCCTTCGCAAGGGAGCCTGAACACGATTTTCAACACACGCGATGGGTAAAAGGTCCCTCTTCGAGGAAAAGGAGGACCTCCAGGTGGGGAACCCGCGGCGAAATCTGATTCTGGGTTCAGATTCCTACCGAGCGGTTCCTGGGGACCCGGGCCATTATTTACAGGAGGCGTCCTGGATCAGGATCAGGAGGATAGGAAGAACCAGGGAGGTTCCAACTAGGACTCGACTACTGTAAAGCATCCCTGGGCTCGTCCTTGATCAGCTTCAACCTCATAGCCTGGCCGAAGGCTTCAAGGAGGTCTTTGGCAGTCAAGGACTCGCTCACAGCTCCGAACATCTCCAGCAGATCTTCCCGAGGAACGGCACCTTCCCGGATTCGCGCTGCCACGTCCCTGGAGGACCAGAGCGCCTCGAAGAGCGCCGATGTCCTGGCTGGGCCCTGGGACTTCAAGGCAGAGGCAACGGCTTCATGGCTGTTGTTCTGCACCGCGATGTCCAGGACCAGTCGCGCAGGAACGACCTCTTCGTTAGCCACCGTGTGGCTGATGATCACGTCCATCGGCATCCTCTTCAGGATCGCGTCCAGGCTCGACGGCTCCGTGATCGGCTGCTCGATCCCCTGCTGCTCCTCTTCCTGCAGCTTCTTCGACAGCATCTCCGCGAGCTCGGAGGCGTTGCACTTGTGGCACATCGCATCCTTCACCTCGGCGAAGTCCAGAGCTTCCAGGCAGTCCGCGACCTTCAGCTTCTTCTTGTAGGCGATGAGAACTTTCGTGAAGAACTCCTTGTCCGTGCAGAAGATGTCCGGGAGCCGCAGCAAGACCTTGTTTATCCCACAGGCTCGACAGGCAGTCCTCAGGTTCAGCTCGTTCGACTTCAGCTTATCGTCCAGCCCCAGGATCCTCATGGTCTCCTTATGCAACTCGGAGTCGGGCATGTGCTTCATCTTCGCCTGAAATTAGGAGAAAGGACATTATTTATCGGTTCCAAAAATTACAAGCTCCGGCATCGATGTCACCAAGTTACCTTGTAGTGCGTCAAGATGGTTTCTGGGGAGCATCTCCTGACGGCGCTCTGGAGAACCAGGGTAACGTCGATCTCGTCCAGGAGGTCCTCCAAGGCCATCTGGGCCTCGACGCTCTTCGTGGCCTTCTTCGTCAACGCGACGTCCGTCAACGTCCCTACGGACACTTTCGACGTCGGAGGCGCCTCGAGCCTCGCCACTTCCCTCTTTGACGCCTCCGACGTCGAGGCGTCCTGCGAGGTCGACGGTTCGATTCTTCTCACGGATTCACCGTCCATTTCGATATCTGGCTTAACGATGAGATATCGACGAATCGATGGAGTGTCCGTCTGCGTCGTGGGCGTCTTGGATTTCGTCCTCGAAGAGGATGCTGCATCGTTTCCTGAGGTGACTGTCGCGACTCTAGGGACTCGTTGGACCATGAAGATCTCCGGACTCTCGGGTCTAGTCGCGCTTAAAGTTGGTTTCTTGGTTGGTTCCGATAGAGATCGTTGAGTCGAAGATTGGGAGACAGCTAATGGAACGGTAGACTCGTTTATGGAAGATTTGGGCGTCGTCATTGGTGGACTGCTTCGGGTACTAGACACGATATCCGGAGATAAGGGCGCCTGGTTAGGTGTTGAAGCTGGAGGTGGAGTAAAATTCAAAGCTGATGACGAAGCTGATGGCGAAGCTGAAGTCGGAACAGAGTCCAGAACCGCTGATGGCGTCTCTTCAAAGGACCTACCAACTACCGTGGCACCTTGTAACGTCGGCGAGGAACTGACCCGTCTCAAGACGTTCCTGACGAACTCCACCTTCGGATGTCCCTTAACCGGGAGTCTGTTGACCTCCCGTTCCGACAGTCGGGCGAGATCGCCTACAGTACGAAGGCCCCTGTCGGAGAACTCCGAAAGGAGGCTCTCCTTCCAAAGAGGGTTCGTCAGTTTACCAGCTAAGGAGTCTAAGGCCTCTTCGCTTGAACAAAGCGAGGGGCAGATCGGCCGGGTCGAGTCCAAGGATTCCGGAGGTATCGGCTCCACTCCAAGCTGCATGCTGCAAGGTTGACTGTCTTGACTGAAAGCCAAGCTCCCAAAAACTGAATCGGTGACGGTCACCGTACTCTGGTCAGCCTCTGGCTCTAGGTTGGCTCTTGTGCTGCTGCGAATCGGCCCGTTCGACGCCATCTCCACGGAGCTCTCCGAAGTGTTCAGCCCGGTTACGTTCTGCACGTCTACCGTGTCTTCCAGGTCCTCCGATCTGGTCCGATCCATCGCCGAATCAGCCACGTCCACCAGCGAGTCGTTATTGTTGCTGACGGCGGAGGTGCTACTACTTTCGGGTGTGCTACTGTGAATTGGGTCTTCCGAACCCTCTTTAGTCACTTCGACGGTGTCTTCAACATGTTCACTAGCTAGCTCGGCTAGGTACTTCTGCTTTTCTACGCAGAATATGTCCTCTTGGGTCTCCATCACCTCAACGTCCTCCACCGTTCCTGGGACCACAGAACTCGCATCTTCCGAAGGTTCCTTCATCGTCGCGTCTTCCGCAGGTTCCTGCGGATCAGTCTTCTGGTTCTCATCCTCTTTCAACCCAGAGTCCGATATTATCTCAACCTCTTCCGCGACGCTGTCGATCCTGGAGAGGTCTACCATCTCCGCGACCGAGTCGCTCGTCAAGTCGGGTCGCTTCTCCTCTTCAAGGTCCACGTCGAAGATCTTCTCCTTCTCTGTAGCCTCCCACTGGGACGAGAACGATACGTTTCTCAACAATTCGTTTTCTTCCTCTGTCCGGGAATCCAGGTCGATAATGTCCTCGGTAACGATGGCTTCCTTTATTTTGTCCTCGTCGTCGGAGTCCAACTGGATCATCCTGAACCTGGGGGATTTCGGCTTAATAGAGCCTTCCTTAATTCTCGAAGACACTCTAGCGATGGACAGCTTGGAGATGCGGTGAGGAGATCCCGTGCTGGAGATCTCGTAGCCCATCTCCTTGGACACGGGTGGGTCCGCGAAACTGACGCGCTTTTTCTGAAATGCAAAGGCAAGAATTAAATCCATAAAAAATTGGAGCGATGAGGAATCACTCCTATTTTGAAGACCAAGGGGGGAATCAAAGAAAGGGACCTAGAAACCTACCTTTCCAGGCGTGATCTCATTGTCTTGTTGATCTTGAGCAGCCTGTCTTCCGCGTTTTAGAATACTGGTGCTCGGCGAGGCAGTCAAGGAAGGCGGATTCGTGCTGGACCACTCCAGCATCGGCAGGTCGTCATCGTCATCCCGTATTGAAGTTTCCTCCTGGTCGATCTTAATCTCCGAGTCCACGTCCATACTTTCAAGCCCTGATGAGGCCTTCTCCATCTTCGGGGACACCTTTTCGCCGTCGTTCTTCAGGTTGACGAAGGGCTTGGGCAACGAGGACGCGCAGAACTCGGTGATCTTCATGTTATTGAAGATCTTCTCTTGCCTGCTGCCGCTCGGGTTCCCGAATTTCTCCGGCTCCTTGGGTAAGATCTTCTCCTTCCTCGCGAAGAAGCCTTCGTTCTCGAAGTCCCTCGACCGCGGCTTCTTCAACTCCTCCTCCACCCTGGCAAGGATCTGCCCCTCGTTCTCCACTCCTGTTTGCTTTGCGATCAGACCCAACATCTGAGCGGCGCGTCCTTGAGAAGACAACATCTTCAGCTTAGCAAAACGTTTCCCGCTCTTCGGGGAGAAGTGGAAGCCAGAGTGCGACGGCTTCGAGGTCTGAGGAGGGTCGCCGATTGGCAAAGGACGAGGCTCCACTGCAGGCTGCTTCAGGGACTCGTCTTCAACGTCTTCGATAACCTGGGACTGATGGACGCTTTTCTCCACCTCTTCGCTGTCGTTGATGATCTCCCCCCCTTCAAGGTTCCCTCGAGGAAGGACTTCCGCGCTTTCATTGACTTTGTCCTCCTCCATCTTGTCGCCAGCCGGAGCTTCTATCTTGTTGATCTTGATGAAGCACTTCCTCTCGGTACACTTCTTCTCCAACTGCGCCTCAAGGCTCGACTCCTGGGAGCTCTCGACGATGTCCTGAGTCCCGATATCATGCTCTTCGGGGTTCTCGATAATCGTCTCCGGGATAACCACCGCAGGTTTCGAGATCTTAACATCCTTGTCCTCCGCCTGTAGCTCTTCTTCAGGTTCTTCGTCCTGTTCCGACTGCCCAGGGAGGCTTCTATCAGGCGTCGTTTTTCTGCCACTCTTCGGCTTCGGCTCTTCAAGGTCCTCCTTCGGGAATACCTTGGATCCAAGCTTAGCTTCCACCGGTGATGTCCTCTTTTGCGGTATATTGACCTCTCCAGCAGCTTCATTCTCGTTCGTCTCTTCGGGTCGTTCATCCTGTTTCGAGCTCTTCCTTCTTCTCTGAAGACCATTATCCTGAGAGGACTGGGCATCCAAGTTCTTCTTAGGCCTCCCTACAGAGGCTCTGTGGGTTTTCATCTGACCTTCGCCGAGTTTCACCTTCCCATCCGCAGCGCCCTGGCTCTTCCTACGCGAACCCTTCTTTCCGGACTCTTCATCGTTCGCTTTCGAGCGACGTCGGTTAGGCAAGGGACTATCAAAATTCATGTTGATCTGCAGACGAGACATCTCTTTCCTGGTCCTCTGGCTGACATTTTCTCGGTCCATCAGCATACCGTTGCAATCTACGTGGTCGCTTTCCGAGGACACCACGCTGTCCGTGTCGCTGATCTCTTCCGTGGTCTTTCTTCGTCTCCTCTGACCCTGACCAGCTTCGGACTCGCTGTCGGACGCAGCTTTACGCTTCACCCCTTTCTTGCTCGCATCTGTCGCATCCTCGTTCGCCATTTTGGCACTCCCAGGCTTGCCTTTGCCCCTCAGCAACCTACCTTCGTTCTTGCTCGAACCGACCTCCGACTTGCCCAGCGAATTCCGGCTCTTCTTCCTGCTCCCCTCAACTTGGTCCTTCTCTTCAGGAAACTCATCCCTCGACTCGAAATTCAATTTCTTCGCCACGGACTCCCCCGACGCGTCGAGAGTCTCGTTTTCTCGAGGCGCCTCCGGGATTTTTTCACTTGCCGCCAAAGAAGTTGCCGAAGAGGTATCATCATTTTTGGCTAGCTCGCTCTCATCGAGTTTAAAACTCCCTTTGGCTGAGTTTTCGGTGCTCTTCGCACCGTTCACCTCGACTGGTGAATTAGACTTGATTAGTTCAACGTTATTTATAAGCTTTAGGTCGATCTTTGGTGAAGAGACCCTCTCGTCGACCAGAGTCTTCGGCGGGTCAGTTTCGCGCTTGTTCTCCTTGTTGGCATCGAAGTCTACGTTCGGCTTAATCTCCTTATTACTGCCAGATAAACCCTTCTCCCTTTCCAACTCAGCCGTCTGTTTAATTTTGTTATCGAACCACTGCTGCAGGTTGTCGGAGTCTTGGGAAGTGGACTGGGATAAATCGTTGTACAAAGCAGGGATGTCCTCCCTCCGTCTCTTCAGGATCTCCTTCTGGTGCTCCGTAAGTCGGTTCACCTCGAACCTCACGTCGCTCTCTATCAGCACGTATTCCTGGAGAAAGGAGGGTCAATGTAAGGTCTAAAGTGCTAGAGAAATGAAGAATTAAAACAAGACATCTTGCGGTCGTCGATACCTGAGAGTCCGGATCAATCTGCTGGACAGGTTTCCTCTCTTCCTTCTCTTTGCCTTTCCCAAGGTACGGCCTCGGTGTAGATGGTCTTCTATTCAGGAAACTTCCCACTATCTTGACCTGCTTCGGCGCCGCCTTTTCGGTTTCCTTTTTAGCAACGCGATCGACCTTCCCTGGATGCAACTTCAAGGACTCCGAGAGCTCCGCGAGGAGACCTTTCGCCTTCTCTTCAAGGTTCTCTTGAATGTCGAAGATCAGGAAGGCTTGCTCCTGGATCTCAGGATGCGAGTGAGACACCGCTCGCGTTATCGTTTCCCGATAAGCCGACAACAAGTCATACGAGAGCTGCTTGTTGAGACCCCTGAAGATGCTGACCACCGTTTCCCAGACGTTGGGCACCTCTTTGTTCAGCTTCTCCGTCGGTCTAGAAACCAGCATCAAGTCTATTACAGGTCTCACGACCATCAAATAACTCGTCACTTTATTCGGATTCAGTCCGTAGATGGTGATCAGTAGCGCCGATAAGCTCTTCAAGGCGATCTCCACTTCTATATTGTGTTTCTTCTGGAAAGCACGGATCGTTAGGTCAGCTATCAACTGAACGATGTTGGGTACCTCCTCCATAGCTGCAATCGGTTGAATTTCAGCCAGATGATCAACCGGTCAATAATACTAAATTATACTTAGAAACGTTTAAAAAGATAATCAGCATGCAGCGTAAAAAAAAATTACCCAGCAAGCAATCATAGTTGATAGAGCTCAGCAAGGCATCCAGACAATTGATTGCGAAGGAGTAGCATTTATTGTCATCTTCCAAGCACTTCTGAATTAATTCGGTAACGGTGATCAGAATTTCATTTGGCCTCACCGTAGCCACCAAATCTGCCTGTGCATCGAACTGCTTGTAAAGATTTCTCCACGTGCCGGAGAAACTTTTTGTCTGTAAACGTTAACATTGTTATAATTGCAGTGGCAAGGAATTAAATTTAGATGAAGGGGAGGACAACGCACCTGTAAAATATTCTGCCAGTGGATGTTAGTAAAAGGAAACGAAATGAGTGATAAAATGGTCTGGAAGTTATGCTCCGCAGCATTGCCTTCGTTGATTTCTTGACCATCACTCATGTACTTTGTCATTAACTTGGCCAGAATACACCAGAGTTCCTCGGTAGCAAAACTGTGACAGTGTGACGTTATTGCAAACGCTTAACGTGATAATAAGATATTCGTCAATTTTGCTTACTTTATGCTATGCTCTTTGCTAATAGATATCAGCTTCTCTAGAACTTTTCTTACAAATGACAACATGTTCGGGGGATAACTGATCGTATCCTTTGGCCACAGCAGCTGCTTCAACGCTTCGCAGTGGTTCCTTAAATTGCACTTAGATTATAACGATGATCCAACCATTAACGGCCATGAAAAACATTACGCACTTATTTAAATTCTTCAAGACGGCAGGTGTCATAAACTTCAACACCAGGGTGAACGTGGCATCGTCACGAACAGGTATGCGATCGTAGACGTTCGCAAGTCCTTGTAAAACGTCCCGTAAAAATATCTCCAATATCATTGGTTTATCTGCAAGGTGCTGCGTCAACTCAGTAGCAACTAGTACGGAGTCCCTGTATGCCTGAGTCTAAGAACAAGAAAAAATTTACATTACATGCTTTGACGTGTGCAACCCAGACTATGATTTAAATAGTTAAATAAGTAATACATGAGCGAACCTTTAGGTCATCACTGATATTTCCAGTCCGAGCCAATAGATTAGTCCACAGGATTCTTCCGAGCTGCTCCCTATTCATGAAATCCTTATCGTTGAGGTTGTCAAGTATCAAAGTGACTTCTCCTATACTGTGTACAAAGCTTTTGTAGCTTTCTCGAAAGACCACATCTGTCACTGCGTGCGGAAGCCTCTCTTCTGCCACAGGACGAATCGCCTTGCGATCCTCCTCGTTGACAACCAAAAGCTGAAAGAGCATGTCGACAGCAACAACTTTCGTTTTGTAAAATCTCTTGCCAGGAGATGCAACGACGTCGCATTTAGCCGACATCAGTGGAGTATCCCCCAGGGGTCCGAAGGAAAAATTTAAAAACTGCGTCAGTACTGTAACGAACTTGCTGATGTCTGGGTACAGCTTGACAATTAAGTGCCACCAGACTTCCAGTTTGGTGAGAGCTATCAGCTCAGTCTTGCTATTTTTCGCGTTTAGAGGAATACATAACAGCTTTATTCTTCTACTGGTGGCCAGTTCTCGAGGATCCAGAGCGAAATTGTCAATTAATAGTTTCCAACATAAAAATGCCTGCCTGTTGTAACATAAAATGAACTACGGATTTAATAAATCCAAATACATTAGTCTCTATCATAGTTCCAGTGAAAATACACCCTTACCTTCGAACGGTAGTGTCAGTTGATTTAAAAGCCTTTTCTTCTACGCTTAATAAATTATTTATTAATCCTGCACCACGGTGAAGGTCGGTACCGAGTAACAGAAGACTTAATGTCCACTGCGTGGCCCAGTCTAGATTGCATGCTGATACCAAGAGAGCCATTCTCTTGTAGTATGTACTTTGCAATAAGTTCTTGTACTGTAACCACAGATCCCCATGATTTTCACGAGCATAGGTTCCTATACCCGAATTCATTGTCTGTTGTAATAATTTTAATGCTGAACTTCGATGGCGTTTGTGACCCATGTAAGCTAATTTTATTATCGGATCCATAATCAACCTGTCAAACTTTGAAAATCCACTTAATTATTTACGTGTATATTTAATGTAACTTATAACCTCTGTAAACATTTTCTAACATTTCTGTTACATAGAGGAAACACATACCTGACGTATACGAGAATCAGAAGTAACTGGTGCCCTTTCATATAATCTTCTAAGTAATTCAATGGCACTATTAATTATTTGGCTTTCTATTTCCTGGTCAGACGAAAGAGCCATATCCTCAGTTTTCAAAAACTGTTGCAAATTATCTTCGCACCCTGTTATCACTATCCATTCCTTAGATGGATCAACAGGCAAGCAAAGAGTAAAAAACTTCACGATAAATTCATCCTCCGTCACCGCTAGCAATACCTTATCCTCAACATTTTCCAAGAATTGACAAAATTTAAGTCTGCAAAACAAAGATGTATAAATCTAAGATTCATTCCACTTCTCACCTAAATAATTCAATAGAAGTCTAAAGGAGCGAACCTCTGCTTGTTATCGATCGAATGTAATAACGCAAATAACTTAGGACTTTTTAAGCCAGAAAGGATAGCTTTCAATACAAGGCTCGCTTCGCTATGAACATCCAGGTCTCCGTGCATAAAGGCATCCAAGACCAACGTTAGTAATTCTTTGTATTGTTCCTTTGTAAAACCAGTCGTTGATTCCAGTTTAAAGGCATTGCTACAAACAGGTTGGACGATAACTCAATAACAACATTAATAATATTTTTATACCCTCTCCTTTAATCATCCAAAGGAATTCAAGATAGTTTACAGCATACGCACGTCATACAAACATGTCACCCAGAGTTTACAAATATACCAACCTGGAAAAGTAGGCAAGCGCCTCACACTTCTCCACAGAACCTTTGGCTTCACGTAGCGCCTTCAACATGCCAAGGCTGCGCTGCGAATCGCAAGCCATGTTGTCCTTTGTTATTACTTTGGTTATCTTCGATCAACAGTCAGCACCTGTGGGCATCGCTCTCCTGCTTTCTTCAAGTGATATCAAGAGATATATTCCGTGACCGTCCAGTGGACGGAGAGTTATTTAAAGACAACTGGTCAGCCGATAAAAATGTTTTAAAATCTTGTCAATTGGGCTCACATCTTAGCGACGCAACGCAATCGATCGTCTTTCAAAATTCTCGAAAGCTCGGAGAAAGCTAGACGCTCTTTAGGTAAATTTCCCCGCGAAAAACCGGCAGTCAATCTGCGCGACTTCGACGGATCTTCTCTTTCCTCTTGGTTTTTCCCTTTGCCGGATTCTGGTAGTCCAAGAGGACGTCGGCGAGACTTTACGGAAACCGTCCACAAACCTCAGAAAATCAGTCGACGGTTTCGACAAATGGGACTTCTCGCATTTCACTCACAGGTTCGCTCGATTCGCGGCAACCGACGAATTCAGCCATGGCGTCCTGACAGCACGATCCCAGATGCCACTCATCTCTGCAGATGCGTATACTGGAAATCTGCAAACATAATCGACATGGAGACTGAAAAACGGAACAGAGTGCTCTGAATTCGATCTAATAAAAAAATTATGCTAGATATGGATCAGTCTCTACACATCGCCGGTAGATGGCAGCAACCAAGATGGCTGAGAAACCTGGACACGCCGTACTCCTCTCTATAGAAACGAAAATATCATAACCTACAAATATGAATTTTGTGCACTTGTGATTTCAATCGAGGTTCGCAGAGGTTTGGAGAAACACACTTTTTTTATGATTTATACAGATATCTGCATGCAGTTGAAGCGTCCAGGAGAAAGAATCTTTTATTCTGGCACGCGATAACATGCCTGACGGTTTCGTGCATTCTGTCAAAGTCCCAAGACTGTATAAGACCGCTGCGAAAGTCGTGCAATCTGTGAAGGAGGAAGGTGCCAGTCTGAAAGAATTGGTTTATAAGGGAAATCATCCTGTACGTAATGTCTTGATAATTAATATGTCGATAAAAATTATACGTAGATAATGCTTGGAAATTGTGAATTCAGTTCTTGTTTGGCGTTGCAGAATGTTAATGCCATTTATGCTTTGGCACGAGAAACTCTTCAGAAAGAACTACGTTTAGATTATGTCCTCCGGAAGACGCAGATCCTGTTTAAAGAGCCTCGTCTTGATCCTTGGCTTGCTAGAATTTTGATAACCGAATTATTTAGAAAAAGCGTGAAACCGTCTGAGTGTAAACCTATAAAGACTATTTTAGCTTACGAGAAGGAGTTACGCGAAGCTTACGATGGCTTCCAAGAGTCAGAGGCAGCCTCATCTGAGAATTCTAAGGGTAAATAAAAGTGCAATCTTTAATTTATACCCATTTTCTTTTTCACAGGCAATCCGAGTTATTGGGAGTAGACTTCAGGAATATAGAGTTTTGTCTACACCTGTTCGAGGAATTTATGTTCCTGACAGGGTCACGACTCCGAATTGATGGTTCTGATTATTCGAAACAATAGAATACAGTCAGGGAGACAGTCAAGAATAAGAAGACTCCTTTCTTCTGTTGTAAACACCAGGGAAGAAAGAAATCGACCCCAGACTAACAGAACGGAACCTAAGAGCAATTTAAAAGAAACAGCCATGAGTCTTGTGTCGGTTCTGGGAATATTCTTTCTTTATAGTGCTGCTATGTTCACTCTGCCATTTGCTGCGTTCTTTGGAACGCAACATATAATGAAAACGGTACTTCACGCTGAAACATTCACTGTAAATTGCATTTCTGTACTGGCAGCAGTGATTACAGTGAATGCCGTAATAATGAGCTATGCGTATCGAGCGCTTCATGAACGAGATGAACCTAGTGAGATTGAAGAAAGCATCGATGTGTCCTCTTCCGACAGCAAATTTGATAAAAATGATTAGAGTCAATTGAAATGCATATATAATTACAACTTACAGTAACTAATTTTTTTTTCTACCAGTAAGAGTTGTATTAACTTAACAGAATAGGCTTTGTAAGACTATTCAATTGTACCAATTCACTAGTCTTTCTAGAAGTAACTTCAGACATTCCGCTTTGTGTAATAAAAATGAGTTTGTAATAAGTCTTGAGTTTTACTGCCCATGACTGACAGGATCGAATTCTTCATAGGACTCTAATTCAATGAAATCTTATCGTACATGCTACATTATCCGTCCACTTTTCGGAGTCGTTTCCCTGACTTTTAAATATTGCACAATCATTTATTTTTCTTCATACATACTTTGCCAATTAATTTCCAGTACAAAAACCGAGATATGTGAGGGTTAATACATTATTATCAACTGCCAAAGAGGTCATTACCTCTTTCATAAACGAAGGTTGGCAGTGCTTATCCAGGAAAGGAAATTATTCCTCTTTCTTAGAATCTGTATCAAATTTAGAGGATGATACGTTTCTTCAAGATATTCATATTCCTGAAGTATTAATTTTCCCTCATGGTACGAAGTTCCACGATCATTTAGCTTACAGACAGGGTTTCATCATGCTGCAAGATAAGGTAATGGATTACTTAATTATACATTATGGACAAAGTAAAATTTGTTTAATTTCGCAATTTTTCTTCAGGCTAGTTGCTTCTCTACTCATTTGCTAAGGCCTGAACCTGGTTCCGTAGTACTCGACATGTGTGCTGCGCCAGGATTGAAGACCACACATTTGGCAGCCCAAATGAACAATCAAGGGTAACTAATATGTGTGTTTCTTAGATAAACGAACAAAAAGAAATATATGTAACGAACTGAACACTTTAGAAAAATATATGCTGTGGAGATGGACGAAAAGAGGTTCAATACTTTACGGGAAACTATACAGGCTTCGATGGCCACTTGTGTGGAAGCGATACATGCAGATGCAATGACTGTCAATGCTGATCGATGCCCAAATGTGGAGTACATTTTAGTGGATCCAAGTTGTTCCGGTTCAGGTAAACTCTCTTAATAATTTATTTTAAAAGGTTAGATGAATCTTGACATACATTGAAAGAATATTTTTATATATGCTTATTGTTTGTTAGGAATGGTTGACAGAGTTGACTCTATGTACAGCTCAACAGAATGTCCTCCTCATCGTTTAAAGAGTTTGCAGGCCTTTCAGGTGTTACTCCTTCGACATGCACTCTTTAACTTTCCCTCGGTGAAGAAAGTTGTCTATTCGACATGCTCCCTTTACCCCCAGGAGAACGAAGAAGTCATCGATGAGATTCTTGGTGACATTGGAGAGACATATACACTTCTGCCAGTCAGAAGTCAGTTAAATGACAATTGGCTAAATTACAGTTCTCTAGAATACAAGTGCAAAGATAATTGTATGTATGCTAGACCGAAGGTAGATCTGTGCAATGGGTTCTTCGTAGCAGTCTTCGAGAGGAATTTTGACATACCATTACCAGAATACAACAGGAAGCCAAAGGTATTAAAGAAGGAGAGTGAGGAATGCAATGAATATTTGGAACCTCCGTCAGATAAAATGGAATCAGCTGACTCCGAGCCATGCAAGCCAAAAAAGATGAAAAAGAAGAAGAAGCATCAAAGTGCAGAAGAATCTGCAAATATTCCTGCAGAAGATGCATTGGATGAAGTAATAATAATCGAAGAGGTTCCAAAGAAAAAACACAAGAAATCGAAACGTCAGAAGACCGAAGTTGAAGAAAATACTGAACAGGAAATAAATAAGTCCACGAATGAGTCAGTAAACGAAGGAGAGGCATTGCCGGAAAAACCAGTGAAAAAGAAGAAAAAGAAAAAACATGCCAAGAAGCATTTAGATTGATTATAAAACATTTTGTTTAAGAAGTAAAGACAAGTTAGACCATTAAGAGCTTCTTGTTTCATATTTTTTCCTTTTAATACACCGAATGCTGTACAGATGTCTCCATATTTTTATTCGTGGCGATACCGATACACCCGATTTTCTGTAAAGAAGGATCGATGAACACTTAGAAAGAAAGAAAAAAACTAAACGTCTTTTCTCCTGACAAACTCCTGCGTGCCGGTCTCAGAGATCCTAAGAAATCTCGCGTGACTAATATCGCCCTTCCCGAGGTGCTTTTTTTAACGCGAATAAAGTTACCCAGAACTAGGGGATTAATTTCAACTAAACTTCCGATCTGGCTCCATATAGCTCGGGTTCATGCAACATAATACAATAAATTAGACCGGCCACTCCCTGGAACGATAATAAATACCAAGGGTATTTATCCCTTCCAGATTTCTTTTCTTTTTTCTTTTAAGGGCGACGTTTGGAAAGATAGAGTTTTACGGACGCTTATACATTTTCAAATTCCCCGCGTTATCCGCGAGGGAAAATGTCCTTCCCTCACGAATAGGGATTCCCAATGAACGGCGTGATAATGTTATCAAAATTCTTACTTCTTTCGGTGACTTATATAAATCTTGGAGTACATATTAGGGGGGAGGGAATTTCGCTTGATATGGCTCGTAATAACTCCTTTAAGCTCGCGATATCAAGGATACATTCTTGGCTGGGTTATCAGAGGGGTGACACTTGTCACGTGAGGAAAGTCCCGCGATAACGGGACAACGTTTTCGAGCGGGGGTGGGATTTCTTTTCCCGCGGGGGGTTTTTACAGGTCTTATCGTTCTAAGTGGAGTCCGCGGGTGTTATCACTTATCACACAAGTGGGTCGCGGCCCATGGCTACTTAATAATACGTTATCGCAATTGATCCTAGATAAATCTGAACAGTGCAGTCCATTTACGAGATGCACGCATGCACTTGACCGCAATGTCTTTTACCGTCATACATTTTGGGAACCCCCGACCAAAAGGAATTTTTTAATCACTCCACACCCGAGGGAGACAGGAATTAAAATTAATCTATGGTCTAATCACCGAGGAATAATTCAGCATAAGCGACTTCGTACATCTCGAGGTACAACGGAGAAAGAAACCCTTTTATCCGCGGCTGTTGTGCATTTTTTCAAGCATAATCGCAGCCATGTTCAGGAAACATAACAAGCGCCATTTCTAATCTTTACTCTCTCGTTGCCATTCCGATAGCCGTAAAGAAAAGGAAAGGAAAAGGTAAAAAGTGGAAGTTATCGCTATCCGGAGCTTGTTGCCAAGATTTCATAATCTTGACTTCACGCCCCGGACAAAATGGCTTCCTTGGGACGTGAGTTCTTCCCCAATTTCTTGTAATATTGAATAAAAATATTAAAACATATATTTTGTAAACTACGTAGATGGAGAAAAATATTCTTTTCTCGGGTGGACGGAAGAAAAAAAAAGAAAAAAGAGGACGTGGCGTCCATATGCAGGGACCTTACGTCCTGTTGTATGACTCGACTTTTAGGAGGTTCTTGGCAGGGAAAGAGCGCAAATCGGCGAAAATTACCGAGCTGATCGCCGACGTGCGATTAGGCCGGCGTAAACTCCCGTACCCGGGGCTCTAGGCACGCTAAAAAGTAATTCGACTCATGAACGATATGTACACAATGGGCTTAGCCGGTTGCACCCGACCGAGGGCGAAAGTGTGTCCAAATTGGTCCCCAACAATTTTCCACGTGCCTCCAAACAACCAATCCATGCAACCGGATGACCCTTGGAACCACTAAAAAATCCGTACATCCTTCCCAAAACATAAAATAATTCCCCTGCCCCGGCGTCGATGGGAATCCCGCGCTCTCCGGAGAAGCTTTCAAGATTTCCTCCACCCGCGTTCCAGTCACGCACAATTAACATTTACACGGTTAATATTCGAGAGTGACGAGCAACGCCTATCAGGGCCGCGTGTAAGCGAGCGTGACGGGGAGGGGAAGAGGATAATAAATTACACGGAAGTCATGCACGGTGTTGCACCGAGAGAAAAAGAAATTACGAAGACCTAGCCCCCACTCATGGGGGAATTTCTTTCGCCGAGGCTCGTTTATGGTCTTGGAGCAATGCTAATTACCCTAAATAGGAGGGTAAGAATGCAGAGTAAGAATAAGAGTAAGGGTGCAGAACGCGGTGTGGAGGTCGCAGCGAGCGGTGTAGAGTGTGCAGCGCAGGAGGCCCCACGTCCCCGGCATTTACTCAGGATGATCACTAATTACTCCGTAACGACCTCTCCTTAAAGTGGCTCCGCAGTGACCGGGGGTCACTTATCGGTTAAGGTGATGTGAAAGTAGCGTCGAAGAGGTTTTGTTTATAAAACCTTTCTCCCAACTCCGTTTGCCGAATAGTTTGAAACTTTACAACGTGCATGGGGAGACTATATGTCGAATTTCTTTATAGGTATTTTAAAAGTAGCTTATAAAAAATCAAATTTCCCGAGCTTCAGGACCTACCGTAGGGTATTCATATTCACGTTTTAAAGTATGAAACGATTTGAGACACCCAGTTCTATGAAAAGTTTTATGAACGATTCAGCTTTCGGATGCCACTTTCACATCCCCTTAATGACGGAAAATGTGAAGAGTGCCTCGGTCATCGAACGATGCTCGGCCCCGATAGAGAAGAGCTGCGTTCTGTGCAGCTTGCAAAGCCTCCGGACGCCTCGTCCTCGATGTCGCCGAGGAAAAATTACTGGGGCATGGTCACACCTGCGTGTCTAAGAACTGTATCGCGGGACGCGTGCATCGGTTCCAAGGAGCATTTCAAGTTTCGTGACTCGATCGACTTTCCTCGGCATGCCAAGACCGGCGATTACGGCGGAACCTCCCTTACTGCGACGCACTCGTTGGATTTCTCCCCTCAAGAGTTCCGGCAGAAAAGTCCCCACCCAGGGGACTCGTAAATGTTCAAACGGCCGTGTAAACGGCTCTCCTTTGGGGAGGATTAAAACCCGCAATTGCGGTTCCGTCCAAGGCTTAGGATGGTTGCATTCCTCGGGCCGGATGGCGAGAGTTTGTAAATATACGGAAATTTATACAGTGGATGGATTTAAGGCCACGGGGACGCGGTGTCCAGGGATGGCCCTGTTATGCAGGGTCGTTTGGGGAACTAGCTGATTCACGCCTATCGCAAGGTATATGTCTCCCTCGAAACACCCGGTTGATTACTTAAGTGGTAGAGGATCGAATCTGGTCAGCCACCGGGGCAGGAGGGAAGGACGTGCAAAGCACGCCAACCTCTGCCCGATCTACCAGGGAATTTTTTCCACCGACTAGAGTAGGAAATTTCATTGTAATTAGGACCTCTAATTGTAGGCCACAAATGGGTTTGGAGGTAGGATAAGGGAAGGCAATTTCTAGAAAATCCAAGACATATTTCAGACCTCAATAGTGGCAGATATTCCCATTTCTTTTGTCTAGGTGAAAAGTAGGACGTAAAAAAGGAAATGGGACCAATAAAAAAAGTCATACTTAGGTTCGATTCAAAAGGGGGCTCAGGATTTATTTCTCGGATAAAAATTCGGAGGCTAATCGGGAAAACAAGATGGCGGCGCTAGAGTTCGGGGGCCTCGAAGTGCAGCAATATCCAGGACGACCATCCCTCATAAGGGAAACAAGTGTTGGGCACTCAATCGAAAAGGAGGACAATCTAATCAAAGCCTCGATCAACGGTCACGGGTTTTAAGGGACCCCTCCACCCCCCGGAACACGCCCCTCGTCCTCGAGAGCGCAGCGATTCTCGGAAGCTTCCAGGTCGATGTGGCGTCCAATTCCCGAACAATTGCCACCATCTCGTCGAAATCTCGCCCACTTTCCAGACTCGTACGTCCTAATCTCGAATCTCTCATTTTCGTAATCAACCCTCCTGATACGAGCGTGGAAATTTGAAATTGCTTCGCCGACCGATTACGCTTCATGATCCTTTCCCTTATCCCTTATCCTTATCCTTCGTGGCGTGTTTCAAGCTGCGTGAGCTTTCTCGAAAGTTCTTCGGACTTCGTGGCTATAACCGCTTCCGGCGGCCATCTTGGTCCCGGGGGTGATCGCACGATTCATATCGGTTTTCCCTTCTAATGCGATTTATGTATCAAGCGGCGGTGACAACGTTCCCGAAAACTTAGTCCGGTGATTAGGTTACGTGCGCTTTCTCGAAAGTTTTTCGGACTTCGTGGCTATACCCGCTTCCGGCGGCCATCTTGGTTCCGGGGGTGATCGCGCGATTCGGTTCAATTTTCCCTTCTAATGCGATTTATGTATCAAGCGGCGGTGATAACGTTCCCGAAAACTCAGTCCGGTGATTAGGTTACGTGCGCTTTCTCGAAAGTTCTTCGAAGTTCGTAGCGATACCCGCTTTCGGCGGCCATCTTTGTCCCGGGGGTGATCGCGCGATTCGGTTCGATTTTCCTTTCTAATGCGATTTATGTATCAAGTGGCGGTGACAACATTCCCGAAAACTCAGTCCGGTGATTAGGATGCATGCGCTTTCTCAAAAGTTTTTAGGACTTCGTGGCTATACCCGTTTCCGGCGGCCATCTAGGTCCCGGGGGTAATCGCGCGATTCCGTTCGATTTTCCCTTCTAATGCGATTTATGTATAGAGAGGCGGTGACAACATTTCCGAAAACTCAGTCCGGTGATTAGATGAAACTTTGAAATAAGGTGAATCGTGAAAGTTGGAAAACTTCACGACCCCCGTGCGTAGTGCTTTCGTCGGCCATTCCTATCCTCCGGAAGTGAGCCAATGGCGCGGGAGGGTGGTCCCCTCGCCCTCGCGGGTCTCCTCTCAGCCAATCAGGAGCCGGCCCGAGGGGCAGCAGCCAATCAGAGGCCGCCGCGGTGAGCTTGCGTCGATACCCAAGAAGGAGCAACAAGTTCGGGGCTCGCGAAACCGCTTGGTTCACTGACACGACGCCGACGACGGGCAGCCTGCCTTGAGGGCACACTCGACGTCGGGACGCCTTAGGCGAAGGACGCGCCCTATAAATATGTAAAACCGCGAGCTCCCCGATTTGCATTCGCCGAGCCACCGTTTACTTCAACTTCGTTAAACAAAATAACGACAAGCCCCGTGCGTCCGCGTCCATAACTCCTAAATGAAGAGCTAAATAAACTCCGCGATAAAAATGATAAAACATCTGGGAATAATACATAAAGGGAGACTCGGTAACTCAGGGGATGAGTTATAAACTATTGGATTAAATTAACGTTTGGTTATTAAGTATATCATAATAAACACTAGGAATCTAGCAACCAGGGGGAGGGAAACGTCACGTGGAGTTAAGGGTGGCGAACGAGTGATAAACTTTCTAATCGGGTGGTAATTCATCTCGACTTACGGCTTGCGTGCTCAGCACCGCGGATATATTCGTTTAAGAGCGCTTTACGTAAATAAATGGTTAAGGGTATGATAAAGTGAAAACCAGGGGATAAAAAAGCCATTCGTAACGGGGCGGGGGGGCGGGGGGGGATTTTACAAGTGAAGCGAGGTCAGTGTGCGCGGTGGTGGAAGTGAAGAAACTCGGTATTTCTCAAGATTTTCGGGATTTGGAGGGCTGAGACTGCGGAAGGGTAATTCCTGAGGGAGGCTGAGGACCTCTCTTGGCAGGGTGAGTATCCCTACGGATTGATTACCTGGAAGATGTCGTTTATTTCTTGAAACTGAGCGGTGCATTCGGTGCTTCAGGAGTGGGCTCGTCAGTGGTGGCCTCGCCGTCTAGTCAGACTCACCAGAAGGGAAAAAATCCACTCGACGTCCGCCCGTCTCTGGTCCGACCACGCGTCGACTCGAACTACTGGAAAATTGAAATATGCCCCTGCGAACGTTCCTACGTTCGCCGTGATTCTTGGCTGAACTTTGGAAATCCATTCACTGTTATCTCCGAAAGAAGGTAGCCAAATTCACTTACAAGGAAGGTACCCCAGGTCGATCTCTCGGATTTCATTTCTTTTATAATATGTTACAGTAGACTAAAAACTAAGCGACACGTATATTTTTTTCTATCTGCCATTAACACTTTAAGGGGTGAAACCACCATCCGAAGTAAGGCCTGCGAGGGGTGGCTCACCCCTTAATTTCTTTTTTTTTTAATTGAGAAAATTATATTTTTCATTTCTCGTTATGAGAAAGTTTTTCCAGGTTGGATTGGTTAGAAAATATTACGTTCTTGTGGGTGAAACTGCCAAATCGTCCCTTGACGTGCCTTACTTTGGATGGTGGTTTCACCCCCTTAAAGTGTTTAGTGGCAGATAAAAAAAATACGTGTCGCTTAGTTTGTAGTCTACTGTAACATATCATAAAAGAAATCAAATCGGGGAGATCGTGCTGGGATACCTTCCTTGTTAGTACTTTCTGTGTAAAGTGGTATTCCTGAGACGTGACTAGTATTTAATCACCGGTTAGATAAGACGTAGGCCCTCGACGCGTGTTTAACCCGGAGAGAAATCCAAAGTTTGAGGGAAAATTCCCTAGCTTTTGGGGAATAATCCAGAAACAATGGAGAGAAATCGACCCGGCCGCGGAAAGCACGACTCGGCCTCGGTATTGTCGATTCCCGAAGGGATAATTACCCTCAAGATACGTTAGAAAGTTCCCCGCAGTGTCGGGTCCGCAGTTGTAAAACTCGTCGCATCGAAGCCGCGCTAAGTCGAGTGATCGATCCGAATTCGTCCGCAATCACGCAACACGTGGGCCCCGCGAATTAGTCATCGGAATTGCCGGTCGGATAGCGAGGAAAAAGATCCTTGGACGGTGCGGAGTCGAGGGTGGGCTGACCACCGGGAGCGCAATCGAAGAATTCGCGTGCCAAAGCGCGGTAGAGAGCCTCAATGGCCTCCATCGGGATTTCTCGTTATCCTCCTCATAACCTCAAAGTAAAAGATCCCTACTAGCAGAAAGTATTTCTCCAATGTTTTCCATATATTTAACGAATATCGCACATCTTCGAAATATCTACCAGACATTGGTAATATTTGCAAAACCTTTACTTTAGAATATTACCTCTATAATATTTATATAATATTAGCTCCACGTGTTTTCATAATATTTTTCTATCAGATATACAAAAAAAAAATTTCATTTCATTTTAATACAAGTTTTTTAATATTACCTACTGAATACATTATAAACGTTTTAAAAGNTTCGTTTCATTTTAATACAAGTATTTTTTTTTAATATTATCTGCCGAATACATTATAAACGCATTGAAAATATTTAAAATCAAAATCACACGTTCTGCCCCCACAATGAAATAGCGGAACGAGAATATAAGAAAAATTTCTCTTGTTTCTTGACCATCAAATGAAGTGTCCGATAATAGTCGTGAAGTAAAAAATGTACCTTCATTATGTCAATAAGTTAAAAAATATAACTTCTCTTCCGAAAAAGACGTAATTTCGTAAGTCGCGGTAAGCAAGCCGGGCGATGATTTTTTCACGGTAAAAAAAAGAAAGAAGCAAAAGAGAAAAAATATATAAAAATGGACAAATTGATTAATCAGACAGTACAAGAACTTACGTAAGGTTAGACGAACGAGAAGAATAATAACGAATGTGCAATTTCAAATGAAACTTTGAAACCGGACCCGGTACGGTTAGTCTTAACGACAGACACAAAAAACGCTTCGAGGGTCCTTGCTTTATATATCGAGCGCCTCCCTATTTCTCTGTAAGGTTTATGGCTAAATTCCGAAAATTCGAAGTCAGAGTCCCCCCTAGAGAACGGCGAGAAATATAATCCCTTTCGCAGGATGTTGGCGACACAGGCGGTCTCTCGGGCGAGCTCCCGGCTGGGCCAGCAGCACGAGGACGCCGCGGCGGCGGGCGTCTCGGAGGAACCTCGCGGGTCGGAGGTCGAGGAGCAAGTGGCGCCGCGGCGCGGCGACTCGGCGCAGCCGGTCCCGCCAGGGGGCGCGGAGAGCGAGGAGGAGGACGAGGAGGAGGAGGAGGACGTCGAGGAGAGGGAGAACCCGGGGGCGGCGGCCGGCCCGGGAACGGGGGTGGCGGTCGAGGGTGGGGGCGGAGGCGGCATGGGAGGCTTCTGGAGGCAGAGCAGACCCTCCAGTCCCCGCATGCCGCCTCCGGAGCAGCCGGAGCCCAGGCCGAAGAGCCGACACGAGCCGGCCCCCGCGAGGTACAACAACCTTGGCTATTGGCGAGCCCGACGTGTCACCTTCTACAAGAATGGGGACCCCTACTTTCCCGGGGTCGAGTTCAGGTGAGTTCGACCTATCCGTGCGAAATTTCCCCTAGATTATGAACATGGAACGTGTCGTCATAAGTACGAACCGAGGACACCATAAATATGGATTTTGAGGATGGAATGTGTAGACCACGAGGACAGAGTAGGTATAGGATGTACACCGAGAAAATCGTTCAGTTGCGCGAAACAACTATATAAAATTAAATCGTATATCATTACAAGGGACATTTCATCGCGAGGATTATAAATACGAGGGTAATAAGTACACGACGTAGAGGATAGGAAACGTGGATCGTGATCTCTGGGAGATGTCTTGAGAAAATAATCGGACGTTTCAGATTCAAGCCTGGGAGAGACATCGGCTCCCTGGAGGCTCTTCTGGACCGACTGTCCCTTCGCCTGGACCTGCCCAGAGGGGCTCGACACATCTTCTCCATGGACGGGGACCGGAAGATCAGCCTGGAGGAGCTGGAGGACGGTGCCTCGTACGTCGTTTCCAGCTACAAGACCTTCAAGGCGAGTATATCGGATCGACCCCATTTAACGTAACCGAGTGTCCTATCAATGAATAAGATTTAACCGCTAAAACGTACCGGGGTTTCGGGCAGAAAGTCTTTAGCGCAAAACCGAAAACTCGGGGCGCGCGTAGGAACCAAGATGGCGGCGGCCCCTCTCGAAGAGAGTAGTTGCCGTCATCTTGACTAATTAAAGCACGCACGAGTTACGGGGGTGGGTCTCAATATTCATGAGCCCGAGACACGGCCGCGATAAAGGGAATAATAAGAAAGCTGCGTATAAAGCGTCATGGTAGGCCGTGCGCCTCTGTGTATCTGGCCCAGATCAACATTAAGCAGGCCGCACGCAACGCCGAGTCTGCCTCGCAGACGAAGAGGGGACTCCCAGACTTTGTCGAGGTTTAACCTTGCCAGACCCGGCCAAGAAAAAGGAAAGTACGAGGGATCGATACGGTCTTTAACACCGGTTGCCGAAAACCGCGTTCGCCAAAATGGCGGCCGCCAAGGAAGGAGAATCGAGTCGCCACTCTAAGGACTTCCGGGCGGAGTAGCAATTTTCGGCGAGCTGGAAGGCGACCAGTAATCTGGACTGGCGCACCCACCGTGATTTCCTGGGCTTAAGGTGTGACCACTGGAATCGATATTTATGCTCTGATATGTCCGAAAGGGTTGGTACACCTGCTGGGTCACCCGCTAATCCGGTAAAGTGAGTAACGCCTCCCTAACGAGAGGGATGGGCGATCGGAGTCGTTTTTCGAGAGCATCGATTACAGGACGCGGACTCACCCTTGCGGAATAAGGGCATAAATCCATCCCGGGGAATTAAAGGGAGCTGAAGGAGTGCCGGCAAACGGTCTACTCACTTCCACCCCAAATTAGCCGTCCCTTCCTTCCAAGAGCCTCCAAACGAGTCATCGAGGGACTCTAGGTGTGGAAATTCCCCTCCCTTAAAAAACATCACTTCTTTCCCCAATTTTATCTACATATCCCAGTTTATATAAATTAAGCACGGGCTTAATGTATTAAATAATGGGGTAAGAGAGAAAGGGGGAACCCCACTGGAGTAATTCCAGGCAAGGGTAGATGTTTTTTCAAGTACTTTTGTTTAGGGTGGCATTAATAACAGGCTCTAAGGACCACACGCGACACGTAGTGTTTACCTGAACCACGTGGATTCGCCCAGGTACACAAGCCGAGGGGGTAAGAAAGCTCCCCTGGGGTGGGGATTTAAGGGGTGAGAAAATGGAGGGGCGATGAAAGGGGTAGCTCGAGTTTGCGCATTTCGAGGACCTCTGCCCCTCTTTTCACCCCTTCGGGCCTTCATTGAAAGTGGATCACTGCCCCTTCTCGGGCGACTCCTTCCGAACTTCAACCCCTGTGGCAGTAAAGCGTCCCTCGAATTTTCCAACGAATTTTCCTCAAATTTTTACGGAAAATCGATAGATATCGCCTCACGCGACCCTTGGGACCTCGGAGTAGCGAAATTCCTGTGTGCCTTGGACATTACAATTTTTCCCTAATTTTGGCAAACCCATCCACGAGGTGGCCTTGATTTTTCGCCCTGTAGAAGGGCTGGCGGAACCGACACATCCCCAAACCGGACGTGGCGATCGCGTGAATCGCAGGGTCAAAGGGCGGCGACGTAAGGGCGGCCGGGGAGAAAGGGGCGACTTCCGGCAAGGCCCGGGGGTTGCAGGGCGCAAGAAAGACCGTATCTCATTGACCGCTGGTCAGCATGGCCCCGGGGATCAATACACTACCACAGATATCCGAGATTTCTACCCCTGGTTGCGAGCCAATCCGGATACCCCTCGACGCCGATCGGCCTCGGTCAAGATTTCGAAACCCCCTGTGAAAAGCCAGACACGATACAACATAATTTCCAAAATTCTGCCCAGAGTTTCCCCAAGTACCATTAATCTAACTATCGCCATTCCGAGCTCTGGGGGGCCGCTATCGTGAAATATTAATTACTAAATGTTTATATACACGAATAAATACTTTCACAAATTAAATCCCTCCTAAGGGTTGATTTTTAATAGGGTTGCATGTGGACTCATGGGATCGCCTATACACGTTTCACGTGTATTTCTTGCTGTATACCTTCCTGCCACGTGCCTGACCAGTAGAACGCCACCACTACTGCGGACAAGTAGTAACAGTTTATTACCGCCGCAAGACGCGAGCGCAAGCGTATTACGAGTCCCTGAGATTTATGCCCAAGTCTCGTCCAATACGTAGTCCCACGAGGGGAACACATATCTTCGACACCATGGACATAAGGATCGATCTCTTTTAAATAGAGGCGAAAAGTAGCTGACAAAGTTCTCGTGACGCGCGACATCGCTTGATCGAGCGTTGACGTCTCGCCGCGCGCATTCAAATCTCCCGCCCGGAAGGGCGGGACGCCGAAGATCGTCTCCTGCGAAATCATGTTAATTTAGCCGGTTCTTTTTTCTCTCTCCTCTCTAACATGAAGGATGTCTCGTTACTTTCAATAATATTTAATCGTTTAGAATAAACGGGTGCTTAGGGAGTATCCGGGAAACGGCGGTTAATGGGTCAGAGATGGCCGGTTATTATTCAAAATGGCGGGACAGGTTCGTTGCTTCCCCGGGGCCTCGTCTCCGCGGGCGTGGCTGGCACGCACGGCCCGTCGGTGAAGCTAATAATGAGGCGAGAAAACGAGGGAATAATGAATGCAAAAACGAGGGCCATAATCGCGATGCGGTCTTACGTCGCAGACTGCGTGTTCGCCATAAGCCATGGCAACGACCGCACCGAAGAAAACCCAAAAAATAACGAAGACCTCGATTTTTGCAACGACTCCTGAATTTTCCTACTTTCCCGGATAACATACAAATGTTGAAAAAAGAGTGTACGAGTGCTAACGAATAGTAGGAAAAAAGAATCGTCCACCAGGTCATACGATTAGCCGGAGAATAACGAGCCTTCCTCGCGCCGGAAACGAGCCGCCATTTTCCCGCCGCCCGTTTCTGTTTTATGGTTCCGGATGGCGTGTATCCGGATCTCCATCCGTCACATTTCGATGCAGAAATGTCCCTGATCCGTCATAACGCCCTCTTTTATTATCGCGGAGTTTCCGGCCCTCGGCGTCGACTTCGCTCGGGATTTCCGGCGTCACGTGACCGTCCGCCATGGCGGTCGAGGAACTCGGACATGTAAATCCCCGCCTTTTTCCGCGAAACTTTAATAACCGGCTCCCGCGCTGTACATTAAATACTAGATTCCTCGGCCTGCTTTTTGCCTACTTGTGTCTCCCAGTGCGAAACGGGCCCCCGTTTTCGTCGCAGAACCGACGCGATCGATCCCTCCGATTTGCATAGAGCCGCAGGCCAGGTTTACGTACGGAGTTCGAACGGGAGTTTACGCTCTTTCGAGTCTTATTTCCCAGTCCGAGTACTTCTGACAGGCCTGGCAATTTACATTAAAACGACATTCACGGGAAGAAACGAGGATACAAACGACTCGAATTCCCCGCTAGCCTGAAAAGCGTCTCGCGAGGGCGCCGCCATCTTGGATCCTCCCGGCGTCCCTGCAGAAGGCCTCAACTAATTAAATTCGTCTTTCTCCTTCCGCAAAGCACATTTCATATTAATTAAACCTAGTTACCGAATCTTTTCGCGACATTCCTTCATCCCAGCGATATCAAGACTAGTAGATAACATTGCGTGTCGTATTAATTAAGAGTAAAGTGAATGATTTACATCCGCGCGGTCTCGTGTAAGCGACACGTTTCCAGGACGATTTACATGTGCGGCGCCGAGATTGCATTATTACAGATTACATTATACAGTATCAAGCGATATCGCCGTTGTCACGTGATAGTCCTTCGTCTTGGGTTGAATTCACTCTTCTTACTCATACGGCGGACATGCATGGCGTAGGATTCGGAGTTGTAGCATTATACAGTGCGTGCCGTATAAGTAATCGGCGAGGGGAAGGGTTGGGGCGTTAAACACGAGAATAAGGTGGTTGTCCTGGGTGGAGGGGCGAATTGCGACCGCCCGGGCGAAAAGTGACCCCGAGGGGACGATAAATGGGATGCCGCAGTGCTTTACATATCGCGAATCAAAAGTGACACCTGTATAACTCGTTTTCGAGGGGGTGTACACATGCGACCGCGTATACGGGAGAGTACATATGTACACGTGTACCCCCGCGTGACGAATCACCGCTCGACGGCCGACTTCTCGTGGCTTTTCCTCCCTTAAATCCCGCCCAGCGGGCGAAACGGACGGAATGGCCGTCCTGCCAACTAGGTGGCACAATTAGCCCTAATACAGTCGCAGTATCACCCGCAAACATCGGGAGCAATCATGTCAATTAAGTGCGATTGCCTCGCAGCATGCACTTCCGCCGACGCGAAACCAATTCCGAGGAAAGTGGCGTCCCGATTCCGGGGCCTCGGCCTTTTTCCATCTTCATTTCCCAGGATGTCCTCCGAGAAAGAGAGGAGGGAAGAGTCCCGCGCCAAGTACACTCTTCATCTCGACCCTGCGCAACTCGAGGACCATTTAGCGTCACCTGTTGAATGGCGTCACATGCGTTTCTTCGGGGGTTCTTTACGTCAAAGCAAGCTGGCCTTGAATCGAGATGCGAACTCGACTGCTGAGGTCGTTGCAACCTAGAAAGAAAAAAAAAAAAATGGTTCAGGTTAGGCAAGAAATCTCTTCCGGCGCGGGTAAATTCCCCATGGCTACGATAAATCCTTTTACGACGTATGCAAAGTTCCGGCGACGTATCGAGGAGGGAATCACGCAGTCCCCTCGTTTAAATTTACGTGCACCACCCTTTTCGTCCCGTTTAATCCTGCGATCTTCGACCGAACCCTGTCGTCGGTGCACGAATCGAGGCTTGACCCTGCGACCCGACTTATCGGACTGCGACTTAATTGCAACCTGCATGCGCCAATATGGCGCGTGCTCGAGATGCGATCTGAGAGGGCGGCGAGCTGGCCTGCGTTTAGGGAACGGGCTCTCTAATACGGCCATTCCGAATTCAATTTCCACTTTGAATTTGAACGCAGACACTCGAGGAATTCATACTTCCCAAGGTCCATTACCTAATCGAACTTGAGGATTACTTAACACCATTGGCGGTCTTCAAACGTAGCGATAAAGTTCCCACCTCACTAAAATTTCACCTTATAACTCGCGAACCCCTTCGTCGATTACACTGGTCTTGGTCTCAAATTGAAGAGAAAAAGTGAAGAAAACCATCAGTGTATGCTAAAAAGGGTGTATCATTTTTCAATGGAAGCAGTGGTCGTTTCAAGGAGGTTGATTACTACTTAAAGGGTCGTTCAGAGTAAAGAGACGCGGCGCTGCGGGTCGTGATCTTGTCGAGGCGCAACCGCGTCTCTTTTTTTCGTTTAACCACCGATTATGGATTGATTAGACGTGACTTTTCTGCCTTGCCGCGGAATGAATGAGACGCTGGGGGGAGATGAGGGTTAAGAGTAAGAATTGTACCAGGGAAAGGGTTAACGATACCCTTGAAAAGATTCGTACGAGGTAAGATGGCTGAACGGCCGCCAAGTTTACGTATCACGTGAGGGAGAGACTCGAGGGTCACGTCGTGTCGCTGATCCCCGATGTCCAAAGGCCAAGGGTTGAGCACCAGCTTTGACCCCGGAGAACAACGCCGAGGAGAGTGCGTTAATGTACCTCCCACTCGTCGGGGGTGTCTGCAAGGTGCACTCGCAGGTGCAAAGACACCGGGCGAGCCCCACCCCCTGCGCACCTACGGCGACCATGACCTTGCACACGTGCAACCTTGGCCTTGAGGAAGCTCGAATGGCGGTCACGATTTATGGGAACCACAGGAGATACATATTAATTCTCGGCCACAACCGTGAATGGAGTCGCGGATCGAAAATCTCGTCACCCTGATTAGGGAAGGAAATTCTGATTAACAGGAATTTTGCAACTCGAGAGAATGAAAGGGAAAAAAAAAACAAAAAAAAAAGAAGGGTAATTCATTTCTAACGCAGGTATTAGCACGTTAATCGGTTATTTCTCTTCTAAGGATGATGCAATTTCCTAGATTTGTTTAAGGGGGCGATGCCGCCATCTTGGATTTACATATGATGCACTTATCGCGAGTCCAAGCTAAATGACTGTTAATTCCGACACGCGGTCATAATCTGTCGTAGCTTATTGCAGACTTCATCCAAGCGTGACCTCGGTCTTAAGACGACCTCAATGGGTTATGCCAGTTATGTCGTAACACGGGCGTGTCGTATCGCCGACCAATCGCGGATTGCCCTAATGCGTCCGAGATTGTCCGGCCATGTTGACCCAAATCTCTTCTTAATTTCCCGTCGACCGCGTCCGCATTCGTGCGAAACATGCCTCGACGTCGGCTGATAGAATTGCGCTACCCCCCGGGAGTAAATAAATAAAATGGAGGTAAAAATAATACCAAGGCGACCAATAAAGTTAACACAACTCCGACGCTAAGGACGCCACTAAAAGAGGGACGCGTCCGATGTTTCGGAAATATTAATTAATAAAATAGAAATAAGAATTGTAACCAGGTGGCGTAAAGTTTAAGGCACCCTTAAGAGAGGGGTGCCTTCAGGATTTTGAAAGTAAGAGTTTCGGGTCTCCTCCAGGGGGGTAGATTAGGATCGCAGAAGACGCAGACAGATCGAAGCGAGAAAGGGGTTGCGAAATACTAACGACCCTTGAGCACGGGGTTAAGGTGGACGCGGGTTTACCGCCGGAAGGGTTGGTAGGGAGTACGTGGAAGAGAGTAAAGCGGCCACGAGGGACTGACCTTCACCCTAAGTTTATTCATGCCGCCATTATGCCTCCTCCACCCCGTAAGGGGCGCATCGCCATTTTGCCGAAATCTTATCTACCCCTTCTTGGATTTCAACCGACAAAATCGTACAAACTAGACACCTCCCTTCTACCCTTACAAAGTTCATAATATATACATCGGGAAACGAAAAAAAAAATCTAGATAGACGAAGAGGAACACCGCGGACCTGAGTGCGTGTCTCGGATTACCAGGAAATTTATGGTATCAATCACCGCGTCCATTTTTTCCCTCCCACCCCCCAAGGATTCCCCGATTCCGCCCTGCTATTAAGTAAATTGCATCTGCATAAGCTGACTTTTCCGTTTTTTGCCGGGAGCACCGCATCGATAGCTCCAAATGGGTGCAGCTTTTTCCTAAAGGCCCTTCCCAGAGCTGACCTTTCCACCGGCCCTCCATCACGCCCTATAAATCACGGATTGAAAGATCGCCCTTGGGCATTTACATGCCGGCCCCTTGGTTCCCGGTTTTCGTGATGAAGTCCCTAATCCCCCACTTCCGGGACTCCATACTGAGATTAGGTATTAAAACATAGCCGCGCCCTATAAAACCTAATATCAGTGTTACAACGACGGAAACGGGCTTAACGGCACATTACCAGCTTAAAACCAGCTTAAAAATAACGATCCACTCTAAAATTAAGAAATCCGTATTCCGAGAGTCTTGAAAAGCAATTCACTCGAGACGTGGCGAGAAAAAACCGCCTCAATATATATATGCCCCTGCAAGGCGATGCACGTCAACCCCTTCGTGTGTCGATTCGAGGGGTTGGGGGGGTGAAAGCTTCGTGGTTTTTGATTAGCATGCATAATGGATGGAGTATCGGTGAGGCCTGGCCGAAGCCACCCCCCAGGGGGGCGAATGGGCGAAAGGGTGGATGGGTGGACGTCCTTGAGTCCTGGGGTGGATGGGAGGCTTCGGTGGCCTCCGCATCCTGGGGGCAGCATGCTGCCACCAGTCTCCAGCACTCGTGCGAGCGGTGCACCTCGGTCCTCCACCGTGTCCTGCATAGGTGTACAGAGCACCTGTATGCAGAGAGACCCCGCCTCGTTAACCTCCTGACACGGATCCGAGGAATTCTCTGCAACCCCCTCCGAGGCTTCGAGGAGTTAGATTCGACGTCACCAAATGGCATGACGTGCACGTGACCGATGTCAAATCGCCAATTGACAACTGCCAAACAGTCTACATTCGACCGATTAAGAGAGTATTACGGATTTTGATTGATGATTGATGGTCAGGGTCTACTAAAGGTCTTCACTCTTCGTCGGCTTCGATCTTCGGTCTCCACTCTTCAAGTTTGGGCCTGGTTGAAGCAGGTGCCTTCAGCAATTGTTTGCTTGAATTATTACGGCTTGGACTAACCGTTGATGGTCGAGGTCCACTAGAAGGTCTTCATCTTGTGGGCTTTGGTCTTGGATCTTCAAGTTCGGGGCCGAGTAGTCGCTGGCTGATCGACCTGGTCGAAAGAGGGGTACCTTCTTCGGCAACTGGCGGATCCGTGGTGGTCCAAACCCGTCCCAGGGAAAGAGTCCACCATTGAGTCGCCAAGCTCGTCCTCGCGGTCGGAAGAGCCGGACTTCGGCGAGGTGCTGGACGAGTCCAGCGAGGAAGAGGAACCCCTTTGGGACAACTGCGCGGATAGTTTCGTGGTGTTGATGAGCGACTCCTTCGAGGTGATATCCCTGCCCGCCGAGATGTTGCAGGTGCTGCCCTATCCCCTCAACATTTCGCTCCTCTCGTTTCTCCCTTTCCTCCCGAGGGTCCGATTTTGATTCCCGACTTCTGATTCCCGATTTTTCTCCACAGCCGGCGAGCTACGGCAAGAAGAGCAACACCTGGTACACCTCACCTGCAGGTGCGGGCAGGCCTGCAGGCACCTGGAGCAGACCCCCTGCGGTGGCGAGCCTCAGCAGAAAGGCCAGCATCACGGAGGAGGCGCCGCCCCCAGGAGGTGGCAAGCCATCTTCGGGAAGGGTCATCAGGATCGTCAATAATCTCGACCACACCGTTCAGGTAGTCTTCTTCTCCTCTTCCGGTGGAGACGCTTGACCTGGGGGTGAGAAAAGATAATTCCTGGTTTCAGTGCCGAGTCCTGCTGAACCTGCGCACCTCCCAGCCCTTCGAGGAGGTCCTGGAGGACCTAGGTCAGGTCCTCAAGATGAACGGAGCCAAGAGAATGTTCACCGTGTCCGGTCAGGAGGTCGGTTATAGATATCGAAACTAATCGAAGGGTTAAAAAAGAACGTCCGGAAGGACCTTCTCGGGCTTCGCAGGACGATTTGGCATTTCTTGCCGGCCAAGTCCGAGAATCGATACTCCCCGCCCCCGTTCGAACAGTTCCTCGATTCTTCATCCCGGACGGTAATGTCGCTCGGCTAAAGTTTATCATTTATTTATGCAAATCGGGGAGGGCCGAGCGGCATCGTCCTTATAAAATCGACTTGAATAATGCTTTCCATAAATATGCATAAGGCCCGAACGGCGCGTGTCCGCAAGGACGAAGGCTGCCGAGGGTCGCCTTCTTTTGGCAGTCAAGATGCACTTTTGCTTGACAAACAAAAAAAATAGGAGTCATTGTCACGTCAATCCCAATAAAGGTTAAAACCCGGTCGAACTTGAAGATCGCGGGACCTTAAGTGGGAATAGATAACGACAGAGGCCCCATATCAGGTTGCAACAGTGCTATTTCGTGCCAGGACGCCCTTAAGGGAACCAAAATGGCGGCTGGTTGGCCGAGGCCCCAACTGGGGCGAGCTTTCGAGAAAAAGGTCAGAGATTCATCCGGCTAGGTCATGGGCGGATATGAATTTCAAATTGACCAATTTCCAGCCGTCATTCCTATTTCCTTTTCAAACGACGGCACGCTAGAACCCTCGACACCCTCGACACCCTTTCAAGTCCGAATCACTGGCTAGGCCCTGGGTCTAATCTTTCGCTGACGATGTCCAGGTGCGAAGTTTCTCCCAGCTGAGAAACGAGTTCGCAGACGTGGACACCTTCTACCTGGGCACCAGCACCTCGGTGAGCATGGGAGCCATCACGGCATCGCCGGCAAGAAGGTCACGATCACGAGGACCCCCGGCAGTGGTGGAGGACATCGGACGCCAAAGGCGAACTCGTAGCAAAAGCAGACCCAGAGCTCTCTACGCCCCCGACTCCGAGGTTGTTCGCGTAAACGGTAACAAATCGTCCACTTCTTTAAATCATAAAAAGACCTCTGAGTAGCCCAATCCCAAAGGGTGCAGAATCCGATTCAGGATGCAGTGCTGAACTTTTATAGATGGTCGCTTCCTCTTTCAGACTACAGCGCAGTGGAGGTGCTCAGAGACGAGCCTGCCAAGGTGACCATCCGGGGCCTGAGGCGATCTTTCTACCCTCCTTCTCACCTTCCTCCGGTCGACAACTCGCCACCTGAGAAAAAGCTCCAGTTAGAATGGGTTTACGGGTACAGGGGGACGGACACCAGGAGGAACCTCTGGGTCCTCCCAAGTGGAGAACTCCTGTACTACGTCGCAGCTGTGGCCGTCCTCTACGACCGGGAGGAGAACGCCCAGAGACATTACGTCGGCCACACGGAAGACATTACCTGCATGGAGGTGCTGAGAAGGATCCATATATCAGCGTTGTTTGCAAAATTCGTGGATTTTTAACGGATTTATGAGTTCCCTTCCTCGGGGAAGAGCCTTAGAATCTGACATAGGAGCATTTCAGGTCCATCCGAGCAGAGAGCTGGTGGCTTCTGGGCAGAAGGCTGGGAGACACAGGAAAGCTCAGCCTCATGTTCGCATCTGGTCCACCGAGACTCTCCTCACCCTCTACGTCTTCGGCATGTCGGAGTTCCAGCTGGGGGTGTGCGCCCTGGCGTTCTCGCAGCTGGTAAATCTGGATTACACCTCATTTTAGTAATAATAAAGCATGCCGATTTACTTAGGGATTAATTACTTACTCTCAGAACGGAGGTAGCTACGTGCTCGCCGTCGACTCCGGCAGGGAGGCCATCCTGTCGGTCTGGCAGTGGCAGTGGGGCCATCTCTTAGGAAAAGTGGCGGCAAGTAGAATCTAAATAAATTGGAAAATTACTAAACTCATAGAAACATTGAAATTATTAATGAAAACTCGCTTCTCTCGACGCAGACTTTGCAGGAGGATCTCACGGGGGCAGCCTTTCACCCCCTGGACGACAATCTCCTGATAACTCATGGCCGAGGGCACCTCACCTTCTGGAACAGAAGGAAGGACGGATTCTTCGAGAGGACCGACATCATTAAGCCTGTAATGATCTCTCCCTTCTATTATTCTCTGTGATACCACCTTTTCATATAAATTTATTTTCTCCTCTGAAGCCGTCGCGCACGCACGTCACCAGTCTACAATTTGAACAAGATGGCGACGTGGTGACCGCAGACAGCGATGGCTTCATCACGGTGTACTCCGTTGACGCCGACGGGGCTTACTTCGTCAGGATGGAGTTCGAAGCTCACAACAAGGGAATAAGTTCCCTGGTGATGTTATCAGAGGGCACGCTCCTATCCGGAGGCGAGAAGGACCGCAAGATCGCTGCCTGGGACTCCCTACAAAACTACAAGCGCATCACCGACACCAAGGTTCGGATTTCTTAATCCTAGGATGAACTCATACATCCATACTAACAAATGTATTTGGCGCGAAGCTCTACCAAATTTCTTAGCTCCCTGTGTACGTAATATCAAGATGCGAGGGTGATCTCTTGCAGTTGCCGGAAGCTGCAGGCGGGGTGCGGAGCATCTACCCGCAAAGACCTGGAAGAAACGACGGGAACATTTACGTCGGCACCACGAGGAACAACATCGTCGAGGGCTCCCTCCAGAGGAGATTCAACCAGGTCGTCTTTGGCCATGGAAGGCAACTATGGGGCCTTGCGGTGCACCCTGACGACGAGGTCTTCGCGACTGCCGGCCACGACAAGAACATCGCCCTCTGGAGGAGGCACAAGCTCTTATGGACGACGCAGGTGGGACGATGTAACACTTTTCCATTCTTGACAAATCTCTATGCGTGTGGAAAACTACCTAGTGCTTTTTAACGCGAAGGTCGGCTTTGAGTGCATCTGCATAGCGTTCCACCCCTTCGGGGTGGCCCTGGCGGCCGGCTCGTCGGAAGGCCACCTTCTGGTACTCGCAGCAGACACAGGAGCCGCCGTGGCGACCCTCCGCGTCTGCGGATCACCTCTCTCCTGCATTGGATACAACCCAAGTAAGTAACTCTAGAAGTAGCCGAAGAGCCCAGCGCCCCAGGAGTCGAGATACTTACTATTCGCCTCGCTCCAGCTGGCGAGATCGTGGCGATGGGCTCGCAGAACGGCAGCGTGTACCTCTTCAGGGTCTCCCGAGACGGGTTCTCATACAAGAAGAGCAACAAGATCCGCGGCGCCCAGCCGCTGGTCCAGTTGGACTGGAGCTCCGACAGCAGATTCTTGCAGACGGTCACTCAGGACTACGACCTGGTCTTTTGTACGTCGTCAGATTTATTATCAAATTCCGCCATCCTTAGCTAATTATCACTAATTATCTCTAACTATTACTAAATATCCGATCGTTATCAACGTTATCCACAGGGGACGTGAAGTCCCTCTCCTCGGAGAAGAGTCCCTTGGTCATGAAGGACGTCAAGTGGTACACCTACAACTGCACGGTCGGCTACATGGTTTCCGGTAGGTCCTCTTCATCATCGGCCTACGCCGAAGAAATCTGAAAATATTCATCCAGGGTCAATGCAACGTATTAATACCGTGTCTAGGTATGTGGAACAACCGGTACTATCCTTTGACGACCGTGCTGACGACGTCGAGTCGTTCCGCTGCGCACGACATGCTCGTCAGCGGGGACGCCGAGGGGTATCTGCGGCTCTTCAGGTATCCTTGCACGAGCGCCAAGGCGGAATACGTCGAAGAGAAGGTCTACAGCTCCCTGGTGGCTTGTGCCCGTTTCCTGTACAACGACCAGAACGTCGTGACCGTAGGCGGCACGGATGCTGCGCTGATGCTCTGGGAGCTGGTGGACGAGTAGAAGCCGGAAGTGCGTAGTCGGGTGAAGTGGCGAGGTGTGGAGGGACTTTTTTTTTTTCTTTTCGAGCATCTCTGCCACCGTTTTCCGGGATTTTACCGTATCGAGGGTAAAACTGAGGCTCCACTTCCCGACGTAGAGGGACACATCCCTCGACCTACCTAGCAATAATTCCTAACAACGTGTAGGTTAAGGCGACGCGATAGTGGCGCCATTATCGCGAAACTTTTTACCTGAGTTTACCGAGTAGCTTCAAAATTCACCACGTGAAGACGGAGGCCTGGGGAAGGTCCTGCCAGTGAGATTAAATTTTGCATTTCTCCGTAACACTCGTAAAAATTGTTAGAAAAAAAAAAATTGATTTCATGTGCGTCGAGACCTTCCCTAGGGACCAGATATCCACGTGGTAAGATTGCAAACGATTTGGTACACCCAGTTATGAGAAAAGTTCTATGCACGATTGACTCCTCAGATGCCACTTTCGTGTCGCCTTAATGGTCCGGTGAAAGGTGCCTCGAGGTGTCCTCTGCTTGGGAGAGATCCTTGAGTCGTCCTGCAAAAGGTCCTCGAAGTAGTCCTCTTGTTAAGGGGAACCCCTAGGCAGTCTTGCAGAGGTCCTAGAAGCTCTCTTCTAGTATGAGTCCTCGAGGCCATCTTGCGAAAAGGGGCCTTAAGGTTGTCTTCTGGTAAACCGAGGTCATCCATTTGCAAACCGAGGTCGTCCACTTGCAGAAGAGGATCCCCGAGGTCATCTTCTTGCGGCAAGGAGGCGCGGGCGCCTCCACGCATATCCGTATATATATATCATCGTTACGATAATCGTCGAGTTTAACAGTTATCCAGTTTTGTTACACGAGCACGTAGAGAGCTGTTGCTGGTCAACAAATTCAGTGCGTTCACCGTATTTCGAATTAACATTTATAATAACATAGTCTAGCTACGGTGTTATCCGTGTACGAGGTGTATCTCTGCGTTACAAAGATTCGGGCGAAACGCGGAGATAGAGCGAGAGAGAGAGAGAAAAGGGAAAAAAGCAGAGAGAGAGAGAATTCATAACATGTTGCAACTTAAAGTGCGACACATTAGGTCCCCGAGTGTGCGTCTTAGAATTAGGAGAAACACACCTAGCGGATAGGGCACGAATAAAGAATGCAAAAGAACGTCGACAGTGGTTGATAATGTTCATTCTTGTTCGATCACGGCCAGGGGCGGAATGGGGAGGAAGCAAAGAAGTGGGGAAAAGTCGCAAGTAAACGTGAGGAAAAGGTACAGCGACGAGATCGCCATCACTGCCAGGCCTGAGAAGAAGGACGCGAGGAACAAAGAAAAGCCACACGGCTACCTTGGTTCCACTTTTTAAGGGGCAATTTTCGTCCCTTCCGGAGGATTCGCGAGGTAGAGCTAAGTCTTCTCCACGGTTTAGGAAACTGCAAGCTGCAAGCTGCACACTCTGTAATCGCTTCGAGGGGCGTTACTTGGCTAAGAGAAATAAAAATAATAATTATAATACATTTACAAAGGACTGCCGATGAAAATAAACTGAATCCTTCCCCGTCGGGGTCTTCTTCGGGTCCTCTTGAGTTGTTATCCCTTGTTTTATTGTATTCCGCTCCCTTTTTCCCTTAACATGCATTTCCTTCTTTCTCTTCGCATGGGAAAAAGTCTGAAAAAGCGTTCGCCGAGATCTTCCTTCCGAGGCTTCCCGAACGTTCCTATCTCGAAGCCTCGCTCCTTAACTCCTCATTTCCTTTTCCTCGCTCAGGTGTATATTACTTTGCATATATTTATATCTATCTACACATATCGGTTTTCGCAGTCCCTCGTCTAATCGGGCCAGTATTTCCCGCGGCAACCACCGAATCCGAATTTTCGGATCGAATGGAAAAAAAAAAAATAACGGTACGCCCTGCGTCCCTCCTCCAGACGCGGGAGATTTAAAAAGTAACGGTCGAACGACTGGAAATGCCGGGGAAACCGGAAAAAAAAAATAAACAAAAACTCGTATCGCCCAGAAAGCTCGACTAGACGCGGACGTTCGCTATAAATCGTTCTTTTTTGGTCTCTTTCTCTTATACAGGTTTCGTGTCTTTTGGATTCGCAAGATTCGCATCTTAAAAGTGACGATCGCCTTATCGCGCGCAAAATGGCGGCGCCACTCCCCGGTAATACTCTTCGCGACGTCGAAGGCTCCGCCCGAGAAGGAAGAAGAAGAAGAAGAAGGAAAAACGAATAAATAACAACTATCAAACAATATATCCGGGCTTTAAAAATACACAAAATTTACAAGCGAGCTACTCCAGGGATATCTCCGTTTCTCCCCTCCCTCCCCAAAGTGATCTCGATATCCTCCCAGTTCTTTCCCCATTCCTTCTCGATATATCTTTACAATTTCTACGTAGAAACGCTTAGCGATTCCGACTTAACGACCTCTCGCTCCCAAGCGGGGATATTTCGCAGCGAAAATTGAAAAGTGCGATCGGGGTGCTGAAGGTAAAAAAGAAGAAAAAAAGAAGGAAAACAGGGAAACTTGACCGTCCGCACCGAAGTCGGCAAAACGGAACCCCGACCGCCCAACGCATATATTAAATACATGTAATACTCCCATGCTGCTAATTAAGCACCGAAAGAAAGGAAATCCAGTAACCAGGAAACGGCAACAAACGGCGTGTCCCGTATCTTCTGCGCATGCGTTCTGCCATCACGTGACGGTGACGCACGCGCAGAAGACGACCGCCACGCGTAGCTACGCATTTACAAACGTTCCAGAGGACTAATTAGCAAAACGGAAGGGGTACACGCGCAGTTAACGAATTTTTCTCCCTTTGTTTGTTTTTTTTCTTCTCTCGTTTGTTCCTCATGTAAAGCCAGAAGTCAGTCTTGGGTCGAGTAAAATCTACGAGCGGAGCGAAAATGCGAAAATGACGCCCTTAGGCACGGACTTAGAATCTCTGTTCTTCCCAACTCTCGCAATTAACTTTAATACAGGCACAACCAGTACACGCACACGCACACACTCGCTTGGAGGCTTAACACATAGGTACTAGTTTAACACAGAAGGGGCCAAAACCTTCGCAGCGAAACGAAAGACTCGGCTAGCGGACTGCCATTAAAAAAAGATTCGGAGAAATCGCTCGCCGTAAAGGTCCGAACCTCGGTGCGAATGAAACTAATCCCGAAACTTAGTGCTAAACCGAGCCGAGTGTCTATTTCGAGTTGGAGAACCCAATTTTAGACAGAAAGTGGGTTAAGGGGAGAGCAAACGCTAGTGGAACGTAGATATTTCTTGGTACCGGCGGGCGTTTCAAGCAAATCTATGTGTAAAGCGGCTTTAAACAACACCCCTTGCGTTTAGGATCCAGAGCTAGTCCCTCGCCTCTTCGTTTCGCGCGATTCAACAGAAATGGTTGATGATTTTGTCACCGGAAAGAAAGCGAAAGGAGAACCGAAGGACACGGGGATGCGCACCGACTTTCGGCTTAAATCGAGACGCGAGGGACCCGCTTACTCGATCAGGGATTGGCGAGACTAAATTCGAATTTTGACTAGCTTAATGTCTCCCATGGTCAGTGGGAGCGAAGCGAACAAAAGAGGAACATCCTTCCGACGTGAGTGCGTGAATATACCGCATTTGGTGATTAACGAAATGTGTATAAAAAAAAAAAGAAAAAAATATTTATATCCCCCGAGTGAACGGGCCGAACTGCGGTCAGAGCCGCACATAGATGGGCAGTACCGCTGGCCTCGCCTGAATCAAGCGACAAGTACATTATTCGCGCCGATCTATGTGTTGTCCGAGACGAGGTCGCCTTTACTCGTACACACCGGAGAGATACTTTCGGGCGTTGCGTCGGATTCACGGGAAAATGCCGAACCTTCGACGACTTCTGGCCCTTTGTCGATCCGAACGTCTTCTGGCATACTGAGATCGACTTCATTGCCAGGGATTTTTTCACAACTTAATCTATTCTCCACAGGCTCGTTGACACTACTGTCCCTAGTGATTTGATGCACACTAGTTGAATCGCAGCTTTCTGCAGGAACGTCCTCAGGGAGTGCATCGGGAGGAGACTTCACTGAAGATGCCTGCCTATCTTCGGTGTTGTTCGTTTCGGGGCACTTAGTTTGATTAGACTGTGTAGGACCGTCCGTCTTTGAGTCTTTGGAGAGATTAGGGATAGGTGTTTGGGATGTCACTTCCAGGCACTGTTTTCCAGAGTCCTTGGAACCTCTCTTCGGAGCGTCCAGGTCTGCGACGATGTCCATAGGGGTTGGCTTCGCAGATTCTGGGTTCTCGATGGTGATCGGAGTGGCTTTACATGCAGTGGGAGGAGACGCCTTGTCACCAGGGTCACTTCCTCTTGCGCGTTTTAACTTTTCTTCGGAGCACTGTTTCTCAGACACTTCCTTCGACTCCTTCTCTTCTGGCCTGTCATTGTCGATACCCAGGTCTACGTAGCACATCTTCGCAGGCACCAAGGGCTGACTGTCCTCGGTGTAGCCTGGTGTGTCGTAGCAAGGTGTGGCACTGGGGGCGTACACGTTTTCTAGCTGCTCGTACTGACTGAGAGATTCACTGCTCCGCTGGCTTATCTCCGACATGTTGCCTTCCTTCTTCGTCTCCTTGGGGAAGAGTTCACGTTCATACTCACGTCTCTCCAGTTCTCTTTGTTCATGGTCTCTGCGTTCGATGCGAGTAGAGGTGCCCGGTGTCTGGCCACTTGCAGCCTCTGGACTCAGGGTAGCCTTCGTGAAGAGGTGCACAGGACGCTGGAAACCCTTCGAAGGGTGAGGAGGTATTGAAACCACTTCGCATTTTCCAAACCCTACCTCTGATGATAACAAGTACTGGGTGAACTTGTGCGGTAAGAACTCGATGCTCTGGTAGTTCTTGTGGATCCTCTCCTGAAGACATAAAAAAAAATAAAGTTTGAATATTATCTGATATTATTAAACGCATTTAGAGTCGTTAATTACTCACAGTAAGATTCTTCTTCTTCCCATAACTGCTCCAATTTTGTGGCTCCAATACCAGCACTCCACCAGGCCGAAGCTGGGCATGCATGCGCTTGAATGCTTGCTTCAGTCCAGCGTCTCCGAAGTTCAGATGAATCCACTTGGTTATCGAGAGGCAAAGAATCGTATCGAACTGAGGCTGCTCCGATGAAAGGAGAGCATCGTCTTCCAAAACGTAATTACCCTACACAGTGATAAAAATATCAGTTAATAGTGCTACGATAAATACACATGAATTGTAAAGGGTTCTCTCAGTGTTTTCTTACCTGTACAAAAGTGATATTATAAGGGAACCCCTTATATTTGCTATTCTTCGTAAACCCAGGGATATCTATCGGCCCGTAATTAATAGGCATAGACATTGGGAAGAAGCTTGGATCGCAATCCTTACGTTCTGCACCATCCTCGATGCTCGCTGGAGACTGAACACAGTTGACATAGTGCTTGATGTTTTTTCTGGCGATGTTGATAAGTGTTCGATCGATGTCAATGCCAGTCACGCTTCGAGCAGAAAAGTCCCTCGCCACTGACAAGGTAATATGACCAATGTTGCAGCCGATGTCAAGAACATCCTTGCCGATAAACAGTTCCTTGCGTTGAGCGAATACTGGCAGCCTCGAATCTACGTCATGGTGAGGATTACGATATCCATAATATCTATTGTAGTTTCCGTACTGGTACCGAGCGTCCTTTTCCCTAAAATTTGGTGTCTGCTGCACTGCCTTCTTCTTCTTGTCTTGGCTCGGTCTATGCTGCGGCCTAGTCTTCCATGCTCCAGGCTGTGGAATTACAGGGCTGACGATCTTGTCCTTGATGTCCACTTTACGCAGACGTTTATCTTTTGGATCTTCGAGGCCTTTCAGGCGAAGCTTGTTCTTCTCCTTTTGCAGGTTCTCCTGCTTTGCTTCCTTAGGTGGGTTGTTTGGCAGAGGACTCGGAGGAGCCAACACTGGCTCAACTTTCGGCTTCTTCGGTTCTCCTACCTCGCTGATCTCGATAGTGGGAATTTCTACAGTATCCACAGATTTCGCCTCGGCTGCTTCGTTCGCGTCGTCCTTACCTGATCCAGAAGAGGCGCGCTTCCTCTTCCTGTTCCGACGCTTGGAGCCTTTCTTCGTTGGCGAAATCAGCTGCTTCTCATAGTCCTCATTGTCGCAGTTGCTCAGGTTCAACGGGTCGCAGATATTCGGCGGTATAATGACCTCAATTGTTTCCTTCCTGTGCTTCGGAGTTGGTAGAGGGCTCGACTTTGGAGTGACTGCATTCATTGCACGATTCACCTCTTCGTCCTGCATGCTATTTAAATTCAGCGGATCGCATATATTCCCACCGAGCAGAAACTTTGTCGGAGGAATGATGATGCCCTCCTTCTTCCTCCTCTTGTACGGTGGGAAAAACTTTCCATTGGTTGTAAAGCTTTGCAACCTCTTCCTGCCGAACTTGAAGTACCTGCCGTCCTCGTGCTTGTGCTTCTTGTGCGATGGGTTGAAGGGCTTCCGAGACTTGTCGGTCTCCTTCCTACTAACCTGGCCCATCTTGGTGGGCCTGTCCACTTGAACAGATGACATCCTTTCTCCACTATAAAACGGACACCCAAAAAATTCCTTTTAAGAAACCCACTATAGTAACCAACGTCCCTGTCAAAATTTCATTAAACAATAGAGAATATAAGAATCATACTCCACAAGTCTTAAGACTAAACCTCCACGTTTTTCAACGTTTCTCAACGTTTCTTAACGTTTGCGCATTTACTAACAATTAATGCAAGCTTAAAACTTTCAATATAATCTAGTAACACGACCAAAACAAGAATCTCGGTTACAAAATAAATTAAACTTCCCCCACAGGGTGGACACGCTACGCGGGAGAGCGCTTCACTTCGGAGCGAGATAATTCATGCAAATTCCATGGGGCAGAAAATGGCACTGCTCCAGGTTCTTCAAAAATCCCATGAGCAGCGGTAGCTCGCGCTTTCAGGGTGAGTTTAACTCAGAAAACTAACAAAGAACCCCGAAAACGGCGCGCGTTCGTAAATTGCGCGTGAAGTTCGTGGTTCCCGCGGGCGCGCATGCGCCGTAGCGCGGTTTACGCTCGCATGAGGACGGAGGCTAGGCGAGGGCCGCGAGGTCCCGCCCGTGATTTCGGTCGCTTTTCTCCCGGCTGCGTCACCAGACTCACCTTTAAATAATTCCTCCGGGTCCCGGCTGCTCTCTGGGACCAAATTTTCCTCGCATTAGACACTAGCGTGCACACTTGACTCGCGAAACTCGCTGTCGTTTAGTATACGAGACCCGCCGTGCGGCCATCAACGATGGTGAATGCTCGCTCGACTCACTTGGCTCGACCTCCATCTTCCATGTGGGCTTCGCGGCCGCCGGTGGCGCCGCCGCGAAACGGCGGCCATCTTGGGAAGCTCGCTTGCCTAAAATTAAAATGGCGGCTAAGAGACCGCGAGACGGTGACTTTTCTTTCAATACGTAATCGACACCCGTGCGATGAACGACGCCCGACAAATTAGTAATTACATCAAAGGACGGCTAAAATTCCATTGGTAAATCGGCTTACAGGACTGTAGGTAATGTTAGGAGCTACCCAGGGAAGGAGTTCCGGAAGCCCTGAGGTCATGGATGTCACCCAAAATGGTGGCTCCCTGTTTCGAAAACGGAGGACTTATAAATGAATTAAATTTAGCGAAATTCGGGACTTGTTATGTTGTTCCCGGTGAAGTATTGAATTCTGTGGTACAGGTGTCATTCAGTCGGAGTTTTAAAAGTTGAGGTATATCTTTTTCGTGGAAAATGTAGGAATTTGGATTAGGGGTATTCGGATGTTTCGGAAGTGGCGCCGGCGGCCATGACAGTCAGCGGCGACCAATCACAGACGCCCTCGAGGCGTCAGGCCGGAATCGTATTCAAATGTCGCGCAATGTCGCGTGATTTCAGGCGGTTTAATTAGTAATTAGGTCCTTGTATCTCGTGCGGTAGGTTTCTAATTCAGTATTTAGGTCGGGACTCGACATTTTCCGGCAAATTCAGTAGGAAAGTAGAAGTAATCGCTAGAGAGTAAGTATAAGACGCGAAATTGAAAATATAATCTTCCTCTCAAACGCAACCATGGCGGTCGAGTAGAAAAATCTTTCTCGAAAATGTCAGAAAAAGTATAGACACGTCCTTCAGAATAAAAAAATCTGTCATTCTGCTAAATATGATATTTCTCTCGAAAGATGGCGAACTTACAGAGTTATCCAATTTTTTGTGTACCTGCAGGATAAGCAGGAAAATGGAAGAAAACTTGAAGGGGCCATTTGCAGCTCCTTTAAAAATTTCCGGACTGTCAAGGGACTTCGAGGAATCAGGGAAGATTCGCAACTTTGAGGTTCAGGCGGAGTCGGTGAACGTCTCCGATTTGGTAAAGCGAATAAAGCGTTTCCTCACGTTTAAGATATTAACAATTTATCCCTTGCTTTGCAGATAGAAGCGGAGAACGAAGAACTCCAGGTGCAAGATGGCAGCAGACAGTTCTTGGAGACTCCCATAACCGTGAAATTAACTCCGTCGTTGCCGAAAGCGCCGATGAAGCAGCGAAAGCAGGTCGATAAGAAGATACTGAAGCCGAAGAAATTGATATACCACGACCCCGAGAGCGAGGAATCCGAAGAGGACGCCTTCAGGAACCTGGAGACACTGAAGACGAGTAACTCCCAAAATGGAAGTCGAAATTCCAAGAAATTATCCGTAAATCGAGATTACGGCAACGCGGGAAATGTATCGGCCAGGACTAGGAGAACTGGAGTCGATGGAAAAACTAATTCAAGAGAAGAGAATGCAGCGAGCAAAGAAGATGGCACAGGCGCCGCTCAGGACAAGGAGAACATCCAGGCTGATGCAGATTTATCCGAGATGGAACATAAACATGCGAACTGCTATCAGGGTCGTTACAACCTGAGATCGAATCGATGCATTCGCGCTATTTCTCCGAAACGAGGGACCTCCAAGTCCAAGGGTAACCCCAAGACTAATCGCGACTTCACCCACTTCCGAATATAACGAATGTGACGATAAGCTAGGCGGTCAACAAGCGCATGTTTTTATCAGTAACTGATACTCCGGATTCCTTGTAAATGCATGATTACTTGTATCCTGCGTGTATCCGTACTTTGTAATGTAATATAATTGTGCGTTGGAACACGCTCACCGAGTTTCACTATTTAGTTTTAACGTGAAACTAGAAGAACCTTAGGACTTGTACTTTTGGATCTCTGGAATGACTATACATCTTTTTAGCGGCTGAGAAGAACATTTCGAGGAACCTGGATTGGATACACGCTCTGAAGATGCTGCAGCTGCAGCGAGATGTAGGGCTGTATATTCAGTGCTGTAACCCTTCCTGCAAGAAGTGGAGATATTCGAATAAATACCACGATCCTGTGGACGTCCCTGAGGAGTGGTTTTGCAGGATGAATTCCGGTCTGTAGTTCGTCCTCACATTTCCATTTGCCCGTTCATTTAAGAATGATCTATTTAATTTACAGATGAGGATGCTGCATCTTGCGATCTACCAGGGGTTAAGCCCAGTTTTAGTAAGAATACCGTATTGCTTAACAATAACTTCACTGCTGGAAGTCTCGTTTGGGCACAACGTGAAAGATCAATTTTTTGGCCCGGAATCGTTGATGATTGTCCGGTGAGGCTTCGATTTTTCAAGTTCAAAAGCAACTCGAAACATACTATCGTAAGAAACAGACTTTGGACTTGAATTTCATGACTCGAATATCTGAAAATAAAATCACTGAGATTTATTTTATATTTTATTCCTTTCTTCTCAGACAGAATATCACGTCACGTTTTTCCCAGCCGACGAGGATTCGGAGATTCTGCATAAGTGGCTGAATAAACGAAACATTTGGCCATTTTCTAGATTCAGTATGAAAGATGTTCTGAAGAGGACGAAAAATTCCAATGTTTGTGTTCGTTAAATTCCTCTAGACATAAGGGAATATTAAATTAAAATTCAATTAGGGCAGGACATCTTTTGAACGCCTGATTTTCTTTTTTCAGAGCGCGTACAAAAGGAAGAATTACGACCTCGGATTGGCTCAAGCTTGCGACTTGGCAAAAAGTGCCGTTCCGTTAACGATATTCGAACGATTGCAGCGATTCAGCTTTCTCGCCCAGTTTGAACGAAATAGAAATTTGAGAGGTGATAATAGTAATAAAACATCAGCGAGTACAAGCGCTTATGTAGACGCGCCTGCTGCGAAACGACCCAAAATGACTGATTTTACGGAACTTCGAAGACCTGTGGAAAATTCTAGCATTTTGAACTCATTAGTTGCTTCTGACGATGAAATTATTGAGAGTTCTCAACCGATTGAATCTTTCAAGACCCAGATATCGATCAGCGGCAAAGCTAGAAAAAACGAAAGTTCGACATTATCAAACAGAAAATAATTCGTTTACCTTGTAACTGATTGATACAATTTGATATCGAAAGTAATTCAGAATAATCTTGTGTCGATTTTTATTTTCCCTTTTGTAATTTGCTGGTGTCTTGTTTAATTTTTAATACAATTCAGAGATGGTGTTACGATTCAACGCATCATGTACTTGTTATAACCGGCAGATGGCAACATATCACGTTGCATTCCTGAAACGATGCTTCAAGAAATCGGTTTCAATCAGAGATGGCGCCTCATCCTCCGTCCTATTTTTGAAACGATGCTTTTGCATCTACAAAAAAAAAGCCTGGGCAGCCCGGAACCCGGCTCAAAAAATCATGGACCCCTCAAAAAAGCTTTAAACTCTGTATTTGCCATCGCAATTGCGCGAGCCTCCACCAGAAATGCAGTTGCGCCGCCACTGAGGGGTAACTGGTGGCAAGCCGCTCGTGTCCACCGCCAGAGGGCAACACAGGATGCGATCACGCTATCCTGCCCGTGAGCACTCTTCCAATTCATCTCTGATGACAGCTATGAGCAGCTGTGATTTGCTCGTATGCACCCTTATACACTGAATAAACACTTAAGATATGTCAAATGGTATGAGAAGTTTAAAAAAAGGGATTGATGCGAGTGCGAAGTGACGTTCCACGTTTCGCAGGGAATCTCGCGACTCGTTATCTGTAATAAATGATGATAGGTAACTGAATTATGCCCAGAAAAGAGAACACGTAAGCGTTTCTTGATACGTCGACCTAACCCGAAAACCGATATTTTACACCAATGAGATATATTTTTTTAAACATATATACGTCAACAGCATCTCTGTTTATATTTGGTGTATTTAAGAAAAACATTCAGAGTTGACACATAAAATCACTTAGGTGTAATTTGTTAATTTGCAATTTATGCAAAAAAGAGTATGTATTTGTAATATTTGGTGTTAATGATCTTTCTAGCAAAGCCAAAACATGGGAGCGAGACAGAAGAAAGCGTATGAATCAGTACTTCAAAACATTGGCAGATCTTTTGCCTCCACTGTCGGAAGGCCGAAAGCGGAACAAAGTTGACATATTGATTCATGCTTCGAAGTACATAAAAGATCTCCACAGCCGGGCTGACGAGCTATTCTGCGCTCATGCTTCTGAAGCACACAGTGAGAATAATTGTTTGAGTTTGTAGTTAAGATCGATAAGATTTCACATCGATATTGCTTTCAGAAGAGGAACTAGCTCGATTAAAGAAGCTCATCACGCAACTCTTTTCGAGAACCCACCTACTGTCCTCTCTTTTGAAGGAAGCCGGCATCTCTATACCTGCTGAGCCAGCACTAGAAAAAATCTCTCCCTTAAAATGGTCTAACAAGATTAATGTGGAAGACGGAGAAATGTTCTTTGCAAAAATTGCTCAGAGAAGTAAGTATTTGTAGTGTACTGTTTGAAAGAAATGAAGTTAAGTCATTAGAGTACGTTAAACTAAATACTTACACAGAAAAGAAATGCAAAAAGAAGAGGGAAAAGGCAGCAGGGATTAAAGTGCCTTCGAAGAGAAAATCAGGAAGTTCGCCTCAACTTCCTCTAAAAAAGCTAGCTGAGGATTATGTTTCACCAAAGGATGTCGATGGTTTGACCGAGAACCAGGAAAATCGTGTAAATAGCATAACCCGAGAAAATATTTCCGAAGACAGTGCCGTAACATCAAGCTTTGTACCAAAGACGGATTGTGAAGACACCATTCCGCGTAAATATCTGATGACTGTGCAAAAAGTTGTAATAGTTTAAAAATAATCTGGAATTTTTCTTTCAGTGATACAGAAGTTGGATTCGCATAAAAAGGTAAAGAGGAAAAACGAGAGGAGCATAAAAGGTAAAACTGTGTCAAGAGTAGCGAATGGATCGATAACAAATTTGCATCCAGGTACGCTGATTTTATCTGGTAACAAGTTAATGCCCATTGTTACACCGATCACACCTCTGACGTCAAACATAATAGTAAATGCGCAGCAACAAACAGCGAGTCCTATTATTTTAAGTAGCGGTCAGCAAAATCAAATGATAGTAATGCAACCTCTGTCGAATAACGTCCAAAGTGGAGTTGTACCGGTTTGCAGTCAAACTTTAATTAATACCATGCAAAAAGTCTCATTGAATACAGTGCCCAGTATTAGAACAAATGTCGTGTTAAATTCGAAAGATTGGGTAGCTAACGTTAAAGATATTATTGATGCTACAAAAATTGGAAGACACAAGGGAATACTGCCAAAGGGTAAGGAAGTTACAAAGACAACAATGACCTACAAGGTTCCAATCCCTGCAGTTCATAAAGAAAAGGATAAACCGAAGGAAACTACTACTCGAAAAGAGACAGAAACAAAAACCAAAGCAAAATGTCCTGGAAAAGTCATAGGAAAGTCTTGCTCAACAAAGAAGAACATCGAAGAAAAGAACGAACCAGATAGTAGCAGCGAAGCTTCTCCTGAAATTAATACTTCACATAAGACAGCTGTTAAGCGGGGCTCCAGTATTAAAACTGGGAACAATGAAGAACCAAAAGACAAAAAGAGAAAACGTGACGCTGATATTAATAATAAAGATACACAGTCTGAAAGCAACTCGCAAGCGAAGCCTTCAGATTTCTCAGCAACTTGCGAGTCCATTGAAAGCTTGAGACACGTGGTAGAAAAAATCGGCGATGATATAACAAATGTACAGAATGAAAATTTTCCCCCAGAAAATGCAAAGGAAAAACAAGTTGAAAAAGGATTAATAATTGATTCTAAGGCAAAAAGTGAAAAGGATAATTCCAATTCCACACCTTCGATGGATACTTGTAAACCAAGTTCTTCATCTGGAGCCGATAAGGAAAATGATCTACCAAAAATTTCCAGTCCAGACCAGCCGAGTGAAAAAGTGGCCGAGACTTCAGAAATACTAGAATCAATTTCTACATCTTCGCCAGTTTCAGAACTGGATTCAGCCAAAGTAGTGGAACCGAAGAACATCATCGAAGGACCAAAGGAAAACGATTTGGCGTTTCAAACTCAGAATCCCGAGAAAAACACTGATGTCGAATCAGAAACTACGAAGTGTGATTCGATACCAACAGAAGTATTGGAAAAAACTGAAGCAGTTCCAGAGAACACTAAAGAAGTCTCCCTGGGTGCGACTCATTTCGAAGGCTTACTAGAAACGAGCAAAAAAGAAAATATCGACGGTGTAACCACTATGGAAAATAATAAAGTGATCTTGAATCTGGATACAAACACCACGACGACAGTCAAATCTGACACACGCTCCACTAGTGGGCCAACTCTGCCTTCCGTACTCTCCGAAGAGGGAATTGGTGGCCCAACCTTGGAAAATCCTCCAAAGGACGAGAGCGAAGGACTAAAACGTCTATCCTACAGTGCAGACAACAGCTTTGTTCCTATAAACAATCGAGCTGAAGCCCTTCACTCAGATCTTTCTAACGATATCTTTGCTTCGCTCCAGGTACCCTCTAGTTCGCACAACCCTGAATCCATATCTCCAACTGCTGCTTTCCTGATGGCCTTCCCATTAGTGTCTTCATTGAATGGCAAGACCGAAGTGCTGGAAGAGGACATGAAAGAGGATTTCAAGTACCACAGTCAGACCCCTCCGATGCTGCTTCAAATTGGAGCCATGGAACCGAACAGCTTCAAGATGAAATCAATTCCCCCTGGTCCATCTCAGAGTGATCTGGTCACTGGTAAAGACAGCGAAGAAAGAAAACCACCCCCTCAAATGTCTCCTGCGGAGAAGTATCTGAAAATAGGCAATGTGTTGGAAACTACCGAACAGATAACATCCAGTGCGAAGACCATCAGAGTAGAAGCAAAAGCAGTTCGAAGCGTCTCATCTGCGACAGAGCCTGTAAAAGCTCTGCCTAAAATCCTCACCGAAGAGTCTGTGAAGGGATCCTACAAGATAGTCCAAGCCCCTGTCCCATCGACTCTGGAAACCACCTTGGAGATGAGCAACTCCTTCGCTTCAACCTATGCATCGACTTACCCAAACAATGTCTCTACAGTGAGCATTGCAAACAGTTCTAGTCAAAACCAGACTGTAACGGCAGTCCTCAGTTCTTCAGTGGGTACCAGTGTAGACGAAAGTATCATTCAGATAAGATATGACAACCAAGTGAACCGCAGTGAAGCCATCTCAAAATATACCGTACGTCCAACGATGTCTCAACTGACTGAAGTTTCTGATTCCACTGCAACCAATGCAGGGAAGTACGATGCAACTTCTAGATACACCGGAGCCCAGCTTTTGTACGGCAATGAAGGAGTCAACTCAGCCACATCGGTGTACACTGGTTCCTCCGAAGCCAGAGTTCCTCCGACAGGGTCTAACACTTCCATGGCAGTGGCTTCCCAGGCATCGATGTCTTCCCAAGAGATCCTCCAAAATCAGAGATCAAAGTCTGATTCTTCCCAGCGAGGATACTCTAACCAGAGAACCAGTGACGACTCCCACCCTCCCAGCAGAATCCAGACCAGTTATATTCCTCGGAACGAAGTCTCCCTCGTCCCCAGCTCCGAGGCTCTGCGTCAAAGGTATCTTGTGCAGAACGAAGAATCGGTTCCCCAGCAGACTCTCAGACATCAAGTATCAGGCTACCAAACCCAGCTCCCAGAATCTTCGCTTCCCGTCTCTTCCCAACACACCCAGCACGCATACGTGCCCCACAGCACTCCTTCCCTTCCCAAGGATTCCTCTGGCCTCCCAGTCCTCTGTCCTCAGAATTCCCAGCGGAGCTATCAGAGCAAGGAAGTCACAGTTTCCTCGGAGCAAGTCCCCCACAGAAATCAGCACAGGAACTTCGTCTCGTCCAGGGGGCTGAAGGAGAATCCTGGTTCCCAGGATCCTCACAGAGGATACTCCACGCAGGGGAAGGAATCTCTCCCAGCAGTATCCCAGAGTCTTCGCCAAGTCTATCCTGTACGCAGCAAGGAAGGGAATTCTCAAAGTTTACACCATGGGTACCAGAGTCAAGGAAAGGACGTCGGTCCCAGCTCCTCTCAGAGCCTGCAGAGGACCTATCCCTCGACGACTGAGGATTCTAGGGTTCCGGTAAACGACCAGACTGCCAAACTCCCAGATGGTCTTCACCCCAAGGCACAAGACCACCGACAGGAGAGCTACTCGAAGAAGGTCGACGCCGAACAAAGCTTCGCCCAGACGTTCTCCGTCTATGGGAAAGAATCCGCTGGGAGTCAGACCACGAGTCAAGGGGTCGGTGTCGTGGAGTCTGAGATCGAGCAGAACATCTACCAGGATAAGCATCAGGATCAGAGCTACGTTCGGTACGGCAAGGAACAGAAGAAAATCCCCAGCAGCTCGGCCACCTCGACCCTGGCGAAGCCTCTCCAGGAGGCATCCTCTCAGCAGTACACCCAGCAACAGCTGATCGCTACCTCGAACTTCGAGCAGAGCACCGTGACCGAGAACAACACGAAGTCGACGACCACGGTCGCCCACAACTCGTCCAATTTCAGCATTTTATCCTGGACGACATTCTCTCCTGCTGGGAACAACAATCTGGCGCACTTCGAGCAGGCCTCCTCCTCCCAGAACGACGGCGCCGAGAACAAGACCATTTGCGAGAACTTCAATTACGTGCCCCTGCACAAGGAGAACGTGACCTACTCCAACATGCTCCCAGACACCTTCCACGGAGATCCCGGCATCGTCCAGGACAAGTCCAGGAAATTGGTCCAGGAGTCTCAGAAGCAGGCCTACGTGGACCCCACCAAGTCTCGCAGCGTCCGTCCTGGGATTGGTAAACAGAACCAGACGCAGAATCCAGCCGAGGAGTACAAGTTCGGCGATGGGAAAGCCAAGGCCAAGTACGGCATGAACGGTGAGTACTTGCAGAACGACTACATGGACCAGCATCAACCACACGAGTCGAAGAACCACCAGAGCCTTGCTGGGAAGCAGGAGAAGTCGAGCTACCAGATGCCAGGCTACGATCCGCAGGTGAACTTCAATCTGTCGGAAGCTAACCCTCAGGCGAAGTACCCCGATACATACTCAACTGGGAACTTCAAGTACACCGAGAACAAGTCTCAGCATAAGTACCAAGGTCTACCTCAGAGCCAGGCACCAGCTTTGCTGCACTCCAACGCGCAGTACAACAACGCTGGGAACAAGCACAACCACCAGAATAAGTCCCAGCAGTCGAAGACCCAGCACCAGCATCAACATCAACAGCAGCAGCAGCAGCAACAACAACAGCAACAACAGCAACACGCCATAAGACCGCCGGTTAACTGGATGATGACTCCTGAGATCAAGCACAACAACATCCCTGACATCATCCTGCCTCCCATAGGAAAGGAGCTGGAGTTCTGCCAGAACAACCTCTTCGGCCAAACCCCGGCATACAACCAGAGCACCCCTAACCAGTTCTACAATAATTATGACGTAACCGCTCATGGTTTTCCTAACATTGCTGGATTGCAGGGCGAGGCGAAGAGGACCGTCGACGCCTTCTACGCAGAAGAGCAGCCATTTAGTTGGTCCCCGACCAAGAACAGTCATGGATTGGACCAGAACCAGGCGAAGTCGGTCGACCAGCACGTGGTGCCGTCGACGTTGCCCACCCTGGTGGGAGATCTAGCGCTGGGGACGAATATCCCAGAGAAGCAGAACTTCCTGTTCGGCCAGATGCCTCCAAGGAGCAGCAACGAGCACCCCAAGGATGCTGGGAAGGAGAAGGAGGCGAATCGCGACTTCCATGGTATGTTGAACACTCAGAACGTCCAGCACGCGGTCCAGGGCTCGAGTTTCCTCTCGGTCAGCCAGCTGGTGGAGCACGAGAAGGCTGAGAAGTCCCAGCAGGTGAGGAAGCACCAGAGGAAGGGCAACGCCAGCCCCAGGGGAGGGAACGGCAAGCGACAGATGGAGACCAGGAAACAGGCTAATGCTGGGGATCAGTTGCATCGACACGAGGAACAGAGACCTACTGGGAACCAGCACTTCCCAGACCAGGGCTACCAACAGGCGAAGTACCAGCAGAACGAGGTGCACTGGAGGAACCGGAACTGCAAGAGCAACTATACCGCCGAGGCGCTTATAGGCACCAACTCCAACGTCCAGGAGGATAATCAACAGGACAAGCACCCTTCTATCAAGTTCCCAGGGAACTACTCGCAGAACAAGTTCCCAGGGGGCCTGGGGCACGCCGACCCCTCCGTGATGTCTATCAATTGCTTCCCTAATGCCGACGATGGGAGTGGATACGGCCAGGTCAACCAGAACTTCAACCACTCCTATGCTTATTCCTCCAATGCCAACATTTATCCCACCACTAATTTTATTACCAGCATATCCAACACTCCCAGCAGCTACATGATGCCTCTACATGAGAACCCGGACTACCTGGAGGCCAACTCTTTCTTGCTGTCCAACGTCTCTGCCGTGAATCCACCCACGAATGGTAACGCCAACGGTACCAAGAACCAGCATTACACCGTAGGGAAGCACCAGAATTGCGAGAAGCGATACTCGTCGGCCCCGAAGAAGAGCAAGCGGAAAGCTGACGGCATGATGCAGAATTTGGAGTTCCCCATCGCAGGGATCAACTCGCCCCTTGAGGACTATCACCACCCAGCTGGCTCGACGTTCCTGCCACATGCCAATGCTTTGTACCAGAACTGTCAGAGTAATATCTACCCCAAGACCATGAATGGGAACCTTCCGGGTCTTCCCGTTGGACAGAACATAGCTAATCCTAATGTTCCCGTGCGTGGCGTCACCGCTGCCAGCAGTCCCATGGTCATGGGACACCATCCCTCCGGGACTAGTCTCACCAACTTCAACCTCAGCACCATTTTCCCGGAGATCAACGACAAGGTACTGATGTTCTTCAATGGATGTTGAGTTCGTGTGGGGTCTTGATAACGACATATTTTTTTCCGTCTTCAAGGTTACGGGGTACAAGCCGCCCAATGGTATTCCCACGGGACTCCCACACTCTTCCAGCCATGGACCCACCAGCTACGTCCAGAGGTCCAACTATACCAGCAATCCTCTCAGCCAGCCGCCTCAGGTATCGGTTGTCTTCAAGATCCTCAAATATTCAATTATCTTGATAATTCACTAGAAAGAAATGCACGCGTCTCTTGTGCATCCATTGTGCTTGAGGTTGTCATGCCAGGCGCCAGGGTTGTGTAGGGATCTAATGCGTGCTCTCCAGGTAGGAGAGGTCTTGGACTGATTAATAGCAAATACGTTGTCCCAGGTGTCGGAGAATGGCCAGTTTCCAGGAAACGTGCCTCCTCCACCACCGCCTCCTCCGCCGTCCAGCGTCGTCCACTACAAGAACGCCTGACGTCCAGGGTGCGGAAGGACCCTGACCTTCGCCAACGTCGGCAATCGCGAAGCCGAGTCGCGTCCTCGTCGACGTGGACCTCAAAGTGACCTGTACAAATGTATATAAGGAGTTCCTGGACTCCGACATCGCTCTGCCTTCGCGGCGACTTTAAAAGTAAACGAGAGTGAACGAAAACAGAGGTATTTCTTACTATCAAGGCGATAAGAAAGCAGCGCCCTTGATAAGAAATTAAACTCAGTTTGGGAAACTCCGAACTGATACATCAAATCGTTTGACATCTTACCACCTGAACACTTAGGGCCACGTGAAGGTCCTACACCTTATTTCTTATTTGATAGGTATTAAAAAAAAATTCATAATAAACATATAATGAAATTTCACGAGTGGAGGGATCTTTCTTGGAGCCTTCGTGTTCAAGTGGGAAAATATCGAACGATTCGTTACACCCAGGTCGGAGAAAAGTTACATGGAGGATCGATCTCTCGGGTGCCGCTTTCCTATCGCCTTAATGATGCGTTCAGTCCCCTCGCTTATCATAGAAGTGTTTTCCACGGCTGATTGGGGAGACCTTAAGCGATCTCTTCACCCAGGGTACAATTCCGAAGTCCATTCATCGGCATCGTGCATCCGAGCAGGACCAAGGAGAGCAGATGAGGAGATTAGGTCCATTAAGGGAATCTCTGCCAAGAGGGGAATGCTCGTGTGCACGAGGCGTTTAAATGAATCTCGGAGAAGGAGACCCAGGAGGTGGGAGGTGCGGAGAGAACGCATCTCTCAGTGTGCGATAATATCCTATTGATAAGAGAGACCAGAGCTAGCCGGTCGTCCGTGTCAGCTGGTCGGAAAAGCGAGTGCCGAGAGGCCGTGCGGGTATTGAAAATCGTCCGAAAAATCTCAAGTGCCATCCAAGTCCATTAAATGATCGCCCAGGACCAAGATGAACCGACGAAGAAGGTGGAGACGCATCTTCGCCAAAGGAACACAGAAGCCCTTCGAAGGGAAGCGACGCAAGGTGAAATAGAAACCCCTTAACCGTCAAGATTTCGTCGAGATCGACAAACTTGGAATAGTTTATATTTCCCCATATGGAATTGGTATCCTTATGGTGAGAGATACGGCAAGAAAGCATGGGGGACGTCGCTTTATTTATTTATTTATTTTTTTTTCCTTCAAATCGCGCGGGAACTTCGGTAGATTGATTTGATGGCGGAAGGACTGATAAGCCGAAACGTCGAGTCTGGTGTTGTGGATTGGAATATTATCGCTATGAGCGTGTACGATCCGATCCAATCTTATCGATTCACCCAAAGATTGTTATTGATGGCTGATCATGTTTTCAGAAGTCAACGGAACGGCGTACTTGGAGGAGGACATTATGCGAGGAATGACCGTGGAGAGCATCCGGGAGAGAATGAGAGTAAATAGACGCTCCTAATGAGTATCGACCGTTAAGGGAACGGAAAAGCATCTAGAAAAAAAGATTCTAGAAAACCACCTGGGTAAATTAAATAAGAATAATTATGCGCGCTTTTCAGGAGGTCCAACACGAGATGGAAAGAGTCAACGATAGCATGAACGATATGGTCTCGGAAGTGATGCAGAGGTTGGAAGCTGCGGGTCTAGGAAAGGCTAACAAGCACTTCGACTCTTCGGAATCGTCCCTGAATAAACGGTGAATCTTGTTGTAATACTACGAGAAATAAGAGAGCCATTAGTTTACAATAATGCCCTGGACAAGGAGATCCGTAAAAGAGTCCCTAAAAGTTCCAGCAAACTGCCGGACAAGGTCTTCGTCAGGAGGAACTCGCTGCTGAACGACCTCTTCAAGATCAAGCACTTCCAGACGATATACAATATATTTCTAGTGATCCTCATCATTCTGTTTACTAACATCGCGGTGTACGACATCATGCACACAGGCTCGTGAGTATCGCAGCCATTTATTCCCCAATAATCAGTTATCAGTAATCCGAATAAATGCTCGACTTAATTGTCGGAGACAGACCCTGGGTGATATCGGTTTGATAGGCATCCTGACTGTCCATCTTTGATCCAAACAAAACGCGGATGTATGATCGGCTCGACGAAGGTCGACCTTATCCTTAACTCGGATCTTCAATTTCAGGACGAATCTCGGCCTTGCCACTATCAGACGAGGTTTTGGAAAATTCTCCACTGCGTTGTTCATTTCCTTCCTGATGACCTTGGCTTCCTTCATGGTCTACATCGGGTTCAGCCTCTGGGCCCATCATCGTGTTGGGTTGTCGCCGAAATGTAGGATTCCCTCTCTTCTCTTTGTCAAGAAATCCTGGCCTATTCTTTATCGTCTCTCTTTCAGCCCACGTCCTTAAAATCTGGGACTACGGAGCCGTGGCGTCGATGATCCTGTTCCAAGTGGTCTTCATCATCCTGCCCCTGAAGGCGATATTCGTCGAAGACCTGCCCGAAGTCTCCAGTATAATCGTCCTCATGGAACAAGTGAGCTCATCTGCGTTTCCAAATCACCGGCACTCTGAATTTTGGGAATAATCGAGGAAGAGCCATGTTCTCCATTATTCCAAACATTCAGGGAAGAGTTAGGACATGGTATGACAATAGACAGGTGGGTTTCAGGTGCGTCTGTTGATGAAGAATCACGCCTTCGTCCGCGGCAACGTGCCCAGAGTCCTGGCCTACAAACTGCACAGCGAGAAGTCCGAAGAACTATGTCCAGGATTTTCCAAGTTCCTGTACTTCATGTTCGCCCCGACGTTGATCTATCGGGACAATTATCCTCGGTAATAGAAGACCGCGTAGTTTAAGTAAAAGTAGGAGCCCTTTTATACCGGAGTTTAATCCCAGGACGAAGGAGATCAAGTGGAGGTCCGTCGTGTGGTACGCGATGGAGGTCATCATGATCGTCTTCTACGTGGCCTTCATATTCGAGCGATTCCTGGTGCCGGCCTTCCAGGAGTTCGGGATAAAGCCTCTGGAGAGGCGAACCGTGATACTCAGCATCCTGGGGAACATGATGCCAGGGATCCTGGTGCTGATGTGCGGCTTTTACTTGTTGCTCCACTCTTGGATGAACGGCGCCGCTGAACTTCTGCGTTTCGGGGACCGGATGTTCTATTCGGTGGGTTCTCCTTCATGGATTGTCCTTCGTTAAATCCGCGCTCTTCAGCGATGGAGAAAATGAAAAGTGTTTAACTTACGTACATAGACGTGCAGACCCTTCGCAAAGACTGGAATCGGTTGAAGGTCCTTTTTAAACGACGAGACTACAGATCACTAATGGCTTGTCTCTTCTAGGACTGGTGGAACTCCACATCTTACGGGGGATTCTATCGATCCTGGAACATCGTGGTCTATGACTGGTTGTACACTTACATCTACAAGGACATGTACGAGAACGTTACGGCCCAGAACAAAGTGATCTCCAGCGCGACGGTGTTCGCGGTGTCGGCCATTTTCCACGAGTACATCCTGGCCTTCGGGTTCAGGTTCTTCTACCCAGCCCTGATGGTCTCATTTGGACTGATCAGCTTCCTCTTCGTCCTGCTGACGAAGAAGCAGAGGAACACTGCCGGCAACATCTTCATTTGGTTGACCCTGTGCGTGGGAGCTGGCTGTCTGCTTAGTGGATATTCCTTAGAATACTACGCCAGGGTAAATTGTCCACCTTACGAGGACCCCATCCTTGACCTCTTCATCCCAAGAAGCTTGATCTGCAACGGGTTCTCCACGGCACCCTGAAGAGTCTCGCCTCGGTTCGCGTTACTCTCCCACGTGAACGATATTGCAAGTCGATTCCCAGCAGAACGCACCACGCTGGGAAAAATCTCCCCTTACAAACATCCTGCAGGACGATGTAACGAACAACTTTTGTTCGGCTAAATTTCTCATGCTCCACACGGTTGTTCTTGAAATCGATATTGTTTAAGGCTCTCCGTCGACGCGTCGAACGTGTCCGAAGATCTAGAGCCGCCATGAGAAGCACAGGAAATATTCTTTAATGTACATAAAAAGTCAGTTGTTATTAAAAAAAGAAATCAATTTATTTGTCAAGTCTCGCGAACGTCTTTTCTTACGCTTAACCGTAGATACAGTAAAATTATACACATTATTTATGTATATATATATATATATCTCTCTTCTCTATACAAATTAACTTATTACATTTCATATGCACTCCCTCGCACGTATGTATGTACAGGCAAGTATATATACATGTACGTATGTATATGCATATGTATAACTCTGCCTGGTCCGGCCTCGAGGCGAAAAATCGAGCCTGGGGTCAGAAGACGAGGAAACCTCCGGGTCGATTTCCGCTGAACGGAACGCCGGATAGAAAAGATCGTTGACTGTTATCAAAAAGGAGAAAAAAAAATAAAAATAAAAAGAAAGAAAGATGGCGAGGGTCGACTAAACGCAGGGGAAGTCTTCGCGAAGCTGCGTCCCACTGGAATCTGAAACTGCATAATCCTAACAATAAGAATAAACGGCCGCGGCTCGATTGACCTTCCTTTCGCAGGAAAGTTCGGAATTTGTACTAAATAAATGAGAATCGCGCGAGTCGAGGCGATTCCTCATCCGTACGTTGAAAGGCAGAGATCCTCCTGGTCCAGACGAGACCGACGACGCGAAAAGAAACGACTCCCCGAGAAGGTGCCCTCGGACATCCGATAAATAATAGTTCATTCCCGCGCGTAATGGGCAGTACTCGGAAATAAACGTATCTGGACAAAGTGGATTTCTCTTCATCGTATACGCCCTCCCACTGGATCTCCTTCGCTCTCTTCTACGTTACACACTTTCCCTTTATGAAGAGCGGTTATTTAAAACTAACGATTCGCAAAATTCGCCGGAATTTTCTGCGATTCGCAGGAATTTTTGACGATTCGCCGGAATTTTCTGCGATTCGCCGGAATTTTCTGCGATTCGCCGGAATTTTCTGCGATTTGCCGGAATTTTCTGCGATTTGCAGGAATTTTTGACGATTTGCCTGAATTTCCTGCGATTCACCTGCATTTTCTGCGATTCGCAGGAATTTTTGACGATTTGCCTGAATTTCCTGCGATTCGCCAGAATTTTCTGCGATTCACCGGAATTTTCTGCGATTCGCCGGAATTTTCTGCGATTCACCGGAATTTTCTGCGATTCGCCTGAATTTCCGACAATTCGCCTGAATTTCCGACGATTTGCCTGATGGCCGAGCCTACGACGCAGGTACTCCCAGGAGCGAATCTCGACGACGAGTAAGGTCGATGGTACCCGACCCTGAAGAGACCTCGCTGTCGAGACAAATATTCCACGAATCCTTCGTCAAAGAGGAACGTCTTGCTCGAGAATTTCTTCGGTGACAAAATCGCTTGATCATGCAGATCAGCTCGTCAAGGTGAGAGCTCTCCCCCGAAACTGGGCGAGGTCTCCGGGGTGCGCGAGTCTCTTCAGGGTGGGAGGGTCCAAGGGGTTAAATGGCCCCTCTTTTGGCACTTGGACGTAACACTCGCGGAATCACACGGAGGTCGGGAGGATTGTCTGGAGGCGTGAGAAGCCCGAAGAAAGATCACCGAGGCCATCGGTGCCGCTGGAGAACGCTCGTTTCCGGAACTCCAGACGTACTTCCGGCCAGGGTGTGAGCGAGATTAACCCCGATGCACACATGCTCATTTTTAATGATCCGACACCCATAAGACTATTCGTAGCAAGTAAAGACGCAGGAAAAACCCTCATGTGTGCACCAGGTGTCAGAGCACCGCCATCCCCTCGGTAGTTCCTGGGGACAAGTGCCTGGGGACCAGGCTCCGTCCGAGAATTCCTCGCCTAGGCTATCAGCAGTCTTCATTTGCCCATCCCGACCAGGGCCTCGTCCATGAGCTCGTCATCGGTGATGCATGGCGAGGCCGAGTGTGGGGATGGCGGGACGACCCTGGGCGAGGGTGCGGGACTCTTGACGATGTGTACGCTGACGGAAGGGCTGGGCGGGAAGGCAGGCGGAGGCGGAGGTGGGGTGTTTCTCCTGAGAGGTGCAGCTTGAGTCATGGCCCTCTCGGGGACGGTGGTGAGAGCCTTGACTTCCTTCGGGGTGGAAAAATCGAGAAGCATCTCCGCAGCCTCCTGGGAGCTGGGTGCCTTCGGAGTAGCACCGACATCGAGAGGCGTAATCGCAGTAGGAGGGCCCAGAGGACCGGGCATCCCGGCACTAGGTGACTTCCTCTCTTCAGGGGTCCGGGTGTACTTGATGGAAGCTGCATCCGCCGGCTTGGTGCTCAGGTTGAGGCTCTCCGAGTTCCCTGGACCGGATCCTATCCCAGGGTACACGGGCTTGCCGAGGTTCTCGCCGATCTTGGAGCCAGGGGTAGAGTCGTCCTTGCCCCCGGAGACCGGGGCGCTGTTCAGGAACTGCTGAGAGGGTCTAGGCACCTGGAGGTCCTTGCAGGCATCCCTGGACTCGGCGTCGCCGGGCTGCATGGAGAGGTTCGTCGGGACGTCCGAGTCGTGGGAGACGTTGGCCACGACCGGCGCACCTGCGGACGCGACGGAAGGAGTTGAAGAGGTCGAAGAAGCCGGGACCAGGGGCGGCATCAGGCCCCCGGGACCGACGTTCCCCAGGTTCAAGGACATGGCGGCAGCCACTGCCGAGAGGTTCTCCGATTTAACTTGGTCACGACGAGGCTCCTCCTGGGGAAGCTTCGGAGTGGCCAAACTGGCCTGGAGTTTGTTGGCCTCGGACGGGACCTTGGGGCCCAAACCGTCGAGCAGCTTGTTCGCGACTTCCCCGGTTCCCCGGCTACCAGGGTTGCTCGCGTCCTGGACGAGACTCTTGTCGGAAGGCTTCTTGTCGGATCCCTCGGCGTTCACCCTTGCGGAAAGCTTCGGGATCTGGAAGTTCGTGTCCAGCTGCTTCATCAGACCCTCGACCACGAGTTGAGGAGGCAAACTAGGTAAGCTGGACATGGACGCATGAGCAGCGAGCAACTTAAACGCCCTCTCGCTCTCGCTCTCCTCGCGCTGCGCCGAAGGGCTGGACTTCCTCGCGTCGACCCCTTTCGTCCCGAAGACGCCCTTCTCCCCCGACTTCGGGATCCGAGGTTTGTCGCGGTTCCTGCTGAGATCGGTGGCCCCGGACGAGCCGGTCATCTTCGGGGAGCCCGAGGCCGCCTTCGAGGCGAGGCCCTTGACGAGAGGCCCACCGGTGACCGATTTCGTGGCCGGCATCTTAGGTCCGGAGATTCCTGGGATTTTAGGCCCGCCTCCCAACCCCGAAGAGCTCCCAGGCAGCGTCTTCGGCGAGGTCTGGGTCTGAGGCTTCTTGGAAGCCGGACCCGAGTTGACCCCAGGCTTCAATCCGGTATGCGTCTTCGGCGAGCCGTTCCCAGACCCCGAAGAAGACCCCGAAGAGGCCGAGGCCGCCGTCGCCGCAGAAACCGCGCCCGCTGCCGACGAAGACGAAGACGAGGACGAGATCTTCAGGTTCGCCGTCGACTTCGAGTCTTTGGTCCTGGTCTTATTAATGGTGATCTTCATGCCATCCGAGCTGTGCTTCACCATGTACTCGGCGGGGTTCTTAGAGTCCATCGAGGGGTTCTTCGCGGTCCCTCCGGCGCCTACGGTCTTCCCGTCGACGACCTTGTTCGAGCTGTTCCCCCGGTCCTTCTGGCCAGTCCCCGGAGCCGCAGGAGTCGCGGTACCCCCAGCTCCGCCACCTCCTGTATTCCCTCCTCCAGGTACCTTGGCGCTCCCGTTGCTCCCGTCCTCGCTGCAGTGCTGGGCGTTCTTCAGCTTGTCTATCACCGCGCTGAGGGAGCCCTTGCGGTTCCTGGCCTGTTGCTGAGCAGTTCCCGATTTCCCGAGGTCCGAGCCACCAGACGGAGGAGTACTACCCCCACTGGAGGGCAGAGAAGGTGGAGTCTCCCCGCTCGGAGTCAGATCCAGCTGCTTCAGCTTTCCACTGGACGACTTCGCCTTTGGGCTCTGGTGGCCCGACCCCCCAAAAGTCAGGGAAGAGGTCTTGCGCTCCTTCTCCCTGGCCGGGTCTCTCGCCGACGATTTCGGCTTGGCCGGTGCAGCCTCCGGGCCCTTCCCAGGACTCGGTGAGCTCGCAGCCGACTTGAGGGCCGACATGCTCGGCTTCCCAGCACTCGTCGAGCTCGCGGCATGCTTCGGGGACGAGGTCCCGTGCTTGGGGCTCGCACTCGCCGGTATCGAGTTATGCTTCGGGCTGTTGTAAACGGGTGAGTGTTTCGGACTCTGTACGGGCTTGTTTGCTACACTCTGTTTCAAGGTTGGACTCGACTTACCCATCAAAGCTAGAGGGCTGGTGTGCGTCGGCGAAGGACTGAACTTCCTCAGGGTAGTCGAGGGCGAGGCTGGCCTCGAGCCCAAGCTCGGCGGCGATTCCGTCGGCTTGATGCTGACGGAGACCGGCTTCGACAGAGGGTCCTGCTTCGGCGGAAGCTTCTCCGGAGGCCCCATGGGGCTGTCCTCGCGTTTGCGTTTCCGCTTCTTCTCGAGCTTGTTCCTCTCCTCGCTCTTGCTCTTCGAGGACTTGCGCTCTCTGCGCTCGTCGGTTAGATTCTTCGCATTGGGGCCCGCTATGGGGGTGATGGTGATCGAGCTGGGCAGGCTGGCCTGAGGAGCCGAGGCTATGGGGATGATCTCGATGCCTGGCCTCCTCTCCAGACCCATCCCCGTTAGGACCGAGTTGTAGTTCGTGGTCGGCCCCATTCCGCTGCTGGATATTGGCGTTATGCTGACCGAAGGCGGTACGAGGCTCTTCGAGGCCTCCTCGAAGATGTTGGGGCTCTTCTTCTCCTCCCTTTTCTTCGTCTTCCTCTCCCGCTTCAGCAGCTCCTCCACGTCCTGAAGATCGTGCACCTCCATGATCTCGGTCTCGTTCTCCAGGTCGTAGTCCGAGCTCTTGTCGTTGCCCAGGATGTCCGCAGGATCTAGCCCGGAGAGGTCCAAGTTCCCGGGTAACCCGGCTGCCGACGTAGGCGTCGGTGTCCTGATCTCGCTGGGGTTGTCGCGACCCGTCGGAGTCCCCAAGGGGGTGGAATCCGAGCTGGAGCTCTCCAGAAGGATCTCTCCCGGTTCCTCCCCCTTTCTCTTGGGACTCCTCCAAAGTCCGCCCTCCGCCGTTTTCCTCTTCCGACTCTTCTTCGGCCTCTCGACCAAAGGACCCGGTAGAGCGGTCGGGGAGCTGCTGTTCTTCACTTGTCCCAGAAGAGCCCCCAGCTGTAGTGGGTTCAGCATGGCAGTGGTTGTATCGGATTGGCCGGAGAACGACGGAAAACCGATACTACTTTCCGTTCCGGCATCTAAAAAAGACTGCTGCGAGGTCGCCTGCTGTCTGCCGATCGTGCCGTTCCCGTTGAGGCCAGGTTCCTGCTTAATCTTGACCTCGCCACCGTTGAAGTCGCCCATTCCGGATCCCCCGTGGCCGTTCTGGTCGCGATTCGGCCCTAGATTCACATTATAGTTCCCACCGGTACCACCGAGGGCACTGGTGGTTACCAAGGTAGCTCGTCCTTCCCAGGTTTTGATAAGCGTCCTCATTGTCACCGGAATGCTAAGGCACCTCTGTAAGACCCTTGCGGCCAGCTCAGAGGTCTGCTCGGTATTCGTCATACTCACGCCGTACAGCTTGCACTTCAGGGCCGAAATGTCGGTCAGGTCGAGCTCTGCCGTGGCCATCGTCTCCTCGAAGGGATGCTCCAAGCTCACGGAAATGTGCTGCCAGGACAGAGCGCTCACCTCGAACATCGTCGTGTGCTCCAACTCCTGGCGAGCCATCGGCCTCACGCAGCTCGACAGCAAAGAATTGAAGAGTGCTTGTTGTCGAAGGTACACCAAGATCTGCGGCACGTGAGCCGGGTGGGTGAACGGAATGCTGCCAACCAGGACGCCCTCCATGCTCTTGTTCTCCGTCATGAAGTAGCAGTGCTGCTGGTCCGGCAGAGTCTGCGAAGGTTCATGTATTTTTTTTTTGTTTATTCTAATTCTAATCAGAGGACAGGAAAAGTTAGCTTTTGGGATATTTGCGTTAAACTTACGACGTAAAGTCCTCGATTGTTGTGACAGTCGAGCTGGCCCTCGCTGGCGTGTTGAACTATGAGGCTCAAGAGAGGATGAGGCGTCGACACGTCCCCACACTCCATCTCTGTGACCTTCTGTATCCGGCGAACCAGTTCCAGGCACATGGGCATTTTCCTCGCCAGTTTTAGCACGAAACAGGCAGGCAACATCGATGAATTGGCTCCAGTCAGTGGAGCGTACGAAGGGGTACTAGGATAAAGAAAGAGGACTTTTATGATGTTTTTCCCTGATGTATAGATATGCGAAAGTACCTTTTTCCAGAAGGACTTCTGTTGACCGTGATAATACTAGACGTTGGCAATTTATGCGCCGTAGATCCTTCCATGCACACAGTGACGGAGTGACCGATCTTCCTTGTGATCACAACCTCTGGACTTAGTACGTCACAACTTCTATTGTCTAGGTCGATTAAGTCATAAGGAGACGCGAAGTACGTTAATTTCATTGCGTGACCACCTTTTCTCCTCTCCAGTATTCCTAAAAATGAGAACATTGTTTCTTCTTTGTATATCAAATGATTATAAAATGTTGACGTGAAAAAGTATTTACTATACTTACCAACGGGACTTTTGTGCACGAGATTGAAGGGCTCCTTAATGAAAGTCTGCAACTGGGCGAGCACACCGAGGTCTGCTTCGAGAGATTGCAGTGCGCTAAAGGCCTTGCATTTAACTTTTTTATCCGCGTTCAATTGGTAGATCGAAGCAAGGCCTTCCAATTGGGTCGTAAAGTCAACGAAATCTCCCCGAGAAAGACAAGCGACCAATTCCTCGCAACTCTGCAATTTTTAAGCATCATTTACGTATCGTTGAGTTAGGATCTAATAATTTCAACGACAGGTAAATATTTCTGTTACCTGTTGTTCATTCTTTCCTTCGTGGTGTATCTTTACATCTTTGACCACTCCAGTAGGCTCTAACAATACTTCCAGGAAAAACATATCCGAAGATATGAATAGTTCCGTGCCTGGTGGACCAGACATCATGAATTTTAACCTAAAACAGAGATAAATACACAAACTAGTTCAGCAACTTCAAAGACTTTTTAATCTCATTAAGAGTCAAAGACAAACCCTAGTTGTCGAGTGAGGCTCTCCAAGCGCTCCACCATGGACTGAAGGGAGGTTACTTTGATGGAATGCTGCAGCGTGTCCAGGCATTTCTGAAGCTGGTTCTTTTCGACACTGTCCAAAGAAAACCGCTTATCCTGTTCACCGTAACATACCATTCACTTATAATTATTTCCACAAAAGTAATAAACGGCCATCGATTGCCACGATCCTTACCAGCATAGCCATGCGGAGATTCTTGGCAGTCTCCATGAATGATTTGAAGGTGGAGGCTTTGGAGCGCAGCTTCTCCATTAACAGTTCCATCTGCCACTCCTTGCCCTTGTCCGCCGCCACCCCACCCGTGAGGGGTTGCCCGACTAAAAACATGAGTCATAAATTCCAGACAATTTGAAGATTCCTACTTGCTACAGAAATATTCTTCGGTTATCCTTTAACCACTCTCAATAGACTAAGCGCAGAGATTAGCCCTCTTTACTGAGTTATCATTAGAAAAATTGGAGAAATCAAAACTGCTCCGATGAGACTTTTGACTCTTAGGAGTCTTTATGGTTACATGGCTACAGTAACGTCGGGTCTTAATGTAATTAGTGTACTCAACCGTAATTTAATTCTGGAGAATAATTAGAGCGAAGGTTTAAGGAGAACGGAGTGAAAGTCTGCGGGAGCCTCGAGGGCGGTCGCGTGGACGTTCGCTTTCGTCTTACCAACGGGCTTTTGTCCGTTGCTCGCATCCATGTGTCCCTGGATGGGCGACACGGACGTCGCAAGATGGAAACCCTGCGATTATCCAGGGTGCAGCCCACCGAGTAGAAGCGGTTCACATCATGACGGCGCCATTCGACAACATCTGTCTCGATCAGTCTCCTGAAGGAGGGTTCCAAAAAAAGTTGCAGAGAGAATTCATACGCCACACTTCTCGACTACCATGCACTACTGCCATCTGACAACCGTGAATCGACGCTGGTCCATATTTAGCATGGCTCCCTCTGCTTAGCAGATTTTGAGGTTACCTATTGACTCGAGAACTTTTCATTTCCATCTTGAAACATCTATCAAGCGCCATAAGGAGAACCGCTAACCAAAAGTTACCGTGACATGGTCTGCTTTTTTAGAGCAACGTAGAACTCGTGGGACATGATTCACAAAAGAAATGTTTATCGAACGAAATTGAGCGAGTCTTTGTCATTTCCTCCAAGGAGGACAGGCGGTTTTTGGAATTTTAGGAAAGTGAAACGCACGCGAGTGAACTTGGTGATTTTGAGTTAACCTCTAAATGCTCGTGTATTTTCTTGTAGTACGTACATCTGCGCATCTTTCATCCATTTGACGAGATCTGCAGTACAATATTGTCTCTTCATAGATTCCTCTAGCCTAAATTAATAAAATAAGTTAATAAATAATACTGGATACAGGGGATCCTAATTAAATGCTGTGAAACATCGGTAGCCATGTCTGGTATTATATGGCTGACGTTTGACTTAAATAACCCAGAGGGTAACTAGAATTATTATATCTTCTATCGTCAGATCCTCTATAGTCGTCAATAGTTTTGTGCACATCGCCTTAGCTTGATGCAGTTATATTTTATTTATCATTGACGAGCAACGCAATTTATGTATATATACGTGTATAGATAATACTACACAGATATATACAAATTAATATTTATCAAACGTTCCGTTTAAATTAAAATTCATGAATACAGGACAAAAAGACGTACCATTATATCTATTTTGATACAGGAGAACAGTTCCAATGTTATTTAGAATGCAGGGTAACGATTTAAAAAATGTATCAATTAATTTGTATATACCTTGTCAAAGGAAAACCAGCAATATCACATTCTTAAGAAATCACCTGCAGGAATCGTCAAGCCTCATTAATCAAGTCTTTAATCCTATAAACCGACTAAATAGAAGTTATGGAATCACAACTTCGAGCTTTCAATCTTATCACATGTACGTTCGATTATGATAAACTTTATCCAAATAGTTGTCTATCTCGATCAGAGATGGTCACAATTAATCAGCTTCAATTGTAATTTGATTATTGCTTACACCACATCACTTGAAGTGTGTTGGTCTGGATAATTTGACGAAATGAATATTTTATGCTTATATTTAATTATTCGCACCTTGTCTGGTACGTAAACAGCAGTGCAATTAAAAGCAGAAACTAGTTTAATTGAAGCGTGCCCATCCCTGAATCTGATCGTCATTAAAATTAAGAATATATAGTTTTGTTAATTTCTTTTCTCATGGCTCAGGGCCGCGACTGCGAAAAATCTGCACACAGCCCTTGCAGTTTTCTCGACTAAAAGGTTATGAACTAAACGATCAGTTATCTTTGTTCGTTAAGGTCGTACTGTTTAGAAGTGGAAGCATTTCAATAGGATGTGCTTGGGAGAAACACATTCAAACACACTCCTATTCTAATGGAAGGTGTGCAACTTATTAATCGAGTCGTCATTGACATTAACAAATAGGAACTAGCGGCAAATGGTAAACCAAGACCATCCTGGTCCACCATTTGTTGAAGAGATCATCCTACATAATTTTTACTGCTCATTACACAACGTAAAAATAAATGAATGACGACTAAAAATCACTCTTAGACTTCGTTCACCGAAGAAAAAAGTGGAAAGGTAAACGAAGAAAAATGGTGTCTTTGGCCAAAATAAGCGTTGCCCGCACCAAGAGAACCTTGTACATCAACTGACCGTGGTCAGAGTCCCACCCTTATTTGGTTTATCAACTGGGAGACTACGCCCGTTATTTGTAATATATATTTGTATATGTATTCAACCTCACCTTAATTCATGATTTGGTCAGCGCTGAGGTAGGCCACAATCAAGGAAGTACCTTGCTAAAATCACCGAGGGAAAAGGAAAGAAACTCGAGTCTGACTTTGGAAACTAAATGAAAGCCCATCGGCTACCTCCCTCTGTCGAGATTGTAGTTTCGCGACGACTTCGTTCCCCATTGAGGAAAAAAGTCGTCAACGTTAAACGGATTCCTTCGCGAAAAGGAAAACGAAAGCGTTCTATTATTTCTAGAAGGCGGTCGGTAAAGGGTGTTTCAGAAGGTTCCCAGCCGAGTCCTCGGCGACGAGGGTCAAGCTGGAGATGCAATGTGGAGGTGGCGGAGGTACCAGAGCTTCCAGCGGTGGACGAGGTCCAGGGAACTGCCTGGAACAGACCACCATGCCACCAGAGGATTCCCGGAGTTCCATCACGCGGACACCGAAGTGGGAACGCACGACATTCCTGCAAGAAGATGGGATTAATTCACCAGAATACGTAGAAATGGAATGATTCATGACTGATGATGCGGCGATGACCTCACCTTTTGCCATCGTACTCGATGTCGCGTTCCCGAACAGCGTGGTTGTCTATTTCGCCTGCGAACCAGCGATGATACGCAAGGAGAGCGGCACAAGAAGGTCCCCAGAATGTTCGGTCTGGCTGGGAAGGAGGCTCGCAGGCTGCCAGGGTCTTGGCGAAGGACCTGTTGAGTTCAGGACTGGCTGGGGCGGAGAGTCTTCCCGGGGTGTTCCTGGGACTGGCGGACGGTGAGGGCCTGGAGGTCTCTGAAAGGAGCCGACCTCTTCTAGGGCTGAGGTGGACGACGTCCTGGATGGTGACGGTAACGCTGAGGGGCCTGCACAGGGACACGGTGGTGTGCTGGGGGTCTCTCCTGATGGGGTTTCGGTTGAAGTCGATGCCAGCACCGCCGACGAAGACGCGATCGACGTAGTCGAACCCACGGCCCATGATGCCCTCCCTGGTGTGGCCCAGGTCGAAAGTATGGCCCAACTCGTGGAGAGCAGAGCCCAATGTGGTGGCCAGGCAGCCTCCATGGGTGCCACGGTAGTTACTATCATCCATCAGCTGCTCCGTGTCGACCATCGTTGGATCCAGGAACCTGGCTAGCACCTGGGACATTTTGGTAGGCCAGGTGTGCAAGCAGGCGGACCCGAAGAGCGCAAGACCACCTCCTCCCAGAGCAGCGTGACCTTCCGTTCGGGCCAGGGTGTCTTCATGGGTACGTGGGTTTGGGGCACCCCGGTATCTGGTGCACGAGAGAAAAGCCAGGTACTTCCTATCTCTGGAAGCCAGGGGGCCGGTCATCAGCTCACGGCCGATCAGCTCCCAGAGGGCCCGCTGCGACATGGCCCTGGCTCTGTCCACGTGCAGCATACTGTGCATCACCAAACACTCCGCTCCGTCCAGGTCCCGCTCCAGTTGGAAGGTTTTCCTACCATGTCCAGCCTCGCGCAGCTTCTCCGCAGTCAGGGTCTGCAGCAACCTGGCTCCCAGACCGATCCTGGTGGCTGCGCTTTCGGGCGATCGATCCTCGCATCGTGGACCCTGCAATTTGACCAACGACTTCCAGTTAACTGCATCTTAAGGCCAACCAGTTGGATACGAGAAGAGGCTTACCTGGAAGTAGCCATCGTGTCCTGAACAAATCACGTAAACCGGTGTGACGCGTAACCTGGTGGCCCGGGGTTCGTGTATCAGTGTCAGATGCTTCCTGATGCCTCCAGCTTCCAGCTCCAGCTGGTTGGTACCCCTGCAGAGATCAACCAGGGCGCGGAACTCGCCATTGACGATTGGCCACTGACCAATTGCATTTTTGTGGCCCCTGACCGTCACGTATGGGCACAGAATCGGAGCCCTGCCTCGGATAAGAGCCAGACTGTAGCTGAGGCATTCTCCATCCACCAGGTTGCTGACCACGATGCCGCATTCTTTGTTGCCGTTGACCAACACGTGTCGACGGTTGTCCGTCAATGTCGCGTCCGCCAGCACCTAAACCCCAGGACGTGCTTTAATGTGGATTTACAAGAAAGAGGAAGTTACGCGATAGGTCATGGAACTCTATGGTCAAAAGTAACACGCACGGTAGTCATCGGGTTAAAATATCAAGCGAAAGGGAATCGCAACGCAGACCTAAGCGTTCTATCTAAACGTTTAAGGCGTAAATGATGGAAGATCGATGGAGCATTTCAGAGTTGCGTGTGCTTGCCCTTTATGAAGGAGTGGTAGCAATCTAGCGATACAAGGTCGACGGGGGAGGAGAAATCTTTTGTTTCTCCGATCACAACGTTATTCTGGCACGACCTTGCGTGCTGAAGATAATGACTGAGATTTATTGGTGCATCGGGGGAATCCCTCGAGGCCTACCCCTTTAGCATTCATTGGGGCATAAATCCAGGGCGCATGTTCCGGGCTCTTGTAATCCGCGAAAAGGGGGGTAAATGATATCGAATCGTCGGTGAGTAATTAAAAAAACGACGCGCGCCGTTCGTGCATCCACCATGATAGGTCATGATATATTTCTACGACGATAATTACGGTCGTTTTTGAGGTACGGTGGTAAGGAGCCAGACTAAGACGCCATTGACGGCATTTGGGGTGAACGCCGGTACACGTGCACCGACATAGCACCACATCTTCGGGGCCGATTTTAAACGAAATCCACAGGACCGAGATCGGACCCAGCATCGGCGAGATGCGAGGAACTTTCCCAAACGGTGTCTAACGAGGGTCCGAGAAACTTTCGACTTTCGGCCCGGTTTCTGGGGCTCGAATCGCGGCGCTTCACGAGGCCGGCGAGGCACTCGCGCCGCGAGGTGGCGCCATCTGGCGCGGCCGCGAGGAACCTCTATATCAACTCCCAACCCCGTGGCCACAGTGCACCTCATCGCCAGCCATTATTATCCGGAATCGCGCGTACTGGTTGCGGAGTCGGCGACGGACCAATCGAGCGAGCTGTCGGAGCAACCGCGAAGAATCTCTCTTCGAGTTCTCCGAAAGCCCTGCATTTCCCAGAGCGTCGCTGAACACCTCTTGGGTCCCTGTTCCGAACCTCGACGGCGCAGCCAGCAGGTGACTCCATCGCGATAAGAATGGTCTTGGGGGGCATTCTGGAGGAGCTCCCCCGGTGTCCGTCCAACAGGATGTCGCAGGAACCTCGAGAAATGGACCGTGGTAAACCGATGACTCCCGGAAATTTCCAGGAGAGGTTTTAAGGGAGAAGAGCCAGCCGGGCCCCGAGGAGGGCGACGGTGACGTCGGCTGATCGGAGGAACACTCGGTCGCCGCTGAGGCTCGCGCGGACCAGACAAGATGGAAGCACCGGAAGACTTACCATTTTCCTCGCTGGAGGGGCAGGGTTCGTCAGGAGGCCGGGACCCCTCGTCCGAACGGCTAGCCGGCTCCGGACATGCGGAGAGACTGTGGCGCCGGGCGGCCGCGCGGCGGACGCCGGTACTACGGCGTCGCCGCAGCGCCGCGCCAGGCGCCGCTGAGGCGCCGCTGCAGCGCGGCCCTCGCGCACCCGCACTCTCACCCCGTCCTCTCACCCTCTGCTTTAGGGAGACTGATGTTCTTCGCGCCCCAGCCCTCCTGACTTGACGCTTTCGGGAACGCGAAATCGTTTCTCTTTTTTTTTTTCACTTTGGATGTTTCCAAGGGTAGAGGAAACCCTTAAAAAGCTGGAATTAAATTGAAACTTGCGAATCGGTACCTTGGTTCCACTTAAACCGTCTTCTTATATTAAGCATGTTTTAAAATGACGTAAAGGACAACAAACGCTTCAGCTCTATTACTCAACGGTACATCTGCATTAAGGGTCGCCATTTTTGTTCGCACCTTCAGAGACTTAGCACGTTTGTATCTTACATTGCCTAGGTTTAGAGCCTAAGGTTTACGGCTTTTTCTTTTTATAGAAGGCCGGAATTGAGTAGCGAGGTACTCTTTAGATGATCACCTGCAACTGCAACGGTGTCGCTGCAGTGGAGTGGTCTTGAATCGGTTATCGAACTTGAACACAACTTGGGGATAACGTGTCATCGACATCACGCGCCATTGGGCATTGACAGGTTAACGCGTATTCCCTGAGTCACGCGGCGGATAAGTCTGAATCAAAAGGGTTTTGATACGAATACCCGGGACGTGACGGCGTTATCAGGCCAGTCATGAATAACGCGTTCTGGATGGGGAGGTAAATGCGTCGGGTATTAATAAAGACGAATCGTAAATCCACGGTTGTCACGGGGAACGTCGACGACTATGACCGAGTTATCTCGCTCCTTGACCAGGGCGACCATCGTCAAGGTCTTTGGGTGGTCTAGAAAATGTCTGGAATGACCGGCGCTCTCCCGTGGGACTTTTTTCTTGATTTTGTCACGGCGACCTTTACCTACAAAATGCGAGATCGCCTCGATTGATTTTCCTCCTCGCGGCGGAGGGGGACCTTCGGTGATGACCTAGCCGCATTACGAAACCCGGCTTTCCGCGATTTCTTCGATCAGTTTCGACGAAACGCTTAGAGACACGAAGCCCCGAGGCTCGGTGCCGAGAGCTGAGCCCTTCGGCCCAAGTTTTCCAGGAGTCGCATCGACCTGGCCCGGTGAAACGATCGCTCGATGTCCTGGATGCACTTTGCAGCCTGCTCCATCCGATCGAACCCGCTCCCGATTTAACGCCTCCCGCTGCGCCACTTTTTCCCCGGTTTACCTGTGCAGCGTAATTCAACCTTTCCAGAGCTAGAGACCTGGACAGAGCCGGGATATCCATTCGCGGATTCCGGGGAAGTGGTCCGGGATTACGTCGGATTTGGACCTATCGGTCCGAAAAACGCTCGAAAGGTCTGCCAGGGTCGCTATGTCGGACCCGGTGTAACGCATTGCCAAGTAATAATTAATGGTGAATCTCTTATGTCGAGGGCTGGGGCGAAAGGACTCTCCTAATGCCCCAGGATTGGACGTGAGCGAACTCGAAATCGCGCACTCCTGGATCGGAGATTTTGCATGATAAAGCTGGATCGCTTCGAACTTGTTCGGCACGCATTGGCCTTAATCACCGTTGGACCCCAGCCAGCCGCCCAAAAGCAAAGTATTGCGGACGATGATAAATGTCGCGTCTTGGGAATAATACTCTCGCGTTATTCGGCTAAATCTCACGTTCGGTATTGTCCGAGAGGAAATTAATACCGAAGAGAGAAGAACCAAGTGTCATCATCGCCCTACTGGACGTACCATGTCAATGGTCGGTGATAGGTATTGCGGAGCATCGTTACCAAATCCAAAAATTTCCACGGTTTACAAGATTAATTAAGCCACAAGGGGGTGCCTTAAGTAATGATCAAATGTACCGTGTCGATGGTCACTGATTGGTGCTGCGGACCACCGTATCGAAATCTACGGATTTCCAATATTTCCAATCGGGTGACTTCTCGAGGACCACACGAGGAGGCATCGAGCGAGGTCCTCGCCTCTCGCGGGATGTCCTTCGGGTCCTTGCCACAGGAGCAAAGTGGCCCCTCGTGTCGCAACCCAAGGAGGAGAGGGAGGATCCGCGGCGCGTGCCTCCCGAGTCACTGAACGCGTTACGATTATGATAATCTAAGGAAGGTACGATGACTCTCTGTCGCGGCGCCATTAAATATTGATGCCCGACGACGTGAGGCCGACCCTGGGCTTCTTGGATTGGCTTCGGTTGTCACGAAACGATCGATTGCCCGGCCGCAAGGCCGCCGGTTCAAGATCCCGCACGCGGCTTCTGCGCGGATCCGCACGCGTGCACAACCATCGAACCCATCAGCGGCTACTTAGGGCCCATCTGCGAGATAAACCTGTCGGGCCTGACGTAATCGCCTGACAGTTTGACGCACTTCCTTCGGTTTTATCACGGGAACGACATCGCCGACATCTTGACGCACTAGCATCGGGGTTCCGTCGCAACAACGACGAGTCCAGCCTGATAAACAAATCCCAACAAAGATCACCCACTGAATCAGTCGAGGTGAATCGATCAAGGGACTTTGCTCTTCGAAGATACGACCTGACCCCCAGGAATAATCCGGATTGGTCGACTCCTTCGTGGAGCTTTTAATCCCGGCTAAGTAGGATTTCCACCCCCGATGAAATCCCTCCAACGAAATTTTCTTCATCCACGATGAATGGAGATGATTGACTTTGACGAAGAGGGCTCATCTGCAGACCTCAAGGAAGTGTGTCGGAAGTGTTTTCGGGATCGACTTGCGGTTTCCGAGTCTTAACCCTGACCCGATTGGAAGCGTCGCTTTGGAGAACGTTGAAGACGGGTGAAGAGGATCGAAGACTCTTGAAGAGGTTCGTTGAAGAGCCGAAGTAGGTGCGATCGTGCCTTCGGGCTAGAATTCAAGGTCGCCTTGGGGAAGGAAAAGCTCGTTCCCTCTTTAATGGCTTTAATGGCTTCAATGCCTAGAGGATTGCTCGCGATCTGCAACTCCAGCTCGTCGATAACTGGTGCCGGCTCTCCGACTTCCGGGGGCTCGGGACATTGCAGATGGCAAGCGTGTCAAGGTCCCTGCAAATTGGCGACCTGCTTGCTCTGCACCAGGGACAGAGAGGTACCGTCGATCTCGATTAGCATAATTGCATTCCGAGCGCCTCTCGAATGGAGAGTGTCGCTTAGCGGTCGAGGCAGATGCCTTTGGCGCACTGTCTCTATACGTCAATGATAGTCATTCCCCGGATGAGGTTTAAACGTCGAACCTTCATTCTTGACAAGATCTGCAGTTTACGTATATAAATTATACTAATGGAGAGCTATAATGTAGCTACTCATCGATGCGACGCAAAGGCCCTCCAGGAGGATTCCCTTCTCCCAGGACAGATGCCTTTGGCGCACTGTCTCTATACGTCAATGATAGTCATCCCCCGGATGAGGTTTAAACGTCGAACCTTCATTCTTGACAAGATCTGCAGTTTACGTATATAAATTATACTAATGGAGAGCTATAATGTAGCTACTCATCGATGCGACGCAAAGGCCCTCCGGGAGGATTCCCTTCTCCCGGTGGGCTCCTTTTAGCCGCGATAAATCGCGACATCGTGCCGTATCGAGAGCGTCGATTCGTTCGGAGGATCCTTTCCCTCGGTGTGGCTGACTTTCGACGCGATACTTATTGAGATCCCAGGGCCGCGTCCTCCTGGGATTGGCTGGTAAAGTGTCGCAGGACCGGCAGGACGCGGGGTGGTCGGGGTTGCATCCTGCGCCAAGTGCGACGAGTGTTCCTGACTCTCGCTCTCTGTCCTCTTATTCCTCCTTTTCCTTGTTTTCCCCTGCGGGGTGGAGTCACGAGAACTCCCTAGAAAGCCCCTGGAAGAGGCGCTCCAAATACCACGACACCAAATCCCGGAAGACGATATCTCTTGGAAGGGTAGGAGGAAGAACGAGGAGCCTTAATGACGTATCGGCTTCCTTTGTCCCCGTTCTGGATAGATTTTCTCGACCGGACGATTACATTGAATGTTTTTAATCCAGCTGGTCGAGAAAAGGCCGGCGTGCTCTTCCGGTCAACGGCTTGGAGAGTCTCCGCAGGAAGGATGCTCCTTCTGTTTTCTTTAAGGCTGTTGATCTAGAGGAGATATCGCCGGGCTGGCTATTATCACGACGTAGGAGATAGTAGGTCAACTTTCGAGATCACTGCCTTATTCCCGCCGATCCGGCGACCGCACTTCTCGTCGACGGAGAACGCGAGTTGTTTTCGCTACTTTCCGTCCATATGGGTCTAGCCACGATCATCGTACTTTCTTTCCTTCGTTCGGAAGATGCATTCGGAGAGGAGAGCGCCGAGAAATTCTTCGACGTTGAGCTAGGTCAGTCCAGTTAATCGCCTCCATAAACGCCACATTTCTTCGCCAAACATTCCCGACAATAGGACCCACCAGGCCCCAAAATCTATTTCCACCAGGCAGATCCACATACATAAAATCCCTGAAGATCATCATACCTAAAATAAAGTCCAAGCTTGTCAAAATTCCCCGTAGATTTATTCGAAGGGAAGAACTGCGAGGAATCGTCACTCTTTATGACGGAATCGTGGAAGGAGCTGATGGGCACTTGGCAAGGTCCACTTTAAGGGGTCCTGCCCATGGTTTTTAGGATTCATTTGCTTTCTCTGGGGAGATGGACCACAGATCTCGATCTCGATCTTGGACTCGCCAGGGGCAAGGGGGCCGTGGTAAGAGTGTCCCCCTTCGGTGTCCAGCGATCGTTAGAGGACGAGAGGGGCGGCCCCCCGGGTGGGGTTGGCGACCGTGAAAGTACTCCCTGCAAGTAGAACGGGGATTTTTGAAAATGGCTCGCAACGATTGCGTGCGCCCACAACCGACCTACATAGGAGGTCGATGCGCCGACCGAAGGCGTACTTCCTCCTCCCGCGA